TGCAGGAGCCGCCACTGCAGCAGCTGGAGCGGGGGGGAGGGTGGGGCAGGGGACAGCTGCTGCTGCTGCTGCGGCGGCGGCGGCAGTAGCTCCCGACCTGTGGCTGATCCGGATGATCCGGCCCAGCGGCTGCAAGCCGCTTGCCACCACGACTCATTTTGTTGTGGCGGGGAGGGGTAGGTGAGGTGGCGGGAGGGGTGGGGGAGGTGGCGGGAGGGGTAGGGAAGGTTGCGGGAAGGGTGGGGGAGGTGGCGGAAGGGGAGCAGCAGCAGCAGCAGCAGCAGCAGCAGCAGTAGCAGTGGCCGTGGCAGTAGGAGCAATGGTGAAATAGTAGCACTTGCGTTGACAGCAGTAGCAGTAGCAGTCACAATGGCAGTAGCAGTACCACTTGGGGCAGCAGTAGCAGCACACGGACACGCACCTGGATGGTTTGCAGGAAGAGACCGACATTGGTACGACATGACTCTACGGGGTCGGGCAGCCACAGGGGCGGCCGGCCCAGTGCTGCCACCGGCCAGCCATCGTACACGGCTGCTGCAAGCCGTACATGTACAGCAAAGTCGTGCGTGGGAAGCAGAACCTTCGACGTGACATAGCGCCATATCTGTCTCGTGCGCGGGATAGACCGTAACCATGTGAAGACGGGAGTGATCGTTAGTTAGTTGGATGAACGGTTTGTTTGTTTGGTTTGGTTTGGTTTGGTTTGGTTTGACAAACCCGCGTAAACGCCGGAAGCGGCGTCATGCACCTGCATCCCTACATTATCTGATGTTTATTTCCGGGGGGAAAACCTCTGCATAATTTTTTCGTAACGGCTACAACCCTTCGTGCATTGTCTTGTCTGTCCTCAGTTTTCTTTGCGGCTCGGCTTCGGCCCACCACGCAGTGAAGTGGTTGGGTGACGGTCGGATGAATCGGCGATAACTTCCTTAGGATCTGCTGCAACCAACCAACTGATCAACGAACTAACAGGATTCAGTTATCCATCGGGAAACGCGCTGAGGAGGCCTGGCGGGGGCAGGCAGGCCTGGCAGGTCCGCTGCCGGGCGCAAACCCCCACCCCGCTGGCGGACCCGAAACGCGGCGTAATCAGTTATGCAAGATGCAACCAGCAGAGGCAGATTGTTATGCTTCGCATAATTGATACACATCGTATGGGGCCTGCAGGGGGAAGCATTGCGCCTGGCAGCGGACCTGGACCAAATACCGAGGATAGGAGCGGACGAGGAACGGAGCTTTCCTGCCCGCGTCGTCAACGGAGACCGGGAGTTTAATTCGGGTTGGCAGCCACAATCCTTTTTCAAGGAATTTTGCGGACAGACCGCACTTTCGTTTCTCGTCCGTTTCGTTCGGTTGTAGACAGGAGAAGAATTTCAACGATAGCATCCTGTTTGTTGGGTGTTGCGTTCCAATCTATGGTATTTTCCAAATACGCTAGCGTTGTTGCCACGCTTGCAGGGCCGGCAGGCAAGACTGCCGCGTCAGAAACCCTTGTCGCAATCGCGATGGTTGGTAGAAGGAAGCAAGATAGATTTGCTGGTATTATCTGGCTGTGAGTACCAATGATCGCTTTGAACGCGCAAGACCGCACCTCGGGGGCGTCGGCAGCGCATTCCCCGGCAAGTCCTCGGAAAAGGACCTCCACCTCAGCGAGTTGCTGCGTGCTACAAACTCCACTGGAAGCAAGGGCATCCAGGACTGACTGATGATATCTAGGTAATCCCATTCTAACCTAGTCTGGTGAAGCTAAATGACGAGGTCGGAGTCACCACAGTGCCCAGAATAGAGAGCTTGTTTATGTCCCGTAGTCAATAGTGAAAAGAAAACAAGGAATAACAGAGCCCGTTGCAGTCCGGATTTAAGGCGACACCGTCGTTAAAGCATTCCTGCACGACTGCACAACCGATCCGTGCAACCAGTTTGCGTCAGCCGTTGACCCGGTACGGTAAGACGCTCATTATTTTGATAAGAAGCACACGCGTGGACTCATGTGCCTGTGCCATCAGTTGCGAACAGCTGGTATGTTATTCCGGAGCCGGCTGGTAGCGCATCCAGGCACTAGTACCTCCAAGGCTTCTCGCCAACATGAATTCGCCCCACCTGAGGAGCCGCTGTTAATGCGGTAAAATGTAACTTATCTCATAATTGCATTATCCCAACTGTAACTGTATTCCAACTGTAATTGTATTTCAACTATAACTGTATTAAGCTACATATTATATACCACAATACCAAACAATAATTAATATGTACTATAAAATTTTTTTTGTTGGCTGTTGTTGCTGGTGGACGCCGAAGGGACGAGAGCCATGATGACGAGGAAGAGAAAGGGGGCGAGGACGAGGCGGAAAAGAAGAAACGAAGACGAAGATGACCAGCAAGGAAGCGTGTAAGCAGGATCGCCATCATCGATACCAACTGAAATAGAATGGACTCCGCTTCTAGTTGGGATGCCAAAATCGTTACACCAAGGGTCGAACGACTTGAGCCTGCTAGCATACCATCGCGGCCATCGGCTACAATTTGGCGGACGACGAGGCGCGCACAAGAATAAGTCACAAGAAGTATTTAAACTGGCCGCAGTCGAACCTGATCTGATGTCGTACTAGGATTGGAACAACTAAAGAAACTACCAGAGTGTCAGGCCTGAGCGTCTCTTAGAACACTTTCCAACACTGTCAGCATTTTACAATATAAGAAAGACCTAATGAAGCCGGGTTTCTCCCCTGTTTTATAAGCATAGGTCTGCATAGGCCGACTCCCTCTTAAGCTTTGACTGGGCACTAGTGGCCTCTGGCAGAGATTGGGCCCGAGAAGGGTTCTGTGCAGCCCCGCTTTGTTTCTCTCAGGAAAGGTAGCAGCGGGATGTGGAAATCCGGGGGCAACCCGGGATTGTTGGGATGGAGCATGTAGCAGAGGGTAAGCTGGGGTAAGCAGCTGATGAAGGGCTCAAGGGAAACTTATTCTTGCCAGAGCACTTTACAAACAAACAACAACTGGCTCAAGCCTGAATTGAGCGATTCCGTATTGCATTTCTGCTCGGCATAAATTGATCAGCTCCTTAGCTCACAAAGGGCGGTACGCATGTACGGTTCGGTGATTTGCTCCGGCGACAAAGAGATTTGCTCGACCATATATCAGCCAAACGTACACAGGCAATTTGCCTGGCATTTGTAGCACTCCTTCCACTTATGCGTCTGGATAATCCGTAAGCGAGTCATACAAGATGAAGTGTGCTCGCTCCAGCAACCAAATGGAGAAGACAATCTGTACGTAGCAGAATGCATTAGCCTGGTCGGCTTCTAGGATGGAAGAAGGGAAAGGTCCAAAATAGTCAAAACGGTAACGAAGGGGCCGTAATACTATGGCACAAAAAGACAACGAATGAGCCAGCGATGACACCTTCGTGCCCCGCTCTGGCGGTGCCCGAAAACAGGGTACAGGCGACCGCACGCGCATGCATGGACAAGAAAGCATGTGGACGCAGTAAAGATAATTTCCTCAAGTTCATGTCTGAAGAAAAACAGGTGGTAGAAAGACTGCAGGATAGAACAGATGTGCTTGTACAAAGTGTCAATTGGAGTTCTAATGACCAAGGACTTGACCGTAACAAAGAAAACCTTCAAGACCCCGCAATGCCGTGTCACCGGCCGAGGTAAGCCGGCATCTGAAACAGCCCGCATCATCCCAGCAGCCCATCCCGCAAAGACCGCATGCACACACCTTTCGTGTACGGCCATGCATGGAGGTCCAAACCATCAGCATCATAAAGAACAACTGACGGCACAGTAAATCGTGCATTACCACCCGCCCTCTTCAACTGATCTGTCCTTCCATACATGCCTCCAAGAGACAAAAGCCTGGTGTGGAACGCGAAAAACAATGGAAAGGAAAGTTTCATCCACGCGCATGTTCACAACAACCTCATTACCTTGATAGCCGTCGGCCGGCATCTTCCACCGGGCGACGGTGAGCTAAAAAAGAATATTGGCGGCCACGTTGCAACTGACACCTGCCTGTGAAGTCTTCAATCACAAGGGCATCCTATCCTGCGCTTGCGGGCCAGGGCCGTTCCGTTGGGTCAAGAGCGGCCCTGGCCCTTCTCTTAGGTTGGAGAGCGTGGCGCGCGCACACACACACAAACATGCACACACGCGCGCGCACACATGTTGCATTTTGATGATGCGAAACCAAGTCCAATGTCGCAACATCAACATCAACGGCAGCAGCAGCAGCAGCAGCCACCGCAGCCGCAGCAGCCGCAGCAACACAAACTGCGGTGCGCGATGGGATGCGCGGAGCAAGACAGTAAACACTCAGCCCTCTCATCCTTCGCCTACTACTACACCACCCGGCTCATGCCACACACACACACACACACACACACACACACACACACACACACACACGAGGCTGCCCATTCGCCCATCCATTGCTGTAACAAGGCCGGGTAACTGCTGTGTGATGACAGAACACAAGTGTGCATGGGCGTCTACGGGCGTCGGCCTTTTCCGAATTCGAGACTGCAAGGCGGCGAGGTCGGGGGGAACATGAAGCTGCTCATGAGCACTCGCGCCACCAACAAGAGTCTCCCGGTGATGCCAGGACGACCTGGAGGAGCAGGACGCCAGGCAAGGCGCGTGAGGACGACGCCTCCGGGGCCGCACAGCACAGGAGGATCACGGTACCCATGTACGCACCTGTATGTATGTATGCACGCATGCATGTGTTGCTCAAGGCATGGCCGACATACAGACACACACACAGACTCACACACACACCATCCCTGCACAGCAACACACCCCACCGCCCAACCAGCCGCCTGTAGACCACTGCAACGTAAACCCCCAAGAGCCAAACCTCGCCATCGTACCGTGCAGCCCTGACCGCCCGCCTGGACATCTTTGGTCCCTCTCCCTCCATCCCTCCCTTCCTCCCTCCCTTCGTGAGTTCCGTTCATCAGCCCGGAAAGGCCACTTCAGTTTATTTCTCTCTCTCCCCCTCTTCCCGACAGCCACGGGCGTGTGGGCCCCGTGTACGGCAGATGCAGTGGCCCCGACCCGCATCCTTGCCGGCGCCATCATGTCGACCTCCCAGCTCCTCTTTCCGTACGGGGCCTACGGAGGCCGTATATGACGGCATGCAGAGCCTGTATTGGAACACCTCAAAGCTGAACCCTCTGTGAAGCAACCTGACCGCCTTCTCTTCCAGTCTCTTCTCGACTTTCAACGCCCCCTGCAGCTCTCACCGTCGGGTGTTTCCCCCACGCAGCCCTTCGCTCACTGAGGTTGAGAGAAATCATACCTCCTATGTACACACATCGTTCGTACAGACACCCCCACGGCTCTCAAATTCTGCAGTCCTCAGTCGACGTATGTGTGTTTACTTCTGCATCCGCGCCTGGTACGATTCCAAGTCTGATGGGTAAAGCACGCGGCCGCTGAAGCGCACCCACTCCAGGAAGGGCCCGAAGTTGCTCGCGGCGTTGTGAGGGAAGGGGTAAGCGGTGATGAGTACTCCGCCGGCGGCCGTGCGGGCCAGGTTTTCTGGCAACTCGGCTGAGGAGCCGTCCTCGGGCACGTCCTCATAGATGCCGCTTTGGGAGGGCGTTACACGGATGCTGAGCACGGACTGACAGGTCTGCGACGGCGAGGAGATGTTGTACACTGTCGTGAATAGGTTCCCCTCGATGACGCCCTCTGGGGGGTACACCCACTTAATGAGCCGAACCTGTTTTCTTGTTACATTTTGTGATCAGGGCGGGATGAGGGGAGGAGAGGGGAAGGACAAGGGGGTAAGCAGCTGGGCCACGGGGCATGGGGCATGTCAGCTGCAGGCGCAGACCGTCAAGAAGTCCACTCAGCCGTTTCGCAGCGTTAAGCCCTTGCCACACCGTCACGTCAACAAACATGTACCCGAACCTACTGACATGCGATGTCGCTGACAGGCGCGATTGGCATGCAATGAAGAGCACGCATCGTCATCGCCATGGGTCGCCCCGTTGGGGGCCCCTGGGATACCAGCTCCAAGTCGACTGTCCCTTATGTCCCTTTGTAGCTGATGTGGCTAGCGTGATGGCTAAGGGCTAAGATGCCCGACAGCTCACGAAGGTTCCCCAGCAGCTCCCAGCAGCACCTCAGTCAGTCAGTCAGGCCCGGCCCACCCACCGTAATGACTCCTGGGTTCTTTATCTGCTTGATGTTGATGCGGCTGAGCTGGGTGGGGTCCTTGAAGAACAGAGCCACGCTGCGTTCCGTTGCCGTGGCCATCCAGGCCCTAGGGCAGGCGTAGCAAACAGCACTGCCGGGCGGAGTGCAGGGCTTCTTGTTGGGGTCGACCTGTTGGGTGCATGAGCATACACCGCGATGGGGTCTCGGTTGGTGGCGGGAGGGGGGAGAAGAAGAGACACAGGCTAATGAGACACTCGTCGACTGGGGGGTTTGTGTGAAACAAGGATGGCCCAATGGCCAACGCGGGGCCAGGCTGCATGTGTCCGGCTGATGGACCTGTTGGGAGCCTAGCTAGGCATCAGGTTTACGGGAGTGTACGGGTTCCAAAAGGGGCCCCGTTCCAGCCCGGCGTCATTGCTCCAGCCTTGCTCCGCCCTAGCAACGAGGCAGTGCAGCATCAGTAGTAACTTCGGGGAGGGAGACAGGCACATTTTTACAGGAGGAGAAAGGGCGTCGGGGGCAGGATGTTGTGAGAAGGCATGTGTACGGTTGCCGTACCAGTTGCGCAGCAGTACGAGGCTTGAGCTGGCCTCTGAAGAATGGCGAACCGTAGAAGACAAGTCTGCAGAAGGCACGAGGGCGGGTCCGGAGGGTTTTAGGGTTGGAGCATGGGAAACCACAACTGTCCGTGCCCGTGCTGGCGCTGCACTCAGTGCTCTGCGGGATGCGGTGGTGGGCCTTTTAAATGGTATGGGGTGCAGTGGTGGATTTTCTTAGGGTTTGCGTTCTTGAGCACAGATAATCACTGTCCAGCCGATAACCCAACACAACTCGTGGCGAGGACGGTTCCACGTCCGACAAACAAGCACGAATATGCGAATATGGCGGGGAGGCCTGAGGCGAGGAGTTCCAGTTGAGTTGGTTTCGTGGGCTAAGATCTTCGATGAAGATCACAAACTTGCGAAGCTGATGCAGCGGCTATTATCCGTCGGTTATGTCAACGAACAGAAAATTTAGTTCATGCTTCAGAAGCCCTGAATGGCAGAGGGACACATGAATACGTGGGTGATGGCATGGGGTGGCTGGGGTGCCCCTTTTTGATATGTGCTGTATGTAATGTACAGCCTGTGTACTGCAAAAGAAAACAGACCCTACGTGCAGCTTGCACCGCTGAATTTTTCGCTACGGCACGGTGCAGATTACCGCGACAGCACAAACAGAGAGTTAGAGGGTGACGAGTTGATGGCGGTGTAAGAGATCTACATAGCAATACGACATTCGTGTCTTCGTGTCTTTATGTGCGCTTTCCATCGTATACGAAAAAATATAGAGCCCCGCCTGGGGGACGAGAGGCACAAGGGGGAAATACACCCACCCGTCGGAGCCGATGACGCCTTGAGCAGTAAAATTGTTGACCATAATGTAGGCGTCTGAGGTAGTGGGCGGCGGCGGGCTGGGTGGAGGGGAGCTGGGCGGCGGCGGGCTGGGTGGAGGGGAGCTGGGCGGCGGCGGGCTGGGTGGAGGGGGCCTGGGCGGAGGGGAACTGGGTGGTGGTGGACTGGGCGGCGGCGGGCTGGGTGGAGGGGGACTGGGTGGTGGTGACCTGGGCGGCGGGCTGGGTGGTGGCGACCTGGGCGGCGGTGGGCTTGATTGGGGTGGCGGCGGTGACGGGCTTGCAAGGGGCGGCGGCGGCGGTGGACTTGCCTTGGGCGGCGGCGGCGGCGGCGCGCTCACCTGGGGTGGCGGCGGCGGACTTGACTGAGATGGGGGTGATTGCCTCACCTTGGGAGGCGGCGGCGGCGGCGGACGGCGAATAAACGGAGGTCGCGGATTCCGGCTGCGCGGTGGGAATGTGACAGGTGGTGAGGGGGCGGCCGTGGCTGGGGGAGATGACAGCGGCTTTGGTGTGGAAGGCGGTCGAAGGCCGGGCGGCGGCGGGCTGGGCGGGACCGGGCTCGGCGGCGGCGGGCTCGGAGGGCTGGGGCTCGGCGGCGGTGGGCTGGGTGGGGACGGACTAGGGGGGGGCGGGCTGGGAGGGCTGGGACTGGGAGGGGGTGGGCTGGGTGGCGGCGGCGGCGGTGACGGCGGCTTCGGCCGTGGCCGTGGAGGAGATCGTTGTGAGGGCGAGGACGGTGGAGGGTAGGTTGGAAGGGGGTACGTCTGCGGGGGCATCGGGTACAAACCCGTCGGTGCGTTTTGCAGGAAGCGACGAAGCGCCTCGCTCGCATGCTTGGGGTCAGACATGTCCGAGGCGGACTCCAGTACTGAATAAAGCAGGTCAGCGTCCTCAAGGAGGTCCGCATCTAGAAGCTCCGCATCGATGTCATACGCCTCCATCTCCACGGTAACAGCCTCGCTATCTGTGGATGCGGACGAAGAGGCCGTGCCGGAGGCGTGCCGTGTTTGCCAAGGCAGTGTAATACACAGTGCAGCCCATTAGAGCGCTCAGACACGGACTCCGGTACCCTAACCAGCACAGCAAGCAGTATGACATACAGACGTTTGCAGCACATGGCGTACGATAACGGAAAAATGGGGAGTATAAGGGGGCCCTATGCTGAATTTCGGTGCTTAAATCACATTTTTGCCGACATGCTGCGTCTCGGGGCTCGCTGCACCAAAAGCGCTGTTTCAAAGAATGGAACCTGAATCCGGCTTTGCACACCAGCACTTTTTCGACTTGTAAAATGGAATTCCCCCTGTAAGAACCCAGCCAGGTTTACATCACTCGCTGAAAAGAGCATTTTGCCAAACGTCCCCAAGTGTTGCCAGTTGGGGCTCGCTACGCGACGGGCGGTCCACGCACAACATACAGACGCGTCGCTCTTGCTGGCACCGTACAGCCGGTTATGAGAGCGGGGGAAGCCGAATATGTATGTAGGGCAAGGGGAGCGCTGGAATTCGTAACTGCATGGCACAAACTTACTGGGCTTGAAGTCCGAAATGAGGGACTTGAGCAGGTTGCCCCACTGGGTCTGGGGCCCTCCGCGCCAGTCGTAACCTAGCCACACGATTGCGCCCGGCACGCCCGCCTTGCTGAAAGCCTGAAAAGTGCATTAATTGTGTGATCTGAAATGATGCAGCGCCATGAGTACGACTAAAATGTACGAATCGCAGGCCCTGTGCCCAGGATACTAGGACACAGTTATTGCTATAATATAAAATTGTTCGCATTGCCTAGTAGGTATCGCGAAGAGCAACAAGAGCTTGCAGGATAGCAGGTTCATGAATGCATCACCATACATGACAGGGCCCTGCGCGTCGTTAGCATGCCCTAGACACCGCTGGGCTACTAAATATGCTTTAGATACTAAAAATCATTAGTGTATAGCCATAATCATACGATTAGGTATTTACTCCTGGCACAACGCACAGCACACGAACAACCGCTCAAAGCTTAGCACATCAAATTTCTTACCTGAACTACGAAAAAACATTTTGTGCATCGGAAGACACCGGATTGCAATCGCGTACCTGAGCAGCGACCTTGATGTCGCTATCTTGTGCAAAGTAAAGGGGGACGATGGAAGCGCGTAGATCCTCATGAAGGCAGGATGTGTACAGACTGGTAGTTTGAGCATCCTCCAAGGTCGAAGGCCAGGATCCCTGCGCTGAGGTCTTCACCTGGATAAACGCCGAAGCGTGCGTGCTGAGCTGAAGCTCGCCAAGGGCTTGTTCATCATTAGTATAGAGTTGGTCACACACAATCCATTTTCCTGCGTATGGGGTTAACATTGTTGTCACTTCGCACAGTCAGACGCAGCGGGCCCCCCGGGATGGTCGCGGAACACTGACTGGCCCAACAGATGCCATAGCACCAAATCATGACGCACCCGTGTAATCAAAAGCTTTGGCAACGAAAGTGCTCAGCGCATCGCCCTGTCCGTGGGTGGCGTCAAGGATAATCACCAAGCCTCCAGATGCCAGGTAAGAAGAGATGGCCCCCATATCCTCGGCTGAGCTGTAATAATTGTAGGCATTCTGGGGTGGGATGACATAAGCTTTGGGCGCGGCCGAGCCTTCCAACCTTGGCTGGCCGGTCGTGGCCAGCATCACGTTGAGTCCGAGCTGCCTGAGCTGCTGCTCGAGGTTCATCGCACTCCTGTCCCATGAAAGGTCAAGAACACCACCTGCCTCGCTCATGTAAAGCGCAACATGCTTTGGATTGGCCCAAGCCGGTCCAAGTGCCCCCAGGAATCCAATTAGAAAGGCCACCAAGGCGACCATGGTGCCACACTCCTATAATTCCTTGAAAATCACTTTTTCTTGATCTGCAATGAGGGATTAATATAGGCGCGGACACTGATATAGGTGGCTAAGGTAGCCCGACTTCACCTCTCCAAACTATGGAGAGGGTATGTCATAGGCTCCTCCTCCTAGATTATTACGTCTAGGGGTTAAGGGGTCAGAGTTAGCGGCTGTCTATGATGAATTGCTGTCAGTCGTCTATTAAGGCGACCGACGGACGGCGGGCAGTTGTGCCGTAAGTTGTAACTGATTTTCGCGACGTTATGATGAGATCTAAGTCGAATCATGTAAGCGATAAATTAAATTTTAATGAGAAACAGGACAGGCTTGGATAATGGATAAATATTTAAACACCCAACCAGGCCTGGTGTCTCGACATAAGTTATTGGTCTCGATAATCTTGGGAAAAACCAACGTCAGATTATTATACACGTAATCATGATGAGGTTTGGCAAACGAAGGAAACGGGAGTTTACCTGGCAGCTTTAGGTGCTCAGTTGCGGTAGTACCATCTATGAATAAGACGTAAAAATCCAAAGACAGGTGATCACCGAAATTACAGATAAAATTGCAATACTAAGGATTGGGGTGGGGGAACCCAAGACGACTTGCTACGATGCGAAGGATCCGGATGACGAGGTACGGTACAGCGGCATACGCACCAGAACTGCAGCAACCCTACCGGTACGCAAATCTTCAAGCTGTTTGTTAGCTAACTAATTATGTTAGCTATACAATTTGACAGGGACTTTACTCGCCGCGTCAAACGGCAGAATTCATGTGCTCGCCGCGACCACGCACAGATCTTGTCGAGTCACTTCTAGGTGCTGAAATGAGAAGAACACTCAGATTTCTCTGCAGAAAATTTCTGTTTGCTCGCATATGCGCTGTTGATTATCGCTATCCTCGTTCGCCGAGCCGTAAACTTGCGCCATGACGAGAACAGCTATACAGCCCAGCCAGGGGCTGTTGCGAAAGTTTCAATAATCAACCATAGGTTATAAAATGCAACTCCAGTCTTCCATGTTTGCATGTTGTTTATGTGACGGAAAGTCGACCACAACAGAGCCTACGCGCATTTCGTATCCAAACCTTTGCAGGCATTTACAGAGCTTGATACGCATTTTCAAACCTTATTCATTTCGAATACATATACCAAGAATATCGCACTGCACTTCAACTCCCAAACAGCTGTGCCACTAACGCGCTGGCTCGCGCTCGCGAAGTCTGCCAACTTGTTCAGACCTGGTTCAGACCACCCTCTGTCTCTTAAGGTAAATGTGCAATTGCTACAAGTCCCATGCATCGGCACAACATAATGCTCTTCGCTTTCTTGGTCACGCGCCATCTAGGGATCTCTGAGCACTATCAAATCGCTTCCACGACACAGGTCAAGTGCATGTACGGCAGCATTCGACGGGTAACGTGAGTTCATCGTCCTAGGTGATGTAGTGTAGCTGTAGGACGTGCTGTGCTCGGTAGCGGACCTCTGAGCGAGTATGAGGGCAGGCGTGGGAACCATGGATAATGGAAATGCGTGATTCTTGCGTATGCATTCCTGCGTATGCATGTGTACTTGTGCGTTTCTTCAGCGACCCACGTGGCAACATGGCCAGAGGACATCGGAGGTTCGTGTAGCTTCGGTCCGAAAGACGACACCCTGCGGGATCGAACAAAACGGTCAGCCAGCAACAATCTTCATTTCATGAGAAGCTTCCGTTACACGTTGGAAAGACCTGCAAGCATTGAAAGATAGGTTGTGTTGAAGGGTAAGGTGGGACAGGGGGCTGAGCTTGTAGGAGGCGATCTTACAATGGGGCCCAGCAACCAAGTTGGTCACTAGCCGTACAGACACAGCGGACTGGCTTACATATCCTGGTTAAGCCTTGCGTCATGAATCTATCCCAGGTTGTCGTACGCTTCTGCACCGAAACCAAAGATAGCTTTTTGGCGATTATCCAGCATTCCATACGTTTAGCTGCTGACTGGAGGAGTATTTGGGCTGGGCTTTTTACGGAAGGATTGATATTAGGTACCTCTGCCTAATTTCGACTGCGGAAGCAGTCTGTCAGGCAGCTTGAGGTCCCAAATCTGCACTTTCATTGGGCAATGGCTTTTCAGTATCACAGATGTGTCCTAGGTTAGCGGCGGCCTGGAATTTCATGGTTGGATTTTCAATTTTGTATTGTCCGCTCAAAAGCCTAGACGTTACTAACATCAAGCTGTTGTTTTATAATTTTCGTCTGGAAAGCCGTTGTCTACGATTTGTAAGCGCTACCAGTGCGTGGGCAATCCTACGACAACGTCGTCTTGCTCTTAGAGGAAGGCGTGGAGGTAGACTACCTCCACTTTGCTTAACCTGCGCACATAGCAGGCCTGAAGGCATCCTGGAGGGGACTTGGGGCTCGTCGGTAAAGCGCGATTGCACGTCAGCTTCCGTTGGGCAACCCCATGCAAGAGCACCAGCCGCCCGAAATCATCGGCAACCACAAGGTGCAGCAAGTCACGGCGGAAAAGGCAGCAACGCAAGTTTCTCCTCATCGTTTGCAGCATCCTGGCACAATTTTGGAAGCTGGCGGCAATATCGACGCCTCGGCGTTCACACACGTTCATCCATGTCACCAGCCCAGTGGTGCTGCCACGCCTATCGGCGCGTTGGTAGCGCACGTTGCCGTCTCGTCAACAGCAAAGCCTACCACCGGCCAATCGCCAGTCATACCCTCAAGTCCTCTTGCCTGTGCAGGAACAGCGGGCCTTGCACCGTTCAACCCACTTGGGCCTTACAGTCCATTTACACAGCGATCCCCTATCCGGGCACATCAAGCCGATTCGTTGCCGGAAACATCAGTTGCAGGCATCCAGCCCACCAGCGCATCATCGGAAAATGGATTCTCTATGCCATCCGTACGCGTGCCGGCGTACAACCCTTTCCAGCAGGCCAACAACAGCCTCATCAACAACATCGACTCCTTGTACAAGTCCAGCACAGATACCGCATCAGCCATCATGCCAACGACGACAACATCTCTAGCAACACGGCTCAATCCGTTCCCCACCAGCATACCCGCAGCCTACAGCCCCTTGCAGTTACAGCAGCAGCAACAACAACAAAACAGCATTGGGCCAATGATGGCGGCGACCCAAATGTCCATCACATCCCTAACCCATCCCTCCTCATGCTCAACTGTCCACGAATCAGCCGCACCTACAATCACTACTACTACTGCTACCAACACCGCCGCCAACGAAAGCCGAACGTATCCGGAAGCGCCCAACCGCGCACAAGGCGCAACAACCGTCACTGCCCCACTGACCCCGGCAACACCCGATGCAATCCCCATGAACTGCCCAGCTCCAATCATACCAATCATACCAATGCCTCAACCGGTGACACTGTCAGAATGCAACAGCAGCAGCAGCAACAGTCCTCGTCAAGTCACAGCCTCAGCCGCGACACCCACTGCAGCACCCGCCGGCCAGGAAATTCCTCAGCGGCCCACATTGCCGCGTCCCGCGCCGCTATCCAACCTGGCAGCTGCAGCACCCGCTTTTGGTGCATCCGCACTTCCGTCGCCGCCGACTGACCGAGACCACCAGCTAGCGGTAACCACGACGGTGGCGGCGGCGGCGGCCGCTATCGCGGTCGCAGAGCCAGCCGCCGCTGTCCCTGGCACGTCGCCGCAGCCGTCCCTGGCCGATCCACCGCAGCTCCCGACGCTCCTGCTGCGGGTGCAGCCCCTGGACGGCTCCCAACTGCACCAGCGACAGCAGCAGCAAGGCCTGGCTTTCCTAGCTGCGGCATCGGCCCAGGTGCATCCGCAGCCGGAGGCGCAGGATTTGGAAGCGCGAGGACGGCAGTTGGAGCAGCAGTTGGTTCCACAGGGGGTGACGCTGCACCCTCATCCACAGGGGGTGACGCTGCACCCTCATCCACAGGGGGTGACGCTGCACCCTCATCCACAGGGGGTGACGCTGCACCCTCATCCACAGGGGGTGACGCTGCACCCTCATCCACAGCATGCAACGGAGCAGCAGCAGCAGCAGCTTCAGCAGGATGCTGGGGAGCCGCTTGAACCGGAATTCAATGAGCTTCAAAGGCGGGTGGAGTTCCTCATGGAGATGGTGGGTGGCTGGCTGCCTGGGGTTGTGGTGGGATGAGGCAGGCAGGCAGGAAGGCAGGCAGGACTTTGGCGTGCGCTTTCGCGCACTGGCCGCTAGGAAATCCCTTGACCCACACGGGTCGGCCCCCGTGTGTGCGTTGTTGGTCGGTCGGCAGTGTTATTTGAAATCTGCGGGTTCTCCTTCCCAGCGCCCGCTGTTCCCATCCCGTTCGCAGGTAGGTGGATGTGCTGATGCGTCCACGTGCCGGGATGTGCTGGCCCAGGTAGACGGGGACATGGAGCGCGCGTCGCACATCATGGTCGAGTTGTACTGCGGGGGTGCTGGCGGGGGCGTCGGCGCTCTTGCGTCGGCGCCAGCTTACGGCGTATTGAACGAGCACCCCCTTGGTGGCCTCCACGCGGCCGGCGGCGGCGGCAGCGGCGGCACCGCTGTCGCTGGGCCATCTTCCAGCGGGCCTGCTAGTTTCGGATTCCCTGGTGCTAGCGGCATGGAGGAGGAGGAGGAGGAGGAGGTGGAGGCTGCCAGCAGCCGACCTGGCGAGATGTACAATGCTTGCGGTTACTTTGACGAGGAGGATGTCTCGCCAGCAGGCAAGTCTTGTTATCCGCAGGGGTACTCGAGACACCTCCAGCAGCAGCAGCAGCAGCAGCAGGAAGATTACTGGGAGCATTGGGACCAGCAAGGGCGGTCTGTCCTGGATGGCGCGGCCAGCTCCTGGGACGGGGTAGCTGCCGCGGCGGCTGTAGCCACGGCAAGCGGCTCCCACCGCGGCCGTGACGGCGCAGTTGGGACGTGGGAGGAATGCAATTGCTCCTCCGACCCGTGGGTTACGACAGGCAACGTGTACGACACAGTCGATGGCGGCGGCGGCTGCGGCGGCGGCGGCGCTGATGCGTGCGGAACTCTGGTGGTGGATGCGCCGCGTTTCGACGCTCCGGTGGGGCCCTCCGCATCCAGGGACTGGTCGCGGGCGCGGAGGCGCGCTTGGCGGCGAGGCGATGTGCAGTTGGGGCGGCGGCTGCCCTGGCCGTGGCCGTGGCAAGGGTGTTTGGGGTGTTGGCGGGGTAGAAAAGGAGGGAAGAGCGCACTCGGTCTTCGCGGGCGTACGGCGACCCAAATCGTACCCTGACAGTCAAAAGGCGGCGGGATGCCTTTCCGCCGGATTGAAGCTTACCCCTATTGGGCATTTAAGTAGTCCCTCCTTACCGGCCGCTGCGGCTGCTGCTGCTGCTGCTGCTGCTAGAGGGAGCCGACTCCTGTATAGGTATACCACCCGCCGCGGCGAGGTGGTCGCGGACGCACTGCCGGTCCCTGAGGCCCCTCCCGCCACATGTACCACCTGCAGGAGGGGGAGGGGGAGGAGGCTGCAGGAGGTGATCTGGGGCGCAGTCTGGAGACCGTCATGGTAGGCGCTCCTAGGAAGGGGGGAAGGAGGAAAAGGAGGGGAAAGGAGAAGGGGACAGAGGGGGGAAAAGGGAGGGAGGGAGAATCATGTGCGAGAAACTCAGAAATGAACTGTCGGAAAAAGGCGTCTAAAGTCCGAAACTGCCCCCCGTGAGTCCTAAAGGCGATGAAGTCCCCCGGAGGGGAAGGCAGGGAATGTTTTGGCGAACAGTCGGCAAATATCGTATATAGTATCGTATGCTTCGCAACGTTGAATGGGATTCTGCGCTGGGCGTTGTGTCTCAATTGGTGTCTGTTGAATCGTCCGCCTGTTTGTTGTTTCTCCGTTTTTTTGGCCTAAGTCGCGCTAATCCTTCGTTTCTTTCTTCCTTCCTCCTTCGCAATCCCCCCTGCCCCTTTTGGGTCCAACCGCAATTCCGCTCATCTCCAGGGTTCCGCGCGTTCGCACACGTTATCAGCCCCTGAACCGGCACCTGTACATGTGTAATATATGTTTATGATCCTCTCTGCTGCTGTCTGGAAATGGACCCAATGCCGACCGACAGGGCCAGGCGGCGCACCAGTACCAGCACCAGCACCACCAGTGGCAGCAGCAGCAGCAGGGCCGGGGGCCCGAGGCTGGTGCGGCCACTGAGGAGAAGATGGAGGAGCTGCGCATCTACTTTCCCAACCTGAGTGAAGACACTTTGCGGACACATCTGGTGTTCTTCAACGGCGATGTGCAGCAGGTGATGCGGGCAGGCGAGGGAGGGAGGGAGAAAGAGAGAGAGAAAGAGAGAGAGAACGAAAGAGAGAGAGAGAGAGAGAGAGAGAGAGGAGAGAAAGGACTCAGGTCGGAGGTAGGTAGGTAGGTAGGGAAGCCACTCTGAACGGCGCAGGAGAGGAGGTAGTTGCCCTTGCCTTCCCACCTTTCCTTCCCCTTGCGCCCCCCGCTCGCCCCACCCCTTCCAGGGTTAGCACTCCTTTCGCACCTTGTTCCCCTCCCCTCCCCTTGTAGGCGCTGCAGCTGCTCAGTGAGTTACACGAGGACGAGATCTACCGCAGAATCGAAATGGAGCGCCAGGTGGGTGCACTTCCTGCTGGGTTGTAACACCCTCCCCCGCGCAGTCTGCACACAGTGTTCCACTCCACAGTCTATCCAGTGATCGGCAGCCTGGCCACCAGTATAACCCCCTGGCTTGCTCGGAGAGTCCGGAGCCCGGGTCACGGTTCGCAAGTCCCGATGTCAATAACGCCCGATGCCTGGAGCTTTTTTATTTATATGCCACGTGGTTCTCCCCGGAAATAGGTTTAGTTGATTATTTTCGTCATGTTAATTACTCGGCCGCTTTCTTAACCCCTTTCCAATGACGTGTGTAACGGACGCGCGTAGGCAGAGTCGGACGCGGCACTGGCCAGGAGGCTGGCGGAGGTGCGAGGTCGCCAGGAAGGGGGGGAGAGGCGAGGTTGGGCTGTAGGAAGGAAAGGTGCTTGTGAGGTGGTGGGGGGGGGAACGTGGTGGGTTTCGGCGCACGTAGGCTGGTGCCGTTGCGGCCGGTGCCGCCCCTTGTCAGTCGCCCCCAGAGGCTCTGGCGCCCGTTGGAGGCGATGGCTCTCCCGATGTCGGTGTCAGTGATGGACATCCCGCCATCCCCCCGATGTGTGTTTCTCAGAGTGCCAGCAGCCCGGGTACCCGCGATGTGGTCGCCGGGGGGTATTACTCCTTGTTGGGGAGGGGGGAGACAGCGGGCCCCGAGGAGGAAGAGGCGGAGCAACAGCAGCAGCTTCAACAGCAGGTACGACAGCAGTAGCGGGTAGATTTGTGGCTGTGCCTGTGGCGAGGGCCTGGGGTGGTTGTGGTGTGTGGTGGTCGGGGTTGGGGTGGGGGGGTGGCTCGTTAATACTCCCTCCGGTTGCCCCTCCACCCTCCTCCGCGGTGGGGTGGGGTGGGGTGGGGTGTGCGGTGTGGTGTGGGTGCGGAGGGTGGAGGACGGACGGAGGAGGTTGTGCCGGTAGCAGCAGAAGCCGCCGCAGCAGCAGCAGCAGCAAAGGCGGTGGCGGTGGCGGACTTCATCCAGGGAGTTTGCTTGACACCGCAAACGTTTGAGCTCCTTGGGTTGTGTAGTATGTTTCTGGCGCGTGATGTTTCTGGCAATGGCAATGGCAATGGCGTTCCGCAACGGCTCCCGGCTGAGGGGTAGATGCTGAGGGGTAAAATCCTTTCCTCCGCCGCGCGCTGCTGCCAGGTGCGTTGCATGGCCGTTTCCGGTAGCGCTGGTGCATTGGAAGCGAATCCGCTGGCCGGCGCCGCCGCGGCCGCCGCCGCAGCAGCAGCAGCATCAGCAGCCGGGGCATCCGAAATGGGCGGCGGTGCCGGTTGTTCTGGTGATGTGCGGGGGCCGTCCGGGGGGCACTGGGGTCTCAAGCTGCTGGTGCGCATGTTCGGCGGAGGGGAGGTCGACGAGGTGCGGATCGTGTGAAGGTGGTTGCGTAGGTGGTTCAGGTGTGTGCGTCTGTGTGTGCATCTGTGTGTGTGTGTCTGTGCGTCTGTGTGTGAAGGGGCCTGCGCGGCGCGAGCGGAGTGCTGTCAAAACCCGAGCTTGGATCCCTCCCAGTTTCTGGTTTCCGTTGCTGACCGTTTGCGCTGTTGTGTTGGGTGTGTCGACGCGATGCGATCTCCTTCTACGCGGCCTTCTTGCTGTTTACAAAGTGTGTTGTCAGATTTCGAGGCCTTTTTCATGTACACATGCACGTCTACCCACTCACACAGAACTCAAGTAGTATGAGCCCGGTAGGTCGGCGGGTTCGTTCGCGTCATCGTAATCTACGTCATCATTGTGGTACACGTGCGTGTATGTGTGTGTTTGTTGGTGTGTATGGGTGTGTATGGGTTACTCGGGGCCCACCCGGCGAACCCCTCTGGCGGCGCAGGAGCTGCTGGCGGAGGTGCTGGAGAACCAAGGGGGGGATGTGGAGGCCGCACGTTCTGCCCTGCGGGGTATGGGACTGGTTGAGAACCAGATGCAGTCACAGGTGAAGCAGACGAAGCAGTTGCCGGGCTCAACCCCGGCGCGCGCTGAGCTAGGGGACCCAGGTGACAGCGACCCCTGGTTCTGGAGCGGCGAAACCGCCATATCCACGACGGCTGCGGGGGCAGGGCCCTCCTCGTCGTCGTCGTCGTTGGTGACTCCAGCCGAGCTGGGGGCACCGTTGGGCAGCCACCGCTGTCCCTCCTGGCAAGAGCGCGGCGATTACGGCGGCTGTGGCCTGACAGGATGCCTGCCTCGTACGGGGAGCTTCAGCAGCAGTGAAGCGTTTCAGAGCTCCTCTGTGGCCATCCAGAACCAGAAACAGCAGCAGCAGCAGCAGCAGCCGGGCACGTCAGGGAGTGCGTCGTTTGGCAGGTCGGTAGTCCGTAGTCGGTAGCGAGGGGAGGGGAGGGGCGGTAGGGGCCCCGGATTGGCGTCCTCCGATCCCCTGTGTGGGCAGCGAGAGGAGCTGGTTTGGAAGAGGGGGCATTGCAGGAGAGGGCAGGAGGGTCAGGGGTGTGTGGCCCGGCGGTAGCAGGGGGGCGCGGTCGCTGCTGAAGGTGGGCCACTTCTCTTTCGCTGCTGCCTTTTTTTGCGCTGAATCGCCGTGTTTGCGCTGTGCAGGCACGGTGGCGGAGGTGGCGGAGGTGTGAGTGAGGTCCATCCCCCCCAGCCCCCGCAGCCTCTGGGGCCCATCCGGATTTTGGCGAGTCTGGGAGTGGACTATCAGGAACTGGGCTTTTCCGAGGAGGTGGGGGTATGGATGGTCGGGATATGGGATGTGGGATGAAGGTAGGAAGGTGCGTCAGGCAACTACCTATCAGCTGCTGGGGTGGTTGGGGATGGAGGAGCAGGCGCTCTGGAATGCGTCCGTACTTGAAAAGAGGAAAGCAATCCACAAAAAGGGGGAACTTTTTTTGCCCTCCGTGCCCCTCCGGCCGCCCGTCCGGTGCCCCTTTGACTTCTGCACTCTCGATAATAATAAGTCCCGCCCTCTCCTTCCTGACATTGCCAGTTGAGCATTTCGCACCTTAGCGCATATTCCTCTTCTCCTTTCCACCACCCCCTTCGTTCGTGGTTCGTCTTTCCCCCCCTGTCCCGATTCTTCGCAGGCGCTGCGGTGCATTCGGGTGGCCTTTGACAACTCGGCTCTGCGGGACCTGCTGATGCTGCAACGGAGCGGCGCCAACTCACTGCCGGTGAGGGTGCGGTCGACCGAGGTGGTGTGCGAGAGCGGCGCGTTGCCCGCCTTGGTGCACCTGACTGTGTGTATGGCTTCTGTGGCGCCGTCTGTGGCACCGGGGCACCGAGGGGGCAGCCGCGGTGCACTGGCACAGCGTGCATCGACGAGCCGCCTCGATCTCTTTCCCGCCAGCTGGCTCTCGCTCGTCTGCGCTCACTCGCGCACTTGATCTCGCGCGAGAGCTTGCCTCAGGGTCCCGCCGTGTCACCATCCCTCACCTTGTCGTGTATCGCCAGCAGCCGTATAACCCACGGGCGCTTTGAAATGTCGGAGCGGCCTTCTCGGTTTAGCTTTTGCTCCCCTCGCTGGGGACTTCCCCCTCTGCCCTCCCTATCCGGATTGCTGGAATCCCCATCTCCCCTCCCCCCCGCCCCCGCCCCATCCCCCCACCCCGCTAGGAGGCATGGGGATGGCGGCGCCCTGGAGGGGCAATCGGACAGCCGGGTCGCGGCCTCACCCACGAGGAGAAGCAGGTGCGTGCGTGTGGAGAATGTCATACACGGTGCTGGGCTTGGCTGTTTATTTGTGATGTATATGGGCAACCGTGCTCCTGCGCGTCTCCCACGGGAAAAAGGCGAAAAACACAACCCGTCCGAACACAGGCATATGTATACATGCGGCGCCACGTATCTTTTGCTCAGGTACAACGTTGCAACTCCCCGGTCTCGTCCTGATGGCTGAATGTATCGCCTCTGTCTGTTTGGAAGGGTGGGTGTATGTAATGTAATGTATTTAAAATAGAGTTTTGAGCCTTTTGGTCAACTGCCGGGTTCCGGGGTTGCCTACTTTGCCCTGCCCCACCCTGCACTCCCTGCCTCTCTCATTGTCCGCCTCTGCGCAACCTGCACCACAACCCCCAGGCTTTGTGGGCCCAGCATCGGAAGCTGCCACTAGCCCTCAAGGAGATGCAGGAAGTGCTGCGACGCGGCGCCCGGGCTGCCAGCGAGGCGCCCGGATCTAAGCGACTGGGACAGGAGCTCCTTCGGGCGGTACGGCACCGGGGGGCGGCAAGGGCAGGGGCGGGGAGGCTGGGATGGTGTCAGGTCGCGTCCTTGCGCAGTAGGGCGACCGCGTTCTTAGTGTGTGTGGGGAACCCCCCTCTCCCCCGCAGCTACTGCCGTGGTGGCCCCTACATGCCTGCCGATAAGTCTGCTGGTTGTATTGTATTGTGTTGTGTTGTGTTTCCCAGCAGCCCATCATCATGCATCGCGATAGACTCCGAGGTCCGCGCCCCACCCCGCCGGTGGTGTGAATCAGTCCGGAGTTTACCTGTGCCTACCTGCGCTTTGCCTGCGCTTACCTTGCTCTTACGGGCTGCCCGCAAACCTGCCTCGTGTGCTGACTACGTCGTTTACCTTCTGGACCCGAACCATGTGCGCTTGCCGGCGTGCTTATTTGATGTCTTTTTCGGTTTTTCGCCCGGTAGCATCTGAACGTGTGTGTGTGCGTATGTGGCACTGGCGTTTCGGTCGCTTGCCTTGGTTTCAGGCTTCCGCGCTGGACGCAGTGATCCGAGAGCAGCACCGCAAGGCCTCGGCCCACATCTACACAGATATGAACGCTGCGCTGCGGCAGCAGTGGAAGACCGACTTGCACGCACAGCTGCCGGCGGAGGTTCCCAATCTGCTGGACAGGGTGTTCACCAGCTTGCACAACATGGGCGGTGAGTAGTGAGGGCGCTGGGTTGGTGGGTGAGACACACAGTAGACATGTTTCCGGGTTGTTGGCGCGGATGCGTACTGCTACTGCTACTGCTGCTGCAGCTGCTGCTGCTCCTATATCTCCTGCTGCAGCAGCAATGAGCGCAACTGCATATGGTTGTGATACTGATGATGGTGCCGGTGTCCAAACTCCTCAGGTAATGTGGACTGGCTCATCATTACGGGGAAGGGCCTCCACAGCCGGGGGGAGGGTCCTAAGCTGCCGGGCATCGTGGAGGACTGGCTGGCTTCGCGGGGCCTGTACGGCATGCCACAGCCAGGGGCGATGCTGGTGCGGCTTACGCCCGGGGTCTTTGCGCGGGTGGTTCCGGAGCTGGGTGCAGCGGGTCGGGATGCACCCTGAGCGCGTGTGTGTGGGTGTGTGTTAAAGCAGTGAGAAGGGCGGCGGTGAGCTGTCCTTCACACCTTGACCGCGAAGGAGGAATGCGAACTTGGAAAGCCTTTGTATATAGGGCTGCTGCTGCTGCTGCTGCTGCTGTTTGCTCCATACGTGTAGTTTGGGCGTTGATACTTGGTTGAAGGTTGCTATCTTAGAGTTACAAGCTCCGCCCGCAAATGCGGGGGCCCGTCCGTGAAGGCCGGGGGACCATGGACTGGAAATTTTGGGACCATTTCTCGGTTTGTTCCTGCCATCCTTACACAGAGACTATGCTAACCTTTGAGCAGATGGGGATAAGTGGAACGGGGCCGGCGACGGGGAGTCCCTTTGGTGGCGTCGTGATCGGTGTAAGGAAGCCTTTGGGAATAGGGGTTTGTCGAGACAGTTGGGGCAAGTGTTCATGTCATACGGCCTTGGGAGCGGAACGTAAGTGACATTCGATCACCCTAGTTGACACGTCGTGTGCAAGTGATTGCGGCGCACTCCGTGAGATAAAGCATGAAGGTGCATGTTAGGTGCGTATGTACGTATATACTTGGCCTTGTATGCTACAGTTTTGGTGTTGGTGGAGGGCGTTCTTTTATCTGGCGTCGATGTGTAGCTTGAGTGCATGGGAGATGCGCTTATCTGTCAAGAATCGAGTACGTATAGAATGTGTCGCGTTGGTCAGGAAGTAAATTGCACATCACAGGATCAGGCTGAAGTCTTGTGTGCAATTATACAAGGCTAACTGAGAAGTCGGGAAGAAGTTCAGTCGCTGTTTGCATGCTTCCGTATTAGACCGTACCGGTTAGGGTTCCTAACTAAGATTTACGCTGCAATGTCGTTTACATATGTCCTGAATGGTCTCGCAACTGTTTACTGCATATTATTATGTACCGAGGCAATCGATCTCGCTACCTCGTACTTGGCAGGACTCCCAAGGCAGGTAGGCCGATCTGATGCTGTGTGACACAGAAAATATCACTGTAGTCAGAAGGACTTTTTCGGTATCACATCTTTGTTTTAAACTTGTATGTGTATATTGGTTGGGCGATTTCGCAGTCAGTAGAGGTAATTTCTCCTACGAATAAACTATTAGCAAGTTCACTTGCCAGAATACAGCATCGAAACTTGGCTGCGCGTTCTGTATCGCACTATGCGAACAGCTCCGGACTGCTCCTTGAAATACTTATTACCTGTCCTGAGGCACCGCAATCTTTCCAGCTTAGTAGTATTTGGAAGTGTTCTTAACCCGCCTACAAACAATTCACATATGGTTTTATGCATGCCATCGAAACGCATATGCACTACAGTCAGACTCTGGAGCGGCTACACTACAGTCCGGGGCGTTTACTAAGCATCGAGTACACGACGCGGGGATTTGCCAAGAGCTGAAAGCTATTTATACTTAGAAACTGATAATAAATTGATAATAAACTGATACAAAATTTAATCAATATACGGTAAACGGTCCCGAAAAGGTTCAAGCGGAGATCTGGGCGGATATGACGTTCCAAACAGGGTTCAGACTTGATTGATTGATTACCAAATCAACGCCAAGGACACAAATGGATTTGGTAAATGGGGCATTGCCCAAAGGCAAACGGCATTCGTGGTGGAATCTGGATGACGACAGTAGCAGTGCCGCGGATACCAGAATGTTGAGGTGAAGGTCGCTTCGCCCAGCACATCTTGTGGGGCCTATGAGGGAAGCCGTCTGTAGCATACGGTGGGGCCACGCGCAACCCTGTGAGTCGCTTTGTGCCTCCGTACGGGCGGCACGGTGAGACCACACCCGTTTACCACACCAAGTGTCCACATATGTATTTAGTCCTCCTCAAGAGAAAGCACCGCAATCCGTTTACAATTTGCAGCTTTGTGCTCACGTCCGCGCGGCCTGCAGCAGCGGCAAATGCAGCGGCGGCGGCGCCAGCACACGAAGCGCGCCAATGTGGCCGCGACCAGTCTAACAAAACACTTCCGCGCGCGCACCCGTCGTCACACAACGGCCAACATCCGCTGTGGCTCCGAAAACCATTATAATACTGATGGACTTGCTGGGCGAACAAGATTGCATCTTCTAAGCTGGACAATAATTCTGCTTTCCTTTCTTCATGGCGCTTGACCCAAAGAACCTGTTGCGGCCCCGTCCATGCACCCGCTGTTCCCGTCACGACGGAGCCGGGATCGCAATGGGCGGCGGCCTACGCCAGCCAGCGGGGCTCGGGCAAGCAAGCGGGGCCGCTATACAGGGAAGCGCCACTCAGTGTCGGCTGCACTCACCAGGCACCGGCAGACACACAGATATACACACAGATACACACAAGAGCGACAGCAGCACGAGCAGCAAACAGATGCAATCTGACGACCCATGCACCCTGCACTTTACGGCTGGGCACCCACCTTTCGCGGCGGCAACTCTTCCACCGCGCACCCATCCATCACCAGTGCCGTCTTCATACACCACAAACACCACACAAAGTTTAGAGGAGAGCATGAAAAACGTGAAAACCACCACACAAAACCAGCGTCCTGCCGCAAAATCCGTCCTTCTTTCTTCCACCGTGTGCTGTGTCCATCCCGCGCCACACACCACGCTTGGCTCACGACAAAAGCCGCACGGCTTAGACGCGCCAACCAGCAGCGCGTGCACTGAACGCCGTAGAACGCGAAGAAGTGGCGCATCATCCCTCTCCCTTCCCGCCACGGCACACCACCATCACCACACACTGCATAGTACACCACCAGCCACTCCACAGCAGAAGCAATCCACACACGTAAAGGGATATGTGCTCTTAGTCTTGCCAAGTTTTGTGGCTTGTTAATCTCCAGTTCCAGTTCCAGCGTGTGCATGTCACCTGATGTAATGCTGGCGCTATCGACTCTGGCGCTACTGACATGCTCGAAACACAGAGGGGTCAGTGTAATCTGTAAACGCTGCCCTGGACAGCCCACTCAGCGCCCTGCCCGAGCCCCGCCTCCTATCCCGTCAGGCATTTCAATTAGCAAGGTAAGTGAGAGGGGAGCCTTAGCGGGGTAACTGATGGAGTCTACCGGTCCAAGAGCAGAACACCTAGCCGACGGAAAGAAGTCCTACCAAAGATATTACTAGCGGAGAGAGAGCCTGCACGTACCCACACACGCGCGCACATGCATACCTGTAGTAATTGTAGTTATACTACATAATTATACACGCAAACACACACATACACGAGCGCGGGAACATAAAAGCCTCCGCGTCATCAGATGCTCCGTCTTCACACGACCCCCCAGCTCACCACCGCAGGCTGTATGGGGCATATGGGAATTATCAGCTGAATTTTGAAATACAAAGTCCTCCCTGCCCTCCTATCCTCCTGCCCCGCTTCCCGAGCGCTTCGCATCCGATGCCGCGGTGGCCCTGGTAGCCCTGGTGGCGGGGCCGAATCCGCAACGAACTAAGGAGGCATGCCAGGGGCACGCACACGTACACGCACACACACGTCTACAAACCTCTCCCCGGCTTGTGAGATCCATGTCAGCAAAGGGCAAGGACTCCAACAGGTGGTATTGTTTTAAACTGACACATATGACGACGACGACAACAACAACAACTGCGTCATATGGGCCCTTTTCGGAGTGCCGCCCTCCCCAAAATGTAAAGACCTCGCGCTAAACTACGGTCCGCAAAGCCCACCGTGCGACTTGCGGAAAGCACGACCTACTCCACCTCGCGCTCTTGGTACGAGGGACAAGGCACCGAGGCCGCGCTAGTGCCTCGGCCAACCATAATAATAGCGTCTTTAAACCTAGTAGAGCAGCAGGACCTTGTCGACCGGCCGGGGTCGGATACAACGACGCATCAGAGGTGAATCTCCTGCGGCAACAAGACTTTTGATGCAGGTGGAGTAGCCCTCCCTAGCCCTCGCAAGCTTGTGAAGCACGTCTCCAGACACCCTAGGTGCCACCCAAGGAATTATCCGACACAATGCGCTATAGACCACCGCGTCATGTCAGGCGAAAATGATAACCAAACAACCAAGCTCTGGAACGCACCAGTCCCAGCCGCACCTTCTTAGTGTAATGAAAGCAGACTCTGAGCGCTGTATGCTCCGACCAAGCCAAACACCGCCGCGACCTTGCGCAACCGATCCACCTCCATCAGCACACCTCGCCCGGCCTCCTGAGGCGAGTTTACGACCTTCGCCGTGCAATCCGCGCCCTGTGATGTCTGCCCGGGTACTGGCACACGGACCGCGCGCCCAAGAGGTCCTGTTGCCGTACACTGGTGCGCAGCCTGCCTGCGCCCTCGCCGCGGCCGACCGTGCTGACCGACGTCGCAGCTGCCCACACACCGCACACCGGCCCCCCAGGAAGATGAAGGTCAACAAGTCGACACTATTGCAGAACGCACTGCGTGGCCAGGGACTGCGTTGGGAAATGGGGGCCCCCCAGCTCCTTAATGGCGGCGTGGAACATCCTGCCCTGCGTCCACCACCGCCCGGGACACCCGCCAAGCCGCGTCCGACCGCGGGGAACTGCTCGAGCGCACCTGCACCGCTCTGCCCCTACACCACTGGCCGCGGCTATGCTGCCGCCAAATCACTGCGCGGCATCACCGTGCCGATGCCGCTGGCCGCTCCAGATCCAGATCGCTCCAGAAGCAGACCCACACCGCTAGGCGCCCAAGGCCGCGCATCCAGGTGCTTCTGCACGACACGCACTCCGTGGAACCCGCTTCCGCTTCCGTTGGTCATTCCAATCCACAAGGCCATCAGGCGGTGCCGATATCTCCATGCAATCCAGAGGAGAGCTCACATAAAGGTGCTGCTGTAGACCGCTCTATTGCACGTTGTCGTCGCGCTTCGTACGTAGCTTGCATAGCTGCTGCAGCCGAAGGGAAGCGCTGGCTGTCGTCCCTGATTACATCGACCGCTCTCCCGGGAACATGGCCAGGCAGACTGCAACCATCCGTCCGTTCATCTTACGTCTCCAAACGTTCGTCCGGAAGTCTCCACATAGCCAGGCCAGGCCGCCGAGCGGTGCTCTGCTGCACACACGTGCAACTGCCCCAACTGCAGCAGCAGCAGCACACGTGCGTGCGAACAACCCATCTGCCCAGGTTGCCTAGGAGGGGAGCTTCCAGAACAGACACGCGCGCGACAGCATGTTGCTGAAGCAGTGCCTGTCCAAGCTGCTGGTGCGGCCGCGGAGGGTGGCGGTCGTCGGTATGGATTGAACGCGTTGTGCGCTAACAAGTCAAGTAGGGGGAATTCCTCCTAGACCCCCTCCTGCTGACCCCGCGCCGAACACTCTGGCGACACATCGGCGGCCTCCCGCACTTCCCCGCTGGCCTCTGCCACCATATCCAGTGGTAAGTTCCCCATATCAAGAGACATTTGGCTTCTCCCTCTTCCCCCCCCCACTAAGTAGAGTCCGTCACGACCAACGCCGAAGACCCAAATCCGGCGCATGGAGGGGACCCAGGCACATGTATTCACCAACAGAGAGCACTCCTCCTCCCACCGCTGCAAGTAAGAAAGAAACAAACAAACCAAAAGTAGAGGTGACGAACACTTCGCGTTCGATTGGCAGCTACTCCGTTCCCACCGCGCCCCGGTCGCCACGACTTCCGTTATCAGGAGCGTCATCCAAAACAAACCCTCACCCAATGAAATAAAGAATGAAGTACAGTGCCTCGTGGCTGCCAACCCCCCAAGAGCTCCTGCGGTAACGGCGGCTACTGCTGCTGCTGCCGCCGCCGTCCTGCCCGGGTAGCCTGCGCCAACACGTCACCCTGCCCACTTGCCAAAGCCCCCGACCCGACCAGCTGTCGACCTGCTGCTGCCGGGGCCAGGACGAAGCCAAGCCACCGATGCCAGTATACTGTCTGTTTGTTTGTCTGTCTGCCGACTGTTGCTGCTGCTCCTCCTACTGCTACAGAAGGCCAGATAGGTTCCGGGCCAGGCCGGGTCACGTGTAAAGTCCGAGAATTCACTTCGCTGCTGCCGCCATTCAGCTGCCCATCTCCCGCAAGCCCAAATTAGCTCCGAGCACGACTCGCACGTCCGGCGCGTTCTCCAGCTCCTTCAGCACTGGCAGCAACTCTAAAAGCTCCTGGTCATCCATGTTATCGATAAAGGTGCTGATCGGGACTGCGTTTGCTGGCTGGAAGACGTAGGAGTGCGGCGAGTTGTCCACTGCACATGCGGGAGGAGGGAGCGAGGGTGTGACAAGAGGGAATAGCGAAACGCGATGGGGCCGGAGGGCCGAGGGCGTGGAGGGTGCATGGTGGTGGGTGCGGACGGAACCGACGGAGGAACGGAAAAGCGCGAAGTCGGCAAATCGCAAACAACAGAGAAGAGCGGCACATGGAGTTAGGGTTGGCATTGGATCGCTCCATGTCTGCTGCCCTGCGGCGGATGATGTCGCCGCAGGACTTGAAGCAGCCCAGGTACCCCGTACAAGCGAACAGCCTGAGCAGCTGAAGCAGTGTATACCGGTTTGCGGTGTAAATAGTTGCTGAGCTCGCAAGTTGACAAGGTTCGACTGCCATGGCGGGCCGGCGCACATGCGTTGTGTATCCATGGACGCGATTGGCCGACAGAATCCGGGAAAATACACAGAGTGCCTCAGTACAGGCTTGAGGCCATACAAGGGTGACCGCCTGGGCCACTTGTCAACAGCTGGTCCGTATATCGCATCCTAAGGCGAAGATTGGTTTCCCCCCACATGCAACAGCAGTCCACAGGTGTTCGCACGGCCTCTCAATTGATGTCCCTGCAGCTCACCAATGATGGTTTGCGAGAGGTCCCGGCCCAGGCAACTGAGGTCTTTCACGTAGTTCCCTTCGTAGGGGAAGCAGGATTCCCGGAACAACCGCCATCGAACCAGCCGCTGCTTGTCGAGCAGATCAAGAAGCGGATCCGCGTACTTGGCAAGGCTAGCGGTGAAGACCACCACCTCGAACCGTGCGCACACGTTCTCCATGAAATGATCGCACCATGGCCGCTTTAAGACATACACGTCCACGAGCTTGCCATCCACCTCCACGGGTAGGATGTAATCTGCAGGGCAAAATGGAGGCCAGGACGCAGCCATGCCAAGGTGCACGTCCCTCAGACCTGCCGCAATTACATTCAACTATGCTTCGTAACAATAGCTTTATAAGTATACAATTAACCTCGCGCCAAACCCACGTTTAACCCACACATGTGCCCTGCTCGGCCCGAAATTGGCGCAAACCCTCCCGTCTTTGCGCACCAGGGTTCGGGATGGGCTTGAATGATGAATGGACCAGGGTCTCATCAAGGTCGAGCACCAGAGTCTTTCTGTCTATGTCGTCCGCCCGTTTCGGCCCTATAAGCACCTCCCGGTGCACCTTGGGCGGCTGCGGCGGTACAAATCTGCCGCCAGTAAAGTCCCCTTCCTGTGGCCGATAATAGCCTTGGCTCTGTGGCGCAAAGCAGCATAGTAACGAGCGAAACCGCTTGCCCCAAGACTTCGCTGGTGGGGGACTGGAGGAAACCCTGAACGGTGAAGTTACTGGACGATGACTGGTGACTGATGTGACCTGTGTTATAACACTGGACACGTCCACGGGGCTGGGTCTCTGGGCGTCGCCCTGAGAGGACTGAGTTACGCTGGAATCGTTCTCAGGCCCTCCCTGTGGAAGCAAATCTCCATTTACCAAAGGCCTGGCTAGAATATTTTCGTCATTGTTGGGGTCATGCGCGCTGCCCGGAGGCAGCATGTTGCGCGCGCGCGCCTCGCGCAACAAACCGGTGCAAACTGCAGAGTCGTGCCAGGGAAAATAAGCCTGGGAAAATGGAAGAGGTTAAGATTGTCTATTACTTAGGGTGTCTCATTTTATCCCTATGAAACAATCATTGGAGGGGAGTAGTTGAGAACCAATTCCCGCATTGGCAAGACGGTACAGCCTGCAACATCGTATGCCAATTTATCATATAAATATATGATATCAATGCGAATTTGCCTTCGTACATCTAACCATAATTTCTCATTGCTAGCCACCTTCGGAATAGAGCGTCAGACGGTCTGTGGCACGCGCACCCTGTCTTCTCACTATTTAGCAGCTGTATAACAGCCATTATTGTTCCGAGATACTTAGCGGGATTTGCTTTCCTTGACTACCGTCGGCGGCGCTGAATGGAGTACGTCAGCCCCGAGGGCCTGCGCCTCGATGGCCGCAGGCCCCGGGAGCTGCGACGGATCAACTGCCAGCTTGATGTACTCTCCAGCGCCGACGGGTCCGCAATCTTCGAGATGGGCAACACAAAGGTACTGCGCTGATGAGCTCCCGCCCGCGCCATGTAATCCCTTTCCGGCACCGCCCTGTTTCCCAGCGGGTTTCGCAAACAGGCTGCGGCACGTTGTGCTTTGCCCCTCAGCAAATACTCATCCTCCTGCGTGAACGTGGCCGGGTTTGGTGCTTGCCGCACAAATTCGCAAAGACGGACATGCATCCCTGGAACCCCGCTGGCTCCGCATTCCTCCTTACTTTAAAACCCGAAGGGACCGGCACCAGCTCAACAGCTGATTACATACCAGCTGATCCCACAACCTATGTCCATGGCTCCTAACAAATCGAGGAGCTATCTATCAAAGGCCTTGACCGACCGACCCAATTGTGACCGAGACTTTTGGTGTCTCTGGCTGCTTTGCGGGTTGCGATGTTCGCACGGCAGGTGCTGGCGGCTGTGTTTGGTCCCCACGCGGTTACGAAGCGGGCGGACCTCCGCGAGGACGCGGCGATCGTGGTGTGCGAGTATTCCATGGCGGCTTTCAGCACCGGTGTGTGCTGTGTCAGGGCGGCGGGCAGGCTGGTGATGGGCCCGTGGGCGCGGGGGGGGATGGTACGGGTGAGGGCGAGGGCGAGTGGTTGGAAGTATGGGCGGGTAGCTGGGCATGCCTTGCCTGATTGAGGATGGGGCTACATGCCATTGGGTGCCAAGGGCTAATTGGGAGGGGTTGGATCAGAACGCTGGACCCCCTGAAGCTGGGGGAAACTGCTTCCCCACAGAACTCCCCCACAAGGCCCGCTTTTTAACCCTCGAGTAGATTTGAGCGCCCATCGACGGTGTTTCCCCGTTTTATGGGAGCGAGCGCCTCGCTCCGTTTGCCCGCGTGGCCTGAGCAGGCCGTACTGGGTACCACATCACATCGCAACCATCATCACGCAATCGTGATTACATACATACATACATACACATGCACCAATACGCCCACTACCACAACCCACAATACATTCATAGCCATGCCGGGGCTGATGGTGGTGCGGTACCTAACGTTCCAAGGCATACACACACTCTCGCTCTCTTACAGGCACACATACAGATGCACATACAGACACACATACAGCATTCTCAGCATTCCCTTCTGGCGGCTAGAAGTATTTGAAAACACACACACACAAACACACAGACACATAAACACAAAAACAACACCCACGCGCACGCGCATGCACATGTGCCCACCCCCAGGCGAGCGGCGGCGACGGGGCAAGGGTGACCGACGATCCACCGAGCTCAGCATGGTAATTCGCAACACCCTGGAGCAAGCCATCCTCAGGGAGCTTATGCCTAGATCACAAATCGACGTGTACGTCCAGGTAGTTGGGTTGGTTGGTGTGGATTGCGGTTGCGCGTGGGGGCCCGTAGCTGATGCGCGGGTCGAAACTGCGAGGAGCTCAGAGGCACGGGGGGGGGGTCAGTGGGGGTCTGGGTTCACCGGGGCGGGGATGACATACAGACTTACAAAGCAGAAGACTTTATACCCATATTGGTACAACTAGGATCAGCACTAGCGGCCAAATCAGTCAAAAGAGTGGTCATCCATTCAGCAGGTTCAGCACATTCCCGGCATTGAGGTGTGTGTGGAGGCGTGTGTGGAGGTTCTGCATGCCCGGCACTCGTGTGGACGAGCACGGTACACCTTAGGAGAGTAGAACGCCAAACTCCAGAAGGAGTAACATACACACAGACACACAGACACACACACGAACGCATATATGCGCACTACGGGTCCACATGCACAGCAGGAGGTACACCTTAGGAGAGTAGAACGCCAAACTCCAGAAGGAGTAACATACACACAGACACACACACGAACGCATATATGCGCACTACGGGTCCACATGCACAGCAGGAGGCCAAGGCGCGGAGAGCGAAAGGGACTCACTCAGACTTCTCTTGAAAGTCAGCGTTGCGTCAACATTTGGTTATCTCCCACCCCACCTGAGGCACCATGACGCATCCGGATGGGAGCGCGTCGGGATGTCGGGATATCTGCTGGTACCCCTGCTGAGGCGCTGCTGAGGGGCCGCAGAGGCAGCTGCTGCTGCTGCTGCGCTGTGTCCCCCGCAGAACACCTCCTTTCGCTCCAGACCCACCGCTCTGTGGGGACCTCGGGCGGCCTTCCTGCGGTGGGGACCTCGGGCGGCCTTCCGAGGGCCACATGGAAGCAGCCTCATGCAGCCTCATGCAGCCTCATGCAGCCTCATGAGTACGACGATGCACCGGCACGTAGGCTCCGTCCTCGTTCCCGACGCCGCCTCTACAGTGCCTAATCCGTATCTTTGCCTTCCTCTCGGATTGGCTTAACCACCCGGATTCCCATACTCCTCTTTTTTTCCTCCCGGCCGCCCCCTCGGGCATAAATTACCACTGGCACGTGTACTGCATCTTTCATTCCCTTTTGCCGCGTCCAACCGCCGCAACCGTGACTGCTGCCACCAACCGCCGTCCGCTGCAGGTTCTTCAAGCCGATGGCGGCACGCGCTGCGCCGCCATCAATGCCGCCGTACTGGCACTGGCTGCGGCTGGTGTGCCGCTACGTGACTTGGTTGCCTCTTGTGCGGCCGGCTACCTTGACGGCACCCCCCTGCTGGACCTGAACTTCACTGAGGACAGCGGCGGGGGCCCTGACCTGGCTGTGGCTCTGGCTCCCCGGGAGGGCCTGCTGGTGCTGGTGCAGATGGACAACAGGCTGCCCGTAGACACATTTCAGGTGGGGGTGGGCGTGGGGGCGGTGAGGGTGGGGCTGGGTGAGAGGTGTGGGTAGAGGGATTAGGTTAAGGGGGGTGGGTGAAGGGATGGGTGAGGGCATAGGTTGGCAGGTGGATGGAGGGATGGATTGAATGGGTGCTTGCTAGTTGGATGGTTGTCCGAAGGTAACAGCACGGGGGCAATTGGCCCTTAGGATCCCCACCACCCACCGAGCGGCGGCCGCGGGGTAATGGCGAGCGTGGGTTGTAGCTTGTAGGACGTGGCACACACACATATACACACACGCACACGCACGCACACACAAACATACACACACATGCACGCACACACGTACACACAAACACACACATACACACACGCACGCACACACACACACACACACACATGCACACACACACATGCACACACACACCCAGACAGCGAAGGGGGGAAATGGAAGGCCCTATCACACGCGGGACTAGTAAGGCGACCTGATCGACGCGGTGGTAGCCAGCTGAGATCCTTCAGCTGTTGCAGATATGGCAGCGGATGCGCCCTAGTCACACCACCAGCTCCACATCGGCTGATCGCCGAGCAAACCCTAAGGTAGCTGCCGCTTAATGTTCCGCACATCTTCTCCGTAAGGCGCTTGGCCCTTGACCTCTGAACTGGAGTCCTTGACCTCTTGACCTTGGAATTGGCCGTTGCCAAGCATTACCCATCATCACCAGCATGATTTCTCATCCTTAAAGAAGACGCAAAACTCACTACTCCCTTATGTGCCGCCGCTGCGTCCATCCACCGAATTCACCGCATCCAACGAACGCCGTGCTCCGTACCCCCCAGGCGGTTCTGGATCTTGCGCGTGATGGGTGCCGTACCATCAGCGGCGTCATGCGGGCCGCTCTTCTGGAGCACACGAAGCGCCTGGCGGTGGCTAGGGGGATGGCGGGCGGCATGTGATGATGCACGACGGCACCATGTCCCGCATGGTGGGCGATGATGTCGCCGGACATGTTGGCATCCGGCATTACGTATTCGTGATGCGATCGGTATGCGACTTGTTCATCGGTCAATCTTACTGTGGCTGGCCAGTTCAGTCTGTTCACTTGCATTGGGACACATCTCGCAGCCAGGATATGCGTGGTGGATTGCAACACGCCCCAACCAACAGGGATACCAGGACGCGCGACTGTGTTGCGTGGGTGTGCGTGGTGGTGCGATACGTTCTTCTTTGTCCGACTTTTAAGGCGTATGGTCTGTCTGACTGTGATGTGGCTGTTGTGGTGTGGTGTGGTGGTGGATATTGGCGTGTTGGACATAGTCGGCTGCTCGACTGTTGCTCTTAAGCGCCACTTCGACTCAAGATTGGGATTTGGACAGTACTTATCTTGCGAATATGCGCGTGGTCTTAACGACGAAACGTATACAAGTTTTGTGACTGAAGGGACAATACAACACTTATTTTAATTTTGTCATGACAGGCGCTTGGACGATGAAAGGAGGGATGCATAGGTCTCATGTTCATAGAAGCATAGCGGATCATTTGGGTAATGTATGATCAAGGAAAGTGACCAGCACATAGTCGGGTGTGTATAGACTTGCGTAACCGCCTTCAAGACTATTCTTCCCTTCACACGTAGATAAATTACTCATTATAAAGTCGTAACATTTATCTTTCCCATTCAACTCGCAAGACCCGTATACCCGTGCGGAACCGTCATAATCGTAGCTGATTGATCTGAACATATAAGCTACACCATGGCATATGTGATCAACGTCGTCATGCACACGGAAGACACTGTACAGCTGTTACGTGTTCTCACACAAATCGTGTGAGGAGCAAGCAAAGCTAGGCGTCAAGCCACACGCACGTTCACACAGGATTGTGGAGCACATGGTAGCGAAATGCCGTTCATATATATAGATCCGTCGTGCAGGATGAACCTGTCAAAAGGAATCGCCAGTTCTCATATAAATAACTGTTTCGGTTTGCTTACTTTGTCAAAATCTACAAGTACAGGATCATGGTTTGCATTCCTATTCCTAAAGTCCTGCAAGGCTTGGCACGGTTACCTCCGGAACCAATACCGGTTAGGAGGTAAAAAAAGCCGCTGGCAGCTTCCAAACCAAGCCGGCGGTTTGGCGTCCAACCTAACCGTCTCAAGATCCTCTCCTCCTAACGCATGCTGTTGCAAAACCATTGGTTGTCATTCATGACAAAAAAATACTGCTGGAGACTGGACTGGATCACCAACAGCAGCCCCCCCTCCCACAAGAGTACAAGTTACGATACAGTTCTCGTGTAAATGCTTGCACCTCCAGAATCCAGATCACACACCTTAACACAAACGCATCGCGTCATATTTCGATTAGCAGTAAATGCTGTCGATCTTGCCCCTCTTGGCGAGGTCATAGTTGCGCTGGAAGTACGACCAATCCACCAGGTTTACCCACTGCAACAGGTACGCTGACCGTACGTTGCGGTACTTTAGGTAGTAAGCATGCTCCCAAACGTCCACACCAATCAGCGGCACTCCCTCGCTGGCAGCCGACACGAGCCTTCTCATAATGGGGTTGTCCTGGTTGGGGGTGGACGCAATACCGAGGGTACCGTCTGGCCGGTAGATCACCCACGCCCAGCCCGAGCCGAACAAGGACCCAGCAGCGCTGCGCAGCGCATCCAACATTGCGGTTGGGCTGCCCCATGTTTCATTGACCTTGGTTGCCAAATCGTAGCTCAGGACGGATGGGCTGGACGTGTTGTATGTCGTCATGATACTGCAGAGGCGGAGCGAGAGGAGGGACAGGTGCGACGGCACCGGGGAAGTTGAGTTGGGTTCGTGTAACGCGCGGCCGCGGCGAAAATCGCCTGACAGTGCTGAGGCGGCGGTTACATCCTTTCATAGCGCTATTGATACAAGTGAGGGACGTTCGGTGGGTTGGGGGACGCACACGGTTGTACTCTTGGACATGTGGATTACACCGCAAATACGCATGACTGTCACGGTAGTATCACGAATTCGCACAAAAACACCCGTAAACAGTACAAAGTAGGCTCACCGCCAGAAGATAGCATGGTTGTACATGCTGCCTCCGTTATTGCGCAGGGCCGTGGTGTCGTTGGCAAGCAGCTTGTACTTCTGGACGAACCTGGGCAGCCCAAGCTGCAATACAGGGCAACACGGAAAAAACCTATCAAGGTTACGCACTACGAGTAGGATTATATATATTATTTCTATTGTTGTTACACAGTGCCGACTGCAAGTGGCGCACGTTCGGAATATCAGCATCAGCATCTTACCGATACAGGATGCGTTACATCCAACTGAGGAAAGAACGAGAGATAACGGGCTCACCTGTTCTAAGATGGCGGCTAATGGCATCGTCTGCAAAGCTGGATAGCGAGCCAGGACAGCGTTGAAATTAGCAATTGCACCCTGCGTCCACAACAGGAACACATTACACATTTGAAAGGAACTATTGGGCACTTGGTCCAACGGCGCTTTGCTCAGCCGTGAGCCAATGCTACGCAGGTGCAGTCAGTCGGACCGCGAGACACACGCCAAGCACGCGACAAGCCCCAGACATTTAGCCCAATTCACCATCATAAGATCCAACAACGTTCAATCTCCCACCACAAAAGCCATTCCCGGAAACCATCTAGCGTGAAAACAAGAACATACCCCAGCATGTCGGTTGTAATGAAGCCACATAGTCTCGTTGTCAATCGCCGGCATATAACCGTCGTATGAAAGTGGAAGTGGTGGAGGTCCATATGAAGTATTAGTTCCGAATGTCGGACACCCGCGATCCCTCCTGAGCGAAGCCAATAGGAAAACGGTGAACACTCATACATACCCACATGAGCACATGTTACAGATCTCAAACGCGATCCACCCATGAAAAGACACAACCACTTACAAGGCGTACGCGACGGCAGAAAACTGCAGGGCCACGAAAAGGGAGACAACCTGCCAGACAGCAGAAGCTGGTCTTGCCATGATTGTCGCTCTAGCGACTGAAGCCTTGTCTTGAAAAATTAAATACATATATTCCTATGCTGGGAAGAAGAACTAAATACATTGTGGGTGCGTGAGTCTCCGAAACCATAGGTCGAAAAGTACGCCAAGTCGCCTCCAGCTTGTGAGTGTACGGTTCGTCTCGTTTCAGTGAATTCCTGCTACTCGTCGTACAATATCCCGTTCTTTTGATCAGTTGCTATCACAACCTCCAAGCATATTTCGAGGCTAGATAAGCTATTTTTTTCTCTCAAGTTGGCCCCAGGAAACGAGAATACAGTACTTCGGATTGTGAGCAAAAAAGAAAGTTTGTGGATAGGCATTAACAGGAGGGCTTTCATACATGGCGATGAAATGGCTGTATAATTGACGCACGAAGGGAATGCGGTTCAAACGTCTAGCTACCAGACCATATTCCAACTCAAAACAATGATAATTGCATAACAATGATGAAAGGAACTAGCTCCAGTTGGCGATGTGCAAATAGTCCTCAACGGGTAGCGTTACGAAACACTCAACTGTTCCTCGGAAGAGAAATCGATTTGCGCCCGCCTTGAAGCATGGAGAAAAAACCTTCAATGTTTGAAAATAAGCCAGCAAAACTCGAGAAAGCTGATTGTCCATGTTATGCGCTGATTGTCCAAGTTAGCGTCTTAACACCAAAATGCATCGGTATATTTGGTTGACGAAGCGGTGATGCAATTAGTGACAGGATAAGACGTATTAATGTCAGCGAATGTCGTTAGCCCCCTGAGCCCGTTACGCACCTCTTTCTGCCTGTTTCCTAGTGTGCCCTACCAGCTTCTCTTCCGCTACGCATTCCATGGCGAGTACCGATAATGTCGCCAGTCACAGATTCACACAATGACCGCGTCTATTAGCAATTGGGAAACGATTGATGATGCTGCGGATTTTCGTCTTCTTGTGTACCCAGGTGTCCTAACAGCTGTTTCGCCCTTGGACGGCACGTGAAGGCACCAGGCAGCCAGGGACGCCACCGTGACGCCATTCTTACCGCATATATGGCTCCAGATACAGCAAATACTCTAACGCGCGGCATACTGTTCCGAGTTTAATCTTGACAAACAGAGGTGATAGCTTTACAATGACCTGCGAGCACATCAGGAGATGGGTTTTCGCCGCCATAAAGCTGGCAAATCCTCTGGGTGTTGGTGATTGGTGCTGAATCTGGAACTCACTGACTTCGCAGGGTCGGAAGGATAAAAGAGTGTGCCCAAAAAGATCGGGGAAGGTAGCTAGGGACTGCCAGGCTAGTGGCCACGGGCGATGCCATATCCCCCTATTTCACCCTTTCATACCCCAATGGCTGACACGCACTCTTGTCCTCTGTCTGTATCTCCTTAGGACTGATGTGGAACTGCTTACAGACCTCATGTATGTGCACATTTAACTGGGAGCGAGAAAAAGAATGATGCCAACAAGTTCTGTGCACCATCAGACGCTTATCCTCAGCGTTAATCCTAACACCTTAGCCACGGCGGTCGCAAAGCGATCGCGGGTCGGCGGTCGCAAAGCGAAGTAGGCGCTTCTCCACGGATGCAAGATCGTGGATCCACACACATCGGCAAACGCTTCGGAAACTTCGGGTCGTACCGAAACTTGCCGAAGCCGACCCGCTTGCAGAAGTAGGACCACCGCCGTAATTGTAATTTCCTCTGCCTCCTCTGGGGCCCAAAGGGCAACCCGGCGGCCTGTTCCCGACAGAAATGGACCCGTTCCCGAAATGAGAAATGCTTCTTTTGGTGATGCCGACGCCGATTATGGATTATTGCTGCGAATGCCGTTGAAATCTTGTGCTCCGGTTGACGGTTAAGGTGGGCACTGTCGCCAAATCCGCTGGATAAATCTGCCGTTTCACCAGCGCGGTGAATGGATAATGTGGCATCATTGCATCAAGCGACATTACGACGTATTGCAGGCTACGCGCCCAGGCATGAAAGAAATCATCATTCGGACTAGTCAAGGAGTATCACATGCTGGGTACGGACTGCATCTCTTCGTAAGTGATATAAGGAATATAGCTATAAGAGAACAAAGAGGGCCCGCCCAGTAGCTTGGGCCTGACGTCTTGACCTTTGGAGCCCCGCAGCATGAAGCAAAATTGGTCCTAATATACGTTTCAACATCGGGATTGAAACCTGTAAATATCGGCAGTCAACTTTCGCACAAGCTTTTGCTGCTCCTAACTGACAACTGTCATGTTTATAATACCGCATCAAGGGAGCATGCACGGAACATCTAATTTCTGTTTTTCATGCCAGACAACAAGGGGATGTTTGGATTGTGAACGAAACAATGAACGGGGCTTTCGCTGCTCGAGTGCTGAGCCCGTCCTTACCACAAGCGGGCCTCCTTAGGGCACCTAATGTCCGTTCCGTGGTTGCTAATGCACGACGAGGTCGCAAGCTTCTTGAAGAGCCCGTAGAGGAGGTCCTAACGCCGGCGGCGGATGTCGCCCCAGCGCCACCCAAACGCACAAGGAAGCCCCGTGCAACTGCAGTGGCCGAAGCAGATAACACAGCTGTATCTGGAACAGAAGCTGTCCTGCCCCCAAGTCGAAGCCGGCGGCGCAAGACTGTTGACGTGGACGAGCAAAATGAGGTCGGAGACGAGCCTGCGGATGCCACACAAAAGCAAAGCGGCAGGAAAAAGGCCGCAGAAGTCGCGGTTGAACCCAACTCAGTAACAGCAAGTTTCGATGGGCCAGGTGCAGAATTGGCCGATGACTCAGCTGCAGCCCCGGCCAAGCCTAAGCGGGCCAGCCGCAAGAAAACAGCAGCATCAGCCTCTGACGAAACAAATACCGTCAGTAGCGTTGATGACGGCGCAATTGCAGCAGAACCCAACACGAAGACCAAAGCCAAGCGCGCATCGAAGAAAACCAAGGAGCCGGAGCTGCCCGACGTCGTGTCAACTCGAGGCAGACGCCGGGTGACAGTGAACTCTGATGATGATGAGGAGGACGCTGCAGCAACACCTTCGGCGCCAGCGGTGGTAGATCCCCCCCCCAACGCAGCGGCTGTGGCCGCCAAGCGCCGGGCTGCAAGCCGACGGGGCAGCGCCAGGTCCGCTGCCGCCACCCCGGGCGCCACAGCCGCTAGCTCCATCCAGTCGGAGCTGTCACAGCTTGTGATCCAGCGAAACGACTCAGGGTACGAGGAGGGGAAGGGACACAAAAGGGGTCCCCTAAGGGAGAGAGGGAAAGAGTTGTAACGGGCCGAAAAAGACGTTATGGGCCTTTGGCGTATGTGACCCTCATGTGGCAAAATATTTGCTAAACACCGGCGTGATGGGGGACTACAGCCCGGGCCAGATTCCCCCGCCCATCCCGCCTCCTAAGGAGTCGAGACGTGTCCGCGGCCCTGTGGCCCCGGGGCTGTCCACGGCCCCAGCGCCCAATACTCCGTGGCATGCGGACGCCGAGGGACATGGGACAAGCAAGGGAAGGGGCAGGGGACAGGGGTGTATTCACACGGGGGATGAGGGTCAGTGCGGGGGTGGTTGCGGCACACGCGGGGGTGGGAGCGCGGGAGCGGCGAGAGCCCGTGTCCCGTCGCTGTGGAGGAGGGGAGGATGTGGAAGAGGAGGAGGAGGAGGAGGGGTCCTGCCAGCACTAGCAGCAGCAGTAGCAGTAGCAGCAGCGCACCGAAGTAAGGACTGGGGGGCCGAGGAAGGCGGGAAGGCGGCATGTGAAGGAGGAAAGGAGGGAGGGGAAGGGAGGAGGGAGGGAGGGAAGAGGATGCCCTGCGCCCTGTGTCACCTTGTCTGCTATGCAATTAGAAATTCCGGTTCCCGCCGCGTGCTGGCTGTCGGCTCCAGGGAGGTGGTGTCCATCAACCGCGCCGCGCTGGGTATGGGCCGCAAGATGTGGTACGCCATCGGGGTGAGTCAGCCCCGTCAGTCCGTCTGTATGTCTGTCGGGCGCCATCTGACACTTGTTTCGGCTGCCAGGAAGCAGGGCCGGGGGTAGGAAGGGGGCTGAAAAGGGGGAAGGTGGGGAGGGGAGACGCGCGGGAGGAGGGGGAGGAGGAGGACGAGGAGGGTTTCCCGACGGGGTTGTTGCGATGTCGGACGGGGCGGCTGCGCGGTTTCCCGCCTGCCGCCTTTGCCACCACCCGGTTTGTGTGCACCTGGCAGGTTTCCAGTGGTATGGAACGCAAGTGGGCCGAGCAGCTGCACAGGAAGTTGGCCACCAGCGACAGCACCATGGTCGACCCGGAGACAGGTGCGCGCGGGTATGTATGTATGTGCGTTTGTGTGTATATACGTTTGTGTATATGTACGTTTGTGTGTCTTGGAAGACTGGGCTGTGCGAGTGGGAAATGGCGACGGGGGGGAGGGTGGTGGTTGACACGCACACACACACACACACACACACGCACACACACTTGAGAGCAGCAGGTTTACTACCACCACCCCAGGAAGGGGTCACACCTGCAGCGAGAAGGGGCAGGAACTCGCTGAATGTGTATGGATGTGTATTCCAAATCACACACTCCCATGGGTCCGTTCCTTACGTGATGTGACCTTCCGTCCATCCTCCTGAGGCACATTCTCTCTACAAACACCGCTCTGACGCTATTTCCCCCCTCCGGGCGCTTTCTCTCCCCCCTCCTCCCAATGTACACGCGTAATCGCGCGCTTCAGGCGATATGGTGCCCGCGTCGTCGCTCATCGTGCCCTGGGTGCCTGTGCGCCGGGACTGGGTGATGGCGAAGAAGACTGGGAACGTCATTCAGCGGGAGGTAGGAGGACCTTTTATGATGGGGGACTTCATGGTTCGATTGCGAATCCCGGAGTGGTTTTTTGGTTTGCAGACATGTTTTAATGAGTTTTAGTTGGGCCTGAGTTTCGAATCATGGATGCTTATTGTTCTCGCGGTGCTAGGGCACGGTTTTAGCGAGGGGTTTTAGGTCGATTTAGTTCGGGTTAGGAAGGTTTAGGAAGGTGGGCTGTAGGATTAAGGAAACCTACTTAATACCGCCATTTTACATGGACCCGCCAATTGGCGGTCCGTTTGGCCATCATCATCATCATCATCTACATTCTTTTTGAGCTCCATGGTTTCATCACGTGTGTGCATCTCCCGTGTTTTTTTTCCGGTTGTACGGCACCCTACGTCATCCAAACCACCCGCATCCCTACTCCCACTCCCTTTCCCTCACCCCACACCGCACCCTCACGACCCTGCTTGCATGATCGCCCAGGTGGTCCACAAGGAGGGCTGGGTGTACGTCAACGCACCGCTGGACGAGCAAGTCGTACGGATGGTGGAGGAGTGTTACGGCTTCCAGCAGTGGCGCGGGGAGCAGGATTACTTTTTGGACGACGTGGTGGGTGTTGGTGTTGGTTTTGGTGATGGTGGGATGTGTGTTAGCTGAGGAGCTTGTTGGAAAGGAAATAGCTGCGAGCTGTAGCGTCTTCCTTCCCACTTCCCTCCCTTACCCGCCACCTGGGGCGGAGGGTATTGATTCGCCACGCAACTTTCCCCGCCCCCCACCGTACCCTAAAACCCTTTTCCCCCTCGGCATCAGCTTCACTCCATCATGGCTCATCTTCCCCCCACCCCTGGAGCAGCCTTACGCTTGGACCATACTGCATGTGGCATTGAAACGATGCCTGCCTGCATACTCTTTCCTTCCCTTCTCCTTCCTACACACGCCTTTCCTTTCCCACTTTGGATTTTTGCATCTGACCCTTCGCTTCTTTTCGTGGCGCTCCTCATGATGACCCACCCGCCGCCGCCCGCCGCAACATTTGATCCCTAGGGTGCCGTGAAGCTGATAGCTCCGCTGTCCGAGGAGGCGGTGGCGGAGATTCGTTCCTGGGAGGCGACCCCGGTGGCGGATGAGATGGATGAGGCGAAGAAGCAGGAGCTGGCGCGGAGCATGTTTGGCGAGGCCGGGGGCGACGTGCTGGGCAGGGTAAGTCGTAGCGGGGTTGTTTGGACGTACATTTAGGTGTGTGCGCGTGTGTGTATGTATGTATGTATGTATGTATGGATGGATGGATGGACATACATGATGGATTGTTGAGATGGGAGGGCCACGAGGGCCGGGGGCGCCAGGAAGCCGTCCGACTGGAGGCCGCACTTCTGGTGAAGGCAAAGAATATAACGTGCTTCTCTCTACTGCGTGCACATGACAAATGTACACGTACAAGTACATGTCTATGGGGTTCGATCCCGTGCACCATGCACGCGATCGCTCTCACGCTCGCGCCAACATGATTCCTACGGTATCCTACGGTACGCACTTCAATGTTAATGTCGTACCGTACCGTACATGTTGCGACCCTCCCAAATCCCAACCGCGGACAGAGCGAGCGGCTGGAGGAGCGCGAGGGTGCCACCGAGCTGGACGAGAACGGCCGCGTAGTCTACCGCAACCCCGACTACACGGGCGGCCGAAACAATCCCAGTAACTGGTACACGGGCTCGCAGCGGGGCTCCGAGTCGCCCAACGCTGGCCCTGCCGCCGCCGCCGGCGCCTCCGAGACCTCCGAACAGGAGGAGCTGGTATCCCTGGATGGTCGCGGTAACGAGATGGCATACGCTCCGGAACCAGAGCCTAGGAGGGCGGAGCGCCGACAGGGCGACTCCAGGGAGCCTTCACGCGACTTTGGCGGCCGGGACTGGCAACGGGGACCCGGACTGGGTCGGGGATCCGGGCTGGGTGAGAAGGCGGCTTGGGAGGAGGGCCGTACGGCAGGCACACGCCGGCGGGAGGAGTCTGGCGGGCGGGAAGTGACGTCAGCGCCGTCGAGGCAGCGGCAGCAGCCTCAGTGGCAGCAATCGGAGCAGCCGCCTGTGCCGGTTCCAAGTCGTGCGGGTGTGAGGTGCGTCCGTGACCTCATTTTCTGTTCATGATGTGGGCGGGTGATGTGGGCGGGTGATGTGGGCGGGTGATGTGGCTGTGCCTGCTTACTGAATTAGAGAACCCCCAGGCCCGCCAAAAACGCTCCATCCACAGACTCTCCGCACCCACACGGGTGGGGTTGTAGAACTTCCCAACTGACAACCCCCTGCCCGATCTGGCGGAGTTCAATTATGTACATTATGTACAATCCAAGAGAGAGTGTAGCGCCCATCAAGCTATGAGCTAGCGGCATCGGGGGGGGCTGACGAGCAACGGCTGTCTGCGTAGAGCCCGACCCTATAGAGGGATAAACCGACTGAGTGGGAATGAGTGTGGGAGGGTCCCAGCGATCTTGCGTTGTTGTGGATCGTTCTCCGGGGTAAAGGCAGCTGGGAGCCGGTCTTCTAATTGACGGCTGCCGCCGCCTGTCTCCTATTCCACAGGCCCTCCACGGCGCCCATGGCGCCCATCCCGTCGCCGCCGCCGCCGTCGGCGCCACCGAAGGCAGACGACTTCGTCTTGAAGTTCGAGGACGAGGGGAAGGAGGAGAAGGAGGAGGGAGATGATCGGACCGCTGCCCAAGCCCCGGCGTCCGGGCGTGGTGGCGCGGCGGTATCACCGGCTGCAGCAGCAGCACTGCCGCCACCGCCGCCGCCACCGCCGCGACAGCTCGATAGCCGATCCGACAAGCGGAGTCGGTGGGAGCCTGAGAACGAGGTGGAAGATGGCGATGATGAGGATGAGGATGACTTCGAGGATGAAGGTGATGTGGTTGGGCGAATTGAGGGTCCCAGTGGGGGTCTCGACATGGATGAGTGGTTCAGCTCAAGGGGGGATGCCGACGGCGGCGGCGGCGGCGTCGCCGCCGCCGCCGCCACGTCGGGTGCTCTTGGGCAGCGGCCGACGGCGCCGCCGGGTAGGTCTCGAAGTACCAGTACCGATGGCGCCCGTGGCCGCCGGGACAGGAAGTACGACAAGTTCCTGGAGGAGGACGATTTGGAGGAGGACGACCGCGGCGGCAGCAGCGGCGGCGGCGTTGGTTTAGGCGGGAAGCAGTTTGACCGTCTTGACGGGGGCTATCTTGATGAGGACTCGGAGTTTGGATTTGGCAAGGATGACTTTGCAGATATTGACTTTGATCTTTTGGGCGACGATGAGGGCCTGGGAGCGGGCTGGAAGCAGCGCGGCGGCGGCGGCGCCGCCGCCGCGACTGGCGGCAGACGGCGGCAGTCGCAGCAGCCGGCGGCGGGCACGAGCCGAAGCGGCGGCGCCGCTTCGGCGTCGTCACAGCGGCTGGGCGACGACTTCTTCGACGACCTGTCCTTTGATTACATGAAGTTTGACGACGAAGATGACGGCATCACGTCCACTAGCCGTGGTCGGGGTGGCGGCAGGTACGGCGGCGGCTACTTAGGTGATGACTTTGGCGGGGTCGATGACGACTTGTGGGGTGACTTCGGGTCTGGCAGCAGCCGCGGCGGCGGCGGCGGCACCGCCGCCGCGGCGGGGCGTGGCGGCAGCTACGGCGCTGCCGCCGGCGGCAAGCTGGGCAAAGGCAAGGGCAGTGGCCTCGGCACCGATGACGATCTCTTTGGCGGCGGTGATGATGACGACTGGGGTTACTTTGGTGCTGAGGACGGCGACGGCGGCTTTGGTGACTTTGGCGGCTCGGATCCGTTTGACTTGGGTGCCGATCCGTGGAGTGGCGGCGGCGGCGGCGGCGGCGGCGGCGGCGGCGGCGGCGGCGGCGGCGGCGGCTTCGGTCGTCAATCTCGCGACGGTGGTAGAGGTGGGCGGACAGGAGGCTATCAGGGCGGCGGCCGCGGCGGCGGCGGCGGCGGATACATGTCTGGCGCAGGTACGACGGAGCGGAGCGTGCCGTGTCTATATCTTATGTCAGTATGTGTGTCAGTATGCCTGTTTGTCAAAGAGTCCGTGTACGCACACGCGTGCCGGTTGGCTGGTTCTTGACAGAGGTTCGTAAATGCAATACACCGCACGAGTTATTTGTCAATTAATTTGTGCCCATTCGATGCCGCAATTGTTTATTGACGGCATTCTTGCGTTTGCATAGGGCCCAACTACGACGACGGCGACCTAGCGGACCCGGCGACGGCACCTGCCCCGAGTACGGGCAGGCCCAGCCAGGGAGGGCAAGGTCAGGGCTACCGCTCCGGCGGCAGCGGTGGCGGCGGTTGGAGGCAGGGCGGCGGCGGAGGCGGAGGCCGGGGCAATAGCTGGCAGCAGGGAGGCTCGGGGTACGGCAACCGTGGGTACCAGGGCGGCCGCGGCGGCGGTGGAGGCGGCTATCAGAGCGGCGGCGGCGGGGGTAGGGGTGGTGGTGGGGGAAGAGGCGACGGAGGCGGTCGCTGGGGGAATGGCGGCGGCGGGAGTTACGGCCAGCAACAGCAGCGTCGCGGCGGCGGGGGTGGTGGCCGTGGAGGAGGTTGGCAGGACAGGCGCAACGGAGGGCAAGGAGCGCCGGGGGCCCCTTGATCACAGCTGGGGTCGGACGGAAAGTGGCATGGTCTAGCGCTTCGCGCATGTTGCGTGAAATTGCGTTTTCCTCGACATTGGCAGAGAGTGCACAGCACGAGATCGTACTATTTTCGGTCATACACGTTTCCTGCTTAATTGGCTGTGGAGGCCAAAGGCTAGTGTGCTTGTAAACCATGCGCAATCTTGTTGTTCCCTGTTTTTGCAAGCGCTTGAAAAAATATGCTCCTTTGTAATGCTAAGTTATCCATGAAAATAAATAGACACAGCATGATACCATCCTGGATGGTCATAGAGACAGATAAGTCAGCTTTTTGTAAGGCGCTAAGGCTGTGGCTCCGGAACCACAGGCTGACTCGATCTCCTTTTAAAACATGCACGTAAATTGCTTTCACAGCAGAATATAGTGTTCCTTCGAGGAGTTGCAAAGATGGCCACCATGTTCGCTCAGCGCCAGACGGCTTTCGTTGACACCCGCGTGGCCCCCAAGGTACGCTTGCTCAGGGGGACTTTGTCGCGGCAGTCGCACAATCCAACTTTAATACTAGTGCTCGAGGTCCTGCACGACTCTGCGGACGGCGCCCTTCCTCCGTCGCTTGCACCTAAGGCAATGCAGACGAGTCGCTGAACGTCGCCGTCACAGCATATGGGAACTCGCAAAATTATGTACATATTACATGTGAACGAGCATAGAAATCCTTCACTACTAAGGCATATCCATGCGCAGTGCTGCCCATTTTATCTGCAAGCATGGCAGCCGATGGGGCCTCAGGTGCTGTGATGGCATAATTTCTGACTGGAGCTGACACTGCTGTTATGTTTTACATTATACTGCAGGCCCCTGTCCTGGCCGCCGCGCGGTCGCGTCAGGCTGTGCAGACCCAGGCGCTCTTCGGCTTTGGTGGCGCAAAGGCCCCAGCTGGCGCTGCCCCTACTACCCAGTACATGATCTGCATCGACTGTAAGCAAATTTATGCCTATTGAGATGCTGCCAGGCGTGGCTAGAAGCTGTTAAGGGAATTACGCCTTGGTCCCCCACTGTCCTGCCCTAAGGCCCCCCCTTGCCATCGCATGTTGACCGCACCACTCCAAGGGAAACGCTGCAAGCCCCCACAAGACCCCTTACCCCGCATTCTCTCGTCTAGTGGCACTTGCCGCTCTTACGCACCCGCAGGTGCAATGCTGCCTGTCTGCACACGTGCATATGGACCTGCTTATGAACTGCGCAACCCAATTCCTCCCTTTCGTTGTGGATTGCTCGTGTCCCAGGCGGCTACATCTACGACGGCAGCCAGGAGTTCAAGTCCCTGCCCGGCTCGTACAAGTGCCCTGTCTGCTCCTCGCCCAAGAACCGGTACGCGAGCACCATGTTGCAAGGCTTCAAGTTGTGATGAGCAGCACATCACAGCATCAAATGGCTGAGAGGGATTAAAGGAAGGAAGGAGAAATCCTGATCCGGAATAAATCCAAGGAAATCGGAAAGCAATTAAGACGTAGTACAGCCTACCAAGCGGCTTCATACGCCACCCTAAACCCCGACCACTGAATCAATTTAGGGACAGGTCTAATGTATTGACTGCGCCCGTTTTGAAATGGGTCGAAAGCGCGCGCTGCGTTTAGCTGTCGCAGCGGGCATTCGTCCCGCAGCTGCATGCTTTTGGGTCGCGGGTTTTGCCATCAACTGCCATGAACGGTCTCCCGAACTTTTTGGCCGCATTTTGGGTCACGTGGCTTACAGATAAATAAACCCTTACAGTCTGATGAGGCGCGTAGCGTCGTTTTTCCTCCAGACGTTCATACGAACCAACCGGACAACAGCGGCGGAGTTGCAATAACCATAGCCGGGACTGTGTACCTTTACTTACACACGAACAGGAGAGCCAGAATGCCAGGAGCTGTGGGGTCATTTAAGAGGTGCTTTGGACGTGTACGGCGTGCATGCTGTCATACGTCATACACGGCGGCATTCGAGTTACTTTATAATTCCTAACCTCGAGCTCTGTGCCTAGGTCGCTATGTCTCTTCGCCCGTACTTCTGAGAGTCCCAGCTTAGGACCAATGTCCTAAACTGGGCCTTCCGCCCAAACCCTGAGTGGCCGACAAGGCCGCCTTCTGCTCGCGGGATTACATGGCCACTTCCTCCTTATTTCCCATATGGATAAGCTCCTGTGTTTTCCAAGTCGTTCCCACCTGGGCGTCGTGCTACTTCCTTGGCTTTCGTTTCCTTTGGGCCCTTCCGCGTTTAACGCTTTTCCGCCTCTGCATCCCTTCTATCTCCCCGCACAGCTTCAAGGCGTACAAGGGCACCGACGTCAAGGGGAAGCCCAACAACGCGCCCGCGACCATGAAGAAGCGGAAGGACGCTAAGCAGTGGTAAAGCACTGCCCGAGGAGAGGAACAGAGCAGCGGGGTTCTCGGCTGCGCCGTGCAGACGACGAAGACGATGTGCGCTGGGGGCCATAATAGGATGGGCCGCTTCCCGCTGTTGGTGGTGAGAATGGTAGAACAGCGGCGTGGGATAACTGTTCTCGTGGATGTCAAGGATGGAGTTTTGTGCTAGAGGTCCCACCTAATCGCTGTGTTTTCCCGGGGCCCTGAGTAACTTCTGTTGGCACCAGTGCAGCGGGCACTCAGGGATTCTCGTCGGAAGGTCGGAAGTGGGTTTGGTGCGACGTGAACCATTGTAAAGTGGTGGCTCGGACTTCGAGTCCATGGCAACGCGGGTCCTTCCATGTAACTGTGGAGCATTTAATGTCATCGGTCGCGAACTATGCAAGCTGGGGAAAACCTGGTGGAGCAGCGGGGACAGGCTGCCTGACTTTCAGCTTAACGCAAATGTGCGGAGCTGCTGTGTTTTACTATGGGGTGATCATGGCGTTCAGCGACGCAATTGGAGTCACATGCAAGAAGTTCTGCGCCTTATCCCCAGATCATGACCAAAACACTGGACTCCGGATCCGGCTTCTTTAATTCCATCCATCCGGGCAACAATTAACCTACGATCTTCCAACCGATCCAAGATTTAAACGAAGTTGTGTAACAACAGTGATTCATACGCCTCTAACAACAGGGCATCACAACGTTAGCTGATATCTTTCCTCCAGTCAAGTTTCCATATAAAAAATATTACATCGATCTACATTTTCCATATCTTTCGAATAACAGACCATGCAGACGCTGCAACGGCGGTCAGGGTGCCGAGCATTTGGCGCCGCGAATGTTCGTCAGCTTCGCAGAGCGCATGCATGCTACGCACAGAGCCCCACGGTTGTGGTGACTCAGGCAGCGTCGCATGCAAGATTGGATAGCTTGCCAACCTTGCCACCCCTTGACGGCAAGTCCTCTCGTCTTCCTTGCGGATGGCCAGCACCATCGTCACAGCCTTACCTGCTCCGATGATGCAGGAGCATATGAAACTGCTATGGCGTTTACTGATTTTGCCAACTGGCTCATACCGGGCAGCGTCATGCTGGGACGGTATCCATACGTGGAGCCTAGCCGATGCTTACGCCGCGAGCAAGGGGAGCAACAGCTTCAGCGTATTTTGGAGACTGGTGTGACAACGTTCGTGAGTCTGCAGGTAGGAGCCGCTGGCTTTTGCTGCTTTGTTCACATGCGCCGTCCTCCCGCTCCACCCGGGTTTCACACGGCTGTTCTCTGAACCCTGCGTATGATCTTTTCCGGACAATAGTGATGATTCTGGGATGAATCTAGATACCATTAAAGCTATGCATAAGGCAAGTGACGTATGTCCAGAGGTTTACACGGCTCCAAACTTTGACCTGCAGGGCCCTAACGCCTGTAAACGCGGAATGAATGTCGGTGATGGGTGGGGCTCTGACCGTGAAACCCTCCTCTGCAATCAGGGCTGATGATTGCTTCGCGTATGACCCACCTTTTATATGACGTAGCTTGGAGCCAGCACGGATTACCTTGCCAGATGGTCGGCCACTACGAAGGGCTGCCAAACAGCATCTTAACTCTGCTACCAGGCAAACACAGTACCGCCCATTCCGCACTAACCGACCCGGATGGCGGGCCCTCCTGAGTTTCCTTCTTCACTTCTCTCTCCCCTCCTCCTGTTCACATTTGGACCAGTTGTTCGGGTCCAGCTGCCTATTTCCTGATTCCCACTCGTCCCTTCCCCAACGTTTCCACCAACGCGCGCTCACCCGTTCCCAGGCGGAGCTGCCGCCGCAGGAGAAAATGACGCTAGCCGGAAAGAACGGGTTCTTGCCGTACAAGGCTACGGCAGACCTGATCCGCTCGTCACTCAACGGGTAAGAAGATGAGGCTGCCGGGGTTTGGCGCGGATGGAGTCGGGAAAGGAGTGCTTGTGTGAGTGTCCATGGAGAAAGTGACCAGCGCCCCAGCGCCCCCGCGGTGCTAAATACGGCCCCTAAATATAACCCCTACGGCTTCCTGCATGCCGTTCTTTTCCCGTCCTGTGGCTTCCCCTTTTTCTCTCTGTTTCAGGCCGCCACCAATGGAGATTGTGGAAGGGCTCCGAAACCCAATGCTGGATAAATTCCTCCCAGCACGAGTAAGCGTCCCCCACCCACTTGCAGCTGCTGAAGCTTTGTGGGGTTAAGAGTCGGAAACCAGGGGTGGGGGCCTTTACCCTCCCCGTCCCTTAGTGGAGTAGGTGGAGGGACTTTACACGCGCACATCAACGGATAACCAACGCGTACAGCGCATCGTGCGGCGGTCTTGTTCGTCAGCGTAATGGGCTTTCTTGCCAAGGGCAGGTTGGGTCGGTTGGTGCCCACCCCGTGTTGTAGCTATGGCGGTGGTGGTGGTGGTGATAATGGTGCAGCGGCCCCCCCTCTGAACCAGGTAAATTTGTGACCCGCACCCAGCACGATCTGCACGCGTTCTGCACGGGGCTCCGCATGGATCTTGTACCGCTACTGTACCGACCCGCCTGTCACCCTACCTAAACTCGCCGCCGCCGATGCCGGATGCGATTGCCACACGGACCTCCGCTCCCCCTCCTGCAAACGCAGAAGCGCCAAGGCGGTGTGCCGTACAACCCCGTAACGCTGCAATTCATCCACTTCCCCATCGTGGACCTGGGTCTACCCCGCAGCTCGGAGTTGCCGAAGCTCATTTCGGGTGGGTAGCTAGCTAGGTACTCGGTACTAGGTAAGCCCGCGTGGAAGGTGGGGTCACCCCATTCCACTGCCGAGTGGACGGTTACGGAGTAGTCTGGGGTGCTTGTCAGCAGGGTCCATCCTGCCTAGGGCACGGTTGCATGGGTCGGGGGTTGCTGAGTGGGTTATGGAACCCTACCCAGGTAACAGGGCAGTACCTTGCTGGTGGTGATGAGGGTGGCTAAGGAAAGAGCAGCGGCAAGTACCTACCGGTAGATATCGGGGCTGGAAGGTGAGTGGGCCAAGGAGGGGCGGTAAGGGCGGTGCGCCACCTGACAGGTGGTTCATGCCCGGCGGTCCGGGTACAACCTCGCCTGGGTAAAGCCCTGCTGTGGTGACGCTGTGCCCGTCGCAGGATGAACCGCCACACAAGCACCCACACAGCCTGTTTCTTTGATACCTTCCCCTCCTGTTTCCCCTTGTGTACATCGTATCGATTCTACTTGCTGATCTTACAGCCCTCTCCGGTGTTTTCTCCCCAACGACAACCCCAGACATGGAGCAGCGGCTAGCAGTGGGTGAGAAGCTGTACGTGCACTGCTGGGGAGGTCGCGGCCGGGCGGGCACCGTGGGCGCTTGCCTCCTGGCTCAGCTGTACCGGTGAGCAAGTGGGATGGGGGCTGCAGACTTTGTGGTACAGCGTAGATGGAAGATGGAGATGGGGATGGGACCGATAGGATCCTTCGCTGGGAAGAGGAGGACTTAGGATGGGAACTCATCAAGGACTGCGGGACAGGTTGTGTGTGTTACGCCCTACGCAGCTGCCAGCGGTCACTCGGGTGGCTTCGTGAGGAAGCAAGGTGCCCCAGCCCCAGGGGTAAACTCATGGCCAAGGCCCCGACTTTTCTGTGGCACATCGTCATCATGGGGGCAGGATACCCGGGGCATGTTAACAGGCGCGGAGCCAAAACGCATATCCGCTCGGCCGACGCCATTCCCAATTGCACATCCGAGGATTAAGGTTATGGCGTCCGACCTGGGCTCGGTGTCGTGGTTTCCGGTCCGTCGGGTTTCTCACGGCGGGCCGTTCGTGGTGCCTGAATGGAGGAGGGTTCCTGTTTTGCTCTGATACTTGACGCTGTCATGTCAGGCGCGCGTGTGGCTGCCACACAGCGTTGTGGGCGGTTTTTGCTGCTTAGCATTGCTATTGCCTGCTCCCCATATGCACGGTTATTTTTGGCCTGGTCTCTTCTCTTTGACTTTACAGCCTTTCGGCGGAGGAGTCTCTGGAGCGGGTGCAGAGGGCGTTCGACACACGTCAAGACGGGGGCCGGCGCAGCCCAGAGACGGAGGAGCAGGTTATGTTTGTACAGGAATATGTGAAGGCACTGAAGCAGTAATGGTTGTGACAGTTTTGCTGCGTTCGGTGTGCGCGTCTCAGTGCCAGGCCTCCGTGACAGGTTGGCGGTGGTTGGAAACCACCATCAGGTCATTATGGGTAGTCCAAGGTTGCGCTGTTCATGAACCTTAATGGTTTGCTACGGTGGCAAGATTTTCATTCTATTGCTACAGATGTATGCAATGTAACGCTGAGGCAAGTTTGAAGAGTCTTGTTGAGCTTTACTTCGTTTGCACCCGATATACTCGTCGTCCGCACGTTTATCACGTTTATCTCCTAGGACCTCCAACATCCAAGTGTATGCTGTCTGTGTACAGCTATAGTTACCAAGGCTTTTGACATAAGTGACAGAACTTTCTTCGGTTCTGTCCCAGCCTTCAAACCGGGCGGTCGTCGTATACCAAACATTGGCATCCTTTGGCGCCGGGTTTTGCACGTGTAAGTGGACGATAATACTTGAAAATCTATTCGTTCTCTCAGGGGGCCAGGCAACTGAGCCATCTTGCCGCCGCCGGGGATGTGCTAGTAGGCGTAATATGCTCGGCCGAACACTTCCTAAAGGTAGCTTTACAGGTCGGCATAGGTTTAATAGTCACAAGAACGTAATTGTCACTGCTGTTCGAACACGTAGGTGGTGAGTTGCCGCGGCTTTAACAGGAGTCGACAAGCGGCTTGCACCCTTGGGGCGACGACTCTACAACCGGAAAGCAGCTAATTGTGCTATCTACTCTCTTTTCTTTTTAAATTAAAGGATGACAAACTCGGAGGCGCTGCTCAACGGGAGTAATGCCGCTGGCCCCCGAACAGTGCCGCTATCCATAGACACGATTAACAAACGAGTAATCAACTCGGAGTATGCTGTGCGTGGCGAGATTGTCCAGCTAGCGCAAAAAATTGCGCGCGACCTGGAGGAAGGGAAGGGCAGCCACCCCTTCGATAAGGTGGTGTGGTGCAACATCGGGAACCCGCAGATCCTGGGTCAGAAGCCCATCACCTACTTCCGACAAGTGCTGGCGCTTTGCGAATGCCCTCAGGTGGGGGCTGTACGGCCTGTCCTGTCACATCCGTTTAGAAATCCCCGCTGGTTCGCTGGTTGAGAGGGTGGGTTGCAAAACCGGCATTGCACTCCTTTCCTGGGAAAACGCCTGGATCCTAGTCCTCTGGATCCTAGTCCTCTGGATCTTAGTCCTCTGGATCTAGGTCTTTGCTGCCCCGTTGAACTCATCTGCTTCCAGATCCTGAATCCTCCCTCGATCGCTACATCCTCCACTGCATGACTTGTTCCTGGATGCCCCCTCCCTCTGATTCCCCAACAGCTGCTGGACCACCCCCAAATCCGGGAGCTCTTCCCGGATGACGTCATCGCGCGGGCCCAGCTGCTGGTTAAAGCCATCCCTGGAGGTCTGGGGGCCTACAGGTGCGTACACGTACGGCATTTCAAGGCGGTGGTGAGGGTGATGGGTGAGGGTGATGCCAATGGTAGGGGCGGCGGATCGCGGCTGTTGCACCGCCCTCGCGTGCGCCATGTTTCTGTTTTCGTCATCTGGTGATCTGCCAGGTGCATGGTCTTACGAGGCGGGATGGAGGGCTGGGTGGCCTGGGTGGCCTGGGTTCGGGTAATCCCTCCAGGGGCGAGAGTTTCTCTTTCTGAGAGTGGGGGGGGGGGAGAATGGGGGAAAGGGGGGAGAGGGAAATGGGGGCGCCGGACTACAAAGGGTTCAGGGGGAGTGAGAAGGATCACGACTATTGGGATCACCATCGACACCACCATTATGATTTGTGTGTGTGTGTTTTGCACCTTCTGGAGTTGCGGTTTTACTCTCCGAAGGTGTACCGGGCCCGTAAAGGCCTCGTAAAGACGCAAAGAAAAAGCTATTGGGATATCGCTCGAAAAGAAAATCATGTCGAAATGCCCGAACTGTCCAGACTGCTACGCTATAGCAGTGCGCTTCGAGGGGCTGCCCTGGCCCCTGGCCCACTAGCTAAACATGCAACCTTGCTTACTCGCAGCGACTCAGCGGGCGCTCTGATTCTTCGGCAGCTGGTCGCCAGGTCCATCGCCAGGCGCGACGGCTACCCAGCCAGCCCAGAAAACATCTACATGACGGATGGCGCCTCACCTGCCGTACATTACATGATGGACTTGCTGCTCCGGGAGCCCACGGACAGCATGATGGTGCCCATTCCGCAGTACCCGTTGTACAGCGCCACGCTGACACTGTACGGCGGTCGGTTGGTGCCGTACCTTCTGGACGAGGCCGCGGGCTGGGGGCTCGATGTGGCCCATCTTCGCGAGCAAATCAGTACGGCACGTGCGTCCGGGCTGTGTGTACGAGCCGTGGTGGTGATCAACCCTGGTAACCCGACCGGTAAGTGAGCTGGGAGGGGGAACATTTGGGGTTGGTTGCGTTCAGAGGAGGTGTCACAGTGGGTATACCTCTACCGGCAGGTAAACGATTCCCCCAGGGGCTTAACAGCACATGTCGATGAGGGGCCGTGAAACCGCGTTTGCATGCGTTTTTCGACATGCCCGGTTGCAGCGTTATACACACCCAACTCGCAGGACCGCACTCGATTGCAATGAGTGCGTGTGCTCGGATGTCGCTGTGAGAGCTCTCTTGCTCTGGACTTCGTGAAACCCCCCGCCCCGCACAACCACCCTGGTTGGTGCTATGTGTGTATGTACGTGTACGGCGTGTCCACAGGGCAATGTCTGTCGTACCAGAACATGCGTGACATTTTGTCGTTCTGTCGGGAGGAGCAGCTGGTCCTGATCGCGGATGAGGTTTACCAGGTGGGCTATCTGGGTTCCGTTAGGGGGGGAGGATTGTGTGTGTGTATGAGGGGGGGGGGGAGGGGGGGGAGGGGAAGGGGCGGACATGTGGGTTTCGGGTGGTTGCCGGGCTGTTTTGAAAACAAGATGGTGTCTGTTGGGGCTATGCCGAGGAGCTCCACACACCGTCGCAACAATGGCTGTGTTTTGCATGGCGGTGGCTGCTCCTGGAGCAGTCGGCAGCAGAGTCAGCAGCAGCAACAGTAGCTGTAGCAGTGGTAGCTGCAGCAGCAGGCTAATGGCGATGTTGGGGGTGAGGCACGTCACCGAAACCCCGCGCAGGCGGTCCAGCAGCTCCCACCTGCAACCACCGCACCCGGAGCCCAGCACCCGCTTCATACACATCACTGCATGACAGCCACCACTGACATGACATGTCGCATCAGGACTACATCCTCCTGTTACATGGCGCCAGCAACACGAGCGCGCTCCATCCTCCATGCCCCCCTCCTCCTTCCAACCACCCCCGTTCCAACTCCCAACCCGCAATCCACCCCCTCAGGCCAACATCTACGTAGGCAACAAGGAGTTCTTTTCGTTCAAGAAGGTGGCTTGTGACATGGGGCTGCTGGAGGACGTGCCGCTGGTGTCCCTTCACTCCATATCCAAAGGTGGGTGAGGATGTGTGTATGTGTGTGTTACTGGAGGCTTGGATGTGGGACAGCCTCCAAGAGAGCTTGGTGTGTTTCGGCACTTCAATTTCCGGCACTAGATTTCGACTTTTTGCATTTTTGATGTCAGTCTTCATCCGTCTCTGATGCCGCAATTCGTGATGCCGCAATCTCTTCCTCCTCTTTTCTTGGCTGCCAGGTTTTGTCGGCGAGTGCGGTCGACGAGGCGGCTACATGGAGGTGACGGGGTTCCCCGCGGAGGTGAAGGACCAGATCCTGAAGCTGGCCTCCATCAACTTGTGTCCCAACCTGTCGGGACAGATCTGCTGTGCGCTCATGATGAACCCGCCGCAGGTACGGGAGCGGACTGTGCGTGTGTTTGTGCGTGTGTGTGTGTATGTCTCTGTACGTGCGGGGGGTGGAGAGGGAGATGAGGTGAGGTGCGGGATGAAACGCGCGCGCGTGTGCTCGTACATGTGTGTATCTGTCACATATCGATCCGGGGGCCTGAGGCTGGCCAGGGGCACCTAACCGTATACCCCAGCGAGAACGACCGCCGAAGCACTCTCCATCATTGGAGGGGCGTTGTATCGGTCAGAATTGCGAGGAGGGCAAGGGCGACGATGGTGCACGAATAACCTCATACCAAAGCGGGCTCCGAATAATCGCCAGCGACGTGTGTTACGATTTGTCCAATGAAGCTGTAGACGCAGCTTGAATTTTATTGAATAGCTGTTGATGAGAAGGGTTCGTTTTATGTTCTTTTATGGACTGAGCCACTAAGAGAAAAAGGAAATTGAGAGGATGCTATCCGATGCATGTGTATGTATGTGTGCATGAGCGGTTGTGGTTTTGGTGGCTGTGATGACAGAGATTTGCGAGGCGGTTTGAATTTTTTGCTCGCATACTTCCCTGCTGCTTCCCTACTACCTCCTTTCCTTACCGGGTTTTGTTCCCCTGTTGTCGCGAGTAGGTCGGCGAGGCCTCCTACGAGCAGTACCGGGCGGAGAAGAGCGCCATCCTGGGCTCCCTCAAGCGCCGTGCCGAGTTGCTGGTGGGGGCGCTGAACCAGCTGGAGGGGGTGACCTGCAACGCCGCGGAGGGAGCTCTGTACGCCTTTCCCAAGGTCACACTGCCTGAGGCTGCCGTACAGGCTGCCAAGCAGCTCGGTGAGCTAGGCTGTGTGCATCTCCCGGAGGGGGGTTTGGCCCCCTTGGGTGCATGGGGGGGCAGGGGTTTGTATTGAAAATGCTGGGGGGAGCTCCTTGGCAAGATGAGCGGGAGAAGGGGAGCTGATTTTGGGGAGTGCAATGTGTGTGTATATATATTACACCTCCTGGAGCTGCGTTAGCCTCCGAAGATGTAGCTTTGGGGGACGAAGAACTGGGGGGGGGAGCTTCGACTTGACCTGGCTTGACTTGACCTGATTCGCTTGGGTGATGTACCTGGTGCCGGAGGTGGGTGACGTTGGGTTTTCCTAGATCCCCCGGGACTGAAGGGAACGCCGTAAGGGGGGGATGGTTGAAGGCGGTGCGAGGGAGGTTGCGGGGGATGGCGGGACGAGGAGGCATGATTAAGTGACAACGTTCCTGAAGCCAGGTGGTTCATTTGGTGGTCCACTTGTTGCGTATTACATTTTCGTTTCCGCCCGTCGCCACACCACTCCGAACCATATCTCTCGACACGTGTACGTGCATGTAGACGCACGCTTCCCTTCCGTCTGTCTGTCCGTCGCCTCTCCGTCGCCTGTCCAGGCAAGCAGCCCGACTGGCTGTATTGCAAGGAGCTGTTGGAGTCCACCGGCATCGTGGTGGTCCCCGGGTCCGGCTTTGGCCAGGCGGACGGCACCTTCCACTTCCGGACCACCTTCCTACCGTCCGAGGAGGACATTGGCCGAGTGGTGCAGGCGCTGGGGGACTTCCATGCCGGCTTCCTTAAAAAGTACGGAGACCTGCAGGAGAAACAGTGTTGTGCCTCCCCGGCTGCTGCTCCTGCTGGTGCTGGTGTGGCAGCGGCGGCTGCGAATGGAAGCAACGGCCACTGATCATCATTGTGCCGCTGGCTCGGCAGGAGGCAACGGCAGCTGTGGTGGTGGCGGTGGCGGGTGGTGAGCCGAGCTGCCAGCTGCTGCTTGCCGTGCAGAGGGCGGATGACACACGAGCAGTTTGGGTTGTTAGCTGTGTAGCGAGGGGGAGGAGGGGGAGGGCTCGTGGGGGTCGTCTCTTTCTAGCTTATGGCTTAAGTGGGGGGAGAGGTGGGGCGGCTCTAGGGGGGGCTGCTGCATGTGCGCGGCGATGGAAGGCGATGAAATGGGGGCAATCAACCGCAATCGACCTGGAAATTGTGGTCGGTCGGGTGGTTGGTTGTTCACTGCTTCTGGTTGCACCTCGTCCTACTTCAATGGCTCTGCGGAGGCGGTGCTCGTGATGATGGGTTGTCCATGGCTGGGGGATGCATGGAAAGGAGGGGTGAGGCGCCATAACGGTGTTGCCTGTGTATGTGTATGTGTGTCCTGCGTGTATGGGCACGGCACGTGGGTTCTGAGGGTATATTTAGGATGGCGGTGGCGGCACCAGCTGTTGCGGCTGCTGCTGTTGTCTTCATTATGAACTAGACGCACACTATGTTGCACAGATCGCGTGCCCAGGAGTGGGTGGGCGAATGGGGAGGGGGGAGTTGGCACTTGATGGTGCCTTTGGATGCTGACGCCTTAACTAATGTCGGCGGTTTTTCCGGGGGCGGGAAGATGCGACATGACCGTGGGGGTTAGTGAACTGATGACGGTTGTTGCGGTAATGGTGGGGTGGTGGAGGAATTAGCTAGGCTGATGCTAATGGCAGCAGCCAGGTAGGTAGGGTGGTCAGCAGTATCAGCAGCAGCAGCTCCAGCTTCTGCAGCTATTGCAGGAGGGGAAGAGCAGGCGATGAGAAAGGCACGTGATGGTGGTGTCAATGAGGGTGGCTTCTGAGGGACAAGAGCAGCCTGGAATTGATTGGCGCGGGGCGGGGGGGTCTCGTCGTCAGTTGGAAGCATGGGTTACTGGAGCGGGGCTGCCTCCAGGGCAGGGCTGTTGAGCACTTCCCAGGTCTGCAGAAGGCGACAGCGGGTAATAGTGTGTACAGTGCTGAACCCTGGACTCGACTTGAAAGGAAATGTAGTGAAGATTGAATTGGACAGACAACAAACATATTTAAGCACATGTGGCAAGCTAAAGGTAGGATGGCAAGAAAGGAGTGGATGGGCGGCGGCCATAACCGGCGTGTGACATCAAACGTCAGCAGGAGTGTCCGCAGCGGCAGAGCCCTGGTGGCAGCGGCAGGAGGAGGGCGATTCGGGGCCCAGGTCTTGTTGTGTTGACCTGCCACGGCAACCTTGCCATACCCACTGATGGCCCCTGCTTGTTCTTGTGAAGGTGAGGGTGCAAGCCGTGTACCAGATGGCCATCTGTCCCCACCACCACAACCGGCGGAAGGAGCTGAGGGGGCTCCAGGCACGGGGGATACAACGATAGACAAAACCCTCAAAGCAGCCATGAACTGAGGGTGTTTTTGACTTGCATGCACTGCTTAACCAGGGAGGTGTTGGTTGCACTGTACATTCGGAAGTCACTCACACAGGGTATTATTATGGTAATACGCCAAGACAACCGGCTTTGGACCCATTTGGACACGCATTAGCCTTGGTGGTAGTCCACTATCCTGATGGGAGCCTGCTATCGTGCACCAGAGATGTCCAGGGTCTACCTGGATGGTGGAGGCACCGTACCACAGCGTATTACGGCAGCGGAAGCAGTTTTACAAGGATTCAACAAGCATTGTCAGAACACAGGGTTGGTGATGAGGACCTATTGATAACTGGGGACCTTAATGCATGCCCGTCAGGGGCACAACATGATTGGAACTGTGTTACCCCGGCGGACCTACCCACTTATTTGAGTGACATCTCGGATCCGGAGCAGTTAAACGCGCCAGTAAAGCGCCGGGAAAGTAGGTGTCGTGAAAAAAGGTTGGTGCGGAGGAGCATTGGTGGTGGCGGTGGGGAGGGTAATGGCATTTGGTAGGCTGATGCACACGCATTTGCGTGGCGAGTTTAGTGCTGAGTGGCCAGGCGTGAGATAGGGGGTGGAAATGACGGGGTAGCGAAGGGATGAGGAGGAATGGGGTGTGGGTTGCGGGGCTCGCAGTCCATCGACCTGGAGAGGAGGCACACTTGAGGGAGCGCATGGGGGGAATGGTTGTATTCCCGACAGCAGGTCTGGAAAAGGATGATAGGCTTTCCAGAGCGAAAGGATGTGATATAGTCTTGCTGCTGTGGCTGAGGAACAAGCGGTTTTTCGCTGCCGCTGCTGCTGCTTGGGAATCCCAGCAGCTGCTGCTACTGCCGCCGCCGCCGCCGCCACTGCTGTTGCTGCCGCTGCATCGTCGCGGAGCTGTGATACGCTGCGTGGCTTTTTCGACGCGACTTCTTCTGACACTCGTTTCGGGGCCCCAACATTGGGCCTGCATTGCGCCTCGGTAGTAGCACCGGACCGTCAGGGGCACAATACGAGCAGAAACATGTTGCCCTGGCGGACCCCACTTGGGTGACATCCAAGATTTGCAGGCCGTACACGAGGTCTTGGGGTTTGAAGGACTGAGGGACTATCAGAATCACGACGGAATCGGAATCCAGAATAGCCAGGACCAAGCTTGCAATTTCTTTGATGCCCAGCTTGGGGCGCTCTGCAGGCAGGCGGTAGTATGATCGAATTGTTCACAGCGACTCCAAATGCGCTCGAGCAGTACACCACCTTTCTGAGGGTGGGAAACGTGACTGAGTTGTATGAATGGGAGCATTCTTGACGTTATAGTGGGTGATGAAGGTGGGTGTAGGGTGGGTACGGGGTGGGAAACCCGGGTGGAGTTTGGTATTCCTCGTTACCAGGTCTACGTGGAGTATTTTGAGGTAGGATCCCCTACCATGAATGCCTAGAGCCAAGTGGCCCGGGATCGTGGAGTTTGCGACACCACACAAGCTATCGACCGTATTGGAGGTGTCCTGTACAAGTCATGGTGAGGGCCTTGAGTACGCACCGTCCTGCTAGTATGATGTCAGGTGAGGATACCGTTGGTGGAACCGGGGATGCCGGCAAACGTGACAGCGCATGGTGGAGTGTAGGGCCCTGCTGGGTTTAGGGGCAGGGGGAGTATTAAGTCGGGTTCCGGAATGGGAGGCTTTCTGCCGCGTGCAGACGGACTACCACCAGGGGTAAGGGCATGTGGAGGCAGCATATGAGGAGGGCAGGATGATAGATTTTGTGGCCAAGTGTCGGCATGATCAACGAGCTTGTGGCGGGCTTTGGGAGGGAAATTGAGTGAGCGATGTGTGATAGGTGATATTGAGGTTTTCAGGGAACACTTTGTTTTGCTGTTAAATGCGGGTGTGGGGAGACAGGGCCTGATGGTGTAAACCGGCTTTCGAACTTCATTAACTTCGGCCAACACCTAGCGGGGCAGGAATGGCGGATATCCCACTCGGTTTTGGGCAGGGCTGTGCAGGCAACAGAGATCTTTGACCCCCCTTTCACACATCAGGGTGTCTGGGGACTTCCCGCGACAGTTGAAGACTACTGTCCTCACCCCAATTTGCTATAAGGGGGAGCCCAGCGTGCCGAGTAACTTCCGGGCATAGCTGTAGCAGGCGCTTTGGTGAAGTGCTATGCGCTTGTTCTCCTGGATAGGCTCGTTCGCATGGGGGAGATGCTTTCACTTGGGCACCGAGCCCAAGCGGGTTTCAGGAAAGGGTTTGGTGCTACCCATCATCTCGTTGTCAAGCGGTACCTTACTGCTAGGCATCGCCAACCGGGACAGCGGCCGTTAATAGTTGTGCAAATTGACTTTGAGAAGGTGTTTGACAAGGTGCCGCGGGAGGTAGTGTGGCTTTTTTTTGCACGAGGTAGGGGTTTTTAAGCGTCCATGCTGCAGTTGCTGATGCAGATGTACGACACGGATACCTTGATCATCAAGACGAATGGCAAGACTGGGGACGAATTGAGTCAAAACAGGATGTGAAACGAGGCTGTCCGCTGTCAACTGAGTTGTTTGGACTGGAGGATTCAGCAAAGGTTGGCAATGAGCGGGTATACATCCGCCTCTATGCTGATGGCGTTAGTCTCCTGGCAATGAAACCGGCGCGCATGGCGAGCTGCTCAATATCGTGGACATGTTCTGTGATGATTTTGGGATGCGGCCAAATGTGTCGAAATGTGAACGCCTCGTTGTTGCGAGTGACAGCGATGCAAGGAGTGCTCAAGTTGGTAGCTCAAGTTGCACTAATTTGGGCAGGCACTGCCCAAACGTGCTGCGTAGGAATTAGACCCGTAATTTTAGCCTCCTCCTTGCCCTTTGAGTTGTGTGTACCAAATTTGTGCGGTGTTGCACACCCCAAAAACAAGGAAAATGCCTGCAAAGCAGCCGCAAACGTTGTTTGTGTGATAGTTACACATAATTGTCGCCATAGAAATGACAATCAACAGATTCAGAGGCGGCTCGATTCCTCAGGGAGCCTAGCCAAACCATTTCGCGCGTATGCCTAGGCCTGCCCAAGCAGGCTCAAGTTTGTGCGCAACTTCAAATTTACAGATCGCAGTGCCCAAAAACTTATGCTATGAACAAGTTATAGCTTTATTCTAATTTTGATGGACCGGAAAGAGCGCCCAAAATTACGACGCCTAAAACCCGTTGCGACTACGGTACATTTTACGAAGCCAACGCGGGATCAGCTTCCTTAAACTTCTTCTATTACGATAAGGCATGCTCGAATTCTAGTCCCCACTAAGATCGACTAGGCCCTATAGTGTGAGCAATGCCCTTCAAGTCGTCCGCGATATCTTGACAAATGAACGGAATCCGGTGGTTGAGAGGGTTGGCGGGATTATAGCCATCGTAGCCACCGTAACCAGCTTTTCCGCGTAATTCATCATGAACGCAGGTAGCAGGATAATTATGTCATCGTGAAAAGGCCGCTAGCATGTGTAAGGTCATCGCACGACCTTATCAGGTAGGTTGCCATGGAGGCGAAGGAAGGTACACCGTACGCGCGGGCTAAGGAGCATGCGTTATGAGTACAGCTGAGACCTAGACCCAGATCGTAGTGCCACCATCTAGCAGCGTCTCTCGTTGTCGGTAACGGGTGAATGATCAAATTCAGGGCCAGCGATGGGTGGAGGGCAACAGCGCCAAGTATAAACCGTGATATGCTGGAATCATACCACCGGTCATCGCCAAGAATCCATCGGCCAGCTGATGGTCGGGCGGGGCCCGCGGGTGCGCATTCCCGTGCTGAGTACGACAGTGATCAGGTCGTAATTTCATGGTTCTTGGCCACCTTATAATGCTGACTTCGATACTTGGCTAATCATCTCTCAGGGCATTTGTTCGCTAGATGTACTTTGCCTAGTTCTGTTGTGGAGCCAAGTCCCCTGACAGCACCCGGTAGCTACCCCTGCGTTGGAGCTTGCCAAGGAACGAAAACATGAGGTAAGCCTCTGGAATGATGTGAGGTTCTACACGTTTTGTGCACATACTTGCCCTTGCGTGTATATCTGGTAAGTAGCTATATCGATATAGAGCTCGGAGAGGGGCTCGGAGCTAGGACGGACCTCCCGGTCTAGGGCCGCCGGGACCACCAGGGCGAGGCGTAACCCGAATGAAATCATTGCGAATACCTTTTAAGTGATATCATCTCTTCATGATCTCTCAGCCGAGCCAGTTGTTTTACTCGTTAAGACGCCATGATTGTTGTGAAGGGTGAATTAACGAACTCAGGGCCGGCAGGGGCCCAGTCCTAAGCAACAAAGCCCCAGGGCCTTGGTCCAGCAGTACCACCCAGAGCTACTACATCCACTTATCGTGCCGGTGTAAGCTCCTCTAAGCTTGTCTGAGTAGTTCTTAACTAGCCAAATTCTGTGCTCATGATAACAATCGACAGCCGTGCATTGCCACCCTCTGTCTCATCAATACGCAGGCGATTTGCTTGGGCCTCAACCGCCCTGCTGCTGGTCCTCGTGACGTCAACGCCCCCGAGCTCGACTGCGCTCAGTAAGTTGAGAGGGGGAATAGAGTGCTGAGCATCAGAGCACTGCACACAGCGCAGCCAACGAAGCGAGAGAAACACCTGCCCCTCAAGATCCATTTGCGAAACACGATTACAGCTTGCTTTGAAGAGCAATGGTTGCAAGTTATGTATGCGTGTATGTATGTATGTATTTATGTATGACTTAGATTACACTGTGGGCTGAAAAGCCGGGGGCCCAGGGCCGAAACACAGTGCGGGGGGCGGATGCACACGGCTGGTTAGTCTCTGTCTGTCTGTCTGTCTGACTTAGATTACATTGTGGGCCGCGGGAGTCGGGGGCCGAAGCCGAAACACAGTGCAAGGGTCGGGAGCACACAGGATAAGTCGGTTAGTCCTGTGATGGCGAATGTTACTGCGCCCGACAGATTCTAGTACTGATGACAAATCAAGTTTTGAATCTTAACTTTTAAGAAAATTAAGTAAATATAAGTTGATGGACGGTGGTGACCTGGGATAAAGTTAACCTGCGAGCCGACCAGGAATGGAGTTGGGCCGCTGTCGACCCGGCAGATTCCGTTGGATGCTGGTGGTGGGTGCGGAACCTGAGCGATCCAATGAGAAGTAGACTAGGGTGACTGGACGACGGTGCCCCGAAATACCAGGAAAGGCAGGGTTTCGCAGGGTAGCTCCCACGGGCGAAGGTATACCCCCCTGTTTTCACACATCACATGTGTCTGTGTGCAGATGCCGTCGAGCTCTGGCCTGCTGCCCAATCGTTTTACGGCACCGACAACATCGGCGTAGGAAAGCCCTTCACCGACCTCTCGGCGAAATGGATTTGGTACCATACGACCAGCTTGGCTTACGGTTCCGGGTTATCCGTTGCGGCCCTATTCACCACGACCGTAACTGTCTCAACCGCGGGAGGCATGCAGGCCCTGCTGAACATTATCGCAGATGACGTTGCCGATGTCTACGTAAACGGCGCCCCAAATTTCTCCGCGACCCATGGCTGGAGCGCAGGATCCTATACGGACCGGCCTCTCACAGTCGACCTGGTACAGGGCACCAACGTGCTGGCGATAAACGTCCGCAACGTTCGTGGGCCCGGAGCACTTCTTGCTTCGCTCAGCACCATGGACGGCAGAACTGTTCTGGCTCGCACAGACAAGTCCTGGGAGGTGCACCTGCAGGTGCTATAATGGATTGCTTCACTTGCCGGCTAGAAAGGAGCAACCATGAGGTTGCCGAGTTAATAGCGACCTGACAGTCGTGGATCTGATCAGTACTGTCATTCTATCGAGTTATGTAAGGCGGCTAGTGGTGTATGTCATCACGTGGAACGGAGTCCACGTGTGTGCTTCGTGTTTATGCGTGTAAAATGTATAGATAGTTGTGTAGTTTAGTGCCATGAGCTTGATAGCCATGCGGATACATGCTTGAGACAGCATGGCCGTTCGTACTTTGCGTTCCTAAGTTGTACAGATGACCTGTTTTTTTACCTTTTTCCCCTTCTCTAGTTTGACACGTACTTTCCTGGCAAGGCAAAATGCGATAGGTGTATGCGATAGGTGTATGCGATAGGTGTATGTGCGTGTGCTCACTGCAGCGGAGATTCGGGAGGATGCACAGCATGGCCGTAACCAAGCCTTCGTCGGTCGTATACTTTAGTTTCCTGCGAATTGTAATATTCATATGACTCGACAGGTCGGCTCCGCTGCTCGGCGCACCATGTAATACACTGACGTGCATACGTGCCTACGTACCCAAACGAGGGTCTGCTGGCGGCTGCTGGTGGGCCGCAGTTCGGCCAATGAGACCCTCCGCGACCCCACCAACACCATCTCCGTCTCCTCCGCCGCCCTAATACTATGGCAACATTATGGCAATATCATATGCCATATCAATGCCACAGCGCAGCCCACACCGATGTACACGTATGGTAAGACGACAAGCACATTCATACAGACATTTCTAACTTCAATCGACAGACAACCCCGCATCGTATTGCATCATGTGACTGCTGCCTGTAGCGACAGCCGCCCCGTTATGAGTTGCCCCAGCAGCGGTTGCTTCAGCTGCGCCTGCCCACCGCAATCAGACCGCCGTCCGGGCCCGCCACAAGCATCCCCTCCTCCTCCCCGTCCCCCGTGACTACTTTCCCCGTCACCCCTAAGCCCCCGCACGCCGTCCCCCCTTCCTCCTGCACCCGTACTCGTCCTACTGCCCCAGCCTGCCGCAGCAGCAGTGCACCCCCCGCTGTCAACGGCCCAGCTGTCGCCGCTGCCACAGCCAGGCCCACCAACAACCCCAACCCAGCTTTCGTTCCCCCCCTGGACTTCCCCCCGGCTCAGCCGCATCCACGAATTCGCCGCGACCTCCACCCTCCTGCCAGCCACAACTGCACCCGACGGCTCTAGGATTGAAAGCCCGTCAGCGTCTGGAGGCGGCACCGTCGGCGCCTCCGGCCATACGACCGGGCCTTTGGGGCCTTTTGTAAAACCGTATCCGCCCGGGCCTAAGTCCCTTGCTGCCTGCTGCCCCACATCCCGTTCCGACAGCGAGCTGCCGTCCTCTCCTTTCCGACTTTCCCACTCGCGCCCTTGCCCTTGCCCTTGCCCCTGTCCCTGTCCCTGTCTCCGGCTCTCCTCGTCCTCGTCCTCGTCCGTGTCTAAGTCGCTGTGTGCATGCGGATGGGAGTGGGAATGTCGGCACCGTGGGGAGGTGTGTTGTCCTGCAGCACCCAGCTGCCCGGGCCGCTGTGAACCTTGGGAGGGAAAAGAGAGGGGACAAGAGAGGGCAGCCAGCGTACAGTGTTTTTTTAACAACTGAGCCAGGAGCGGGGGCTGCAGACGACGTGTGTGCATGTGTGCTATCTGGGGCACAGATAATGTGCATGCGGATGGGGCACAGATAATGTCAATCTGTATAATATTTTTGTTTGACCTAATATTACGACTGAGGCGCCACTGAGGCCCCTTGCATTGGCCAGGTACCTCTCGGAAATTTGGGAGGCCAGGCATGTCGCGTTGAGGCGCTTCGCCCCGAAGCGGACGAGGGAGAATGAATATGACCTCCCGCGTAATCCCAATACAACGTCCATGGCCCCCCGGCTTTTACGTACACACCCGCACTTGTGTGCGGAACTTGTAACTTGTAACCTAATAGTAAGCAAGGGCTATCTTGATCGATGTATTTTGAGGCTCCCTTGTAACCTTCACTAGGGCAAAGATTTTGACTACCAAGCCAGCGACTTACACCAACATGAAATAGTCTTCTTTTGAATTCACTTCTTATAATGCTTATTTACCGCTATACCTGCTTCTTGAGCTCTTCCCCTTCCCTCCTCGCCTCCCTCCCCTCGCCTCCCTCCCCACCTGTCAGCGCCATGAACACCACTCCCGCCGCCACCAGGGACGACCCCGCCACGCTCACTAGCGCCGGCTGGTCACCCAGGACCGCCACGTCCCACACGAAGCTGAACAGCACCTGTTGTGGGCATATGGCAGGGCATAACATGGAGTCATAGTAGATGCAGATCTGCATCCAGATCCAGATCCGCCGCCAAGTGATCCAGATCCGGATCCAGTGCCAGACCTTCCGACCTGCCGTTCGGAGAAAGGCCTCCATAACTGCTGTACACCTGCACCGTTTTTATACTTCACCATGTAATGGCTTGAATGCCGTACAAAATGGTACGATACTGACTCTGTTCCTGCCCCAGACCCAGATCCACCAGTCATACGGACTACTTTGCGAGTGCCCTCTCCCCTGCCACTGCCACTGCCGGGCCCTTGATCTCGGGTAAGGCACACCGCTCTGTGCCGGCGCCGGCATCCCTGCGCCCCTCTTGCCCCGCCATCTCCTTACCTGCAACACATTGATGGCCGACCCGCGGGTCGCTGACTCCAGCTGGAAGCCCCGGTTCAGCAGCAGCTGACCCAGCAGCTGCGTAAGGCCCACCACCACCAGCAGTCCGCAGCCGCGTCGAGTGGGCAGCACGGGACTGGCCGGGTAGCCCAGCGTCAGAGCGGTGGCGGAGAACTGCGGACCCGGGGGGCCAGGGGGAGGCATCCGGTGCAACAGCGCCCTCATATGGTGCAATATTAAAGCGTCCCTCCCTCTTCCCCTCCCTTCCCCTCCCTTCCCCTCCCTCCCCTTCCCCTCCCCTCCCCTTCCCTCCCTTCCCCTCCCTTCCCCTCCCCTCCCCTCCCCTCCCCTCCCCTCCCCTCCCCTCCCCTTCCCTTCCTCACCACCACCACCACTCCGTGGTACCACCAGGTCAGCACCAATGTGCTCTGGGACCTCCTGAGCACCCGGATGACAACAAAAGCAGCCTGAGGTGCGGAGCGGAGCGGGATCCGGGACCGGGGGACGGGAGACGGGGGAGGAGGGGATGGGCGGAGAGGAGAGTGGCGCATGAAGGGCCGGGCGAACCGGGCCCATAGAGGATTGGGGACCGGCCTTGGGGGAACCATCGTATCATCGGCATCCAATCAACGGAACCAAAAACCGTTGGTTCCCTATTACACGCCCTCACGGTGTGTTTGAGAGCAGATGACAATATCCGTCTTTTAGGCGGATGTGGTGTTTTGAACTTGAATCCTTCTATTGCGATGTCATTATGTTCCTCGACCCCCCGGTCAACCCAACTTTCACCGGTAGAATGAAACGGACGAGTGTCCATGGGATTTGCCTTGCTTGCATCCTCGCTATACTAATCGTTTCCAGAGAGAACAAAAACAATTTTACAAAAAGAACACAAAAAGGTGGCCAATGGCCAAAGGACGAAGGATTGCCTTTCAGCCTCTGGCTCCAACCTCTATCAATCACCTGCATACAACATACACACACACACACAAACGCACACACACACATGCAAACGCGCACGCATACATACAAACGTACACCACCGTCACCGTGTAGCGGCCCCACAAGCTGCCCAGCCCGCCGTACCGTACCGCATTGGTGATGGCGGCTACCGTCGCCAACGCCGCTCCGCCCGCTGCGATGGTCTCGGAGCCTGACCCCATCGGAAACGATGACGCAACGGCCGGGTAAGTCCCGCTCCCGCCCAGCAAGCCCTGAACAAACCCAGAAGGTGCTCCGTCGCCGCCGCTGCCGCCGCTGCCGCCGCCGCTGCCCGCATCTCCTCCTCCTCCTTGATTTTGATGGTGGTGTTGGTGTGTGTGGTGTTGCTCGTGGTGGCTGAATATGCAGGGCGGCTGCGCCACCAGCACCACCCCCGCCACGGTGCACACGGTCGCGGCGGCGCAGGCCCAGCCCTGCGACTCCCCGGTCACGGCGAACTCCAGGAGACAGGCCACGACGGGGCTGCAGAAGAAGAGCGTTACCGCATCTGTTCGGATTTGGGTCATAAGCACATGCATGTAATTTTTTAATACATATATACATTTTTCACGTAAATTTATATGTTATATATATTTATGTTTAAGATATTATAAAATGACATGGTATGAGCTGGGAAAGCGCTGGAAGAAGTGCCCAGCGGGCTAGGAAAGTTGAGAATCGGAGTGCAATCTTTGAAGGCTCGGGAAAGGGCGGGAAAGGGGAAAAGGTACTTGTTTCTATCGGAGGGAGAAGAGCGGAGGTGAGGGTCGGCGGATGTGAGGGCGGCCTTACCGGCGCGGACGAGGAACGGAACAGCGCAGGTGGTGTGATTGTAGCAGGACTGATCCAGGCTGCTATAATTAAGCTTAAGAAAGCGCGGGGCTGTGCGCTGTTGTATGGGCGAAGGCTAGCAGCTGCTCAGCATAGGAGGGGCAGGTCGCTTTATTCAGGCAGTCGGGTCGCGTCTGAGAAGGCGGCCGGCGTGTCGCGGACACTGAGCGGTTGGACGGGTCGACGCGGACAAAGGCACCCCCTCGGGACCGGGAGCGAGAAAGAAATGTAAAGACAGGGAAACGTAGAAATGGAAAAGGAGGCCAGATTGTGACTTGCTGGGTCAGGGCGAGTTGCGGAACGGGTACCTTGGAGAGGCAGAACCTCGATCGCGAGATAGAAACACGTGATACTGGTGGCTCCCAGCGCGCCGCGCAGCAGGGTGAGTCCGGCGATGCGCCAAGATTTGCTGCGGACGTTCAATCCATTCAGCTTGACCGCAACGCTGGTTGCCAAGAAGCAGATGAGTCCCGGCACAAAGACCACTTGAAAGGTGGGGACCTCGTCCCCGAGGAGCTTGACCGTCAGGCTGGTGCAGCTGAAGAGGAAGGCCGCAGATGCAATAAGAGCGAAACCTGAGTTCCAAAACCGTCTCACAGGCTCAAAGGAACCACGCGAGATGCCATGCTTCGGGCCAGGGTCAACAATTCCCATGGAGCCAACGACGTTCTGAAGATTCACTTACAAACAGAATGATAATCCAGAATAACCTGTGGCAAGCGTGCCGAAGGTTGATTTACTATGCTTCAGTGTTACAGCTGCACCTTTCAACAGGTTGAATATGTTAACAAAAATGTTACCAACAAAAGCAAACGTATTCCCGTTGCGTAACTTCATTCACATCATATCTGCACAAGTGTCCATCTTATATGTTATAACGCTAACTACCAGGTAAAGCCAACCGCCGGTGAAGCCAACCGCCTTCAGTAACACACGGCACACGATCGACGTGGTCTAGCCCCATGCACGATGGCAGCAGGAGCACTATGAACAGAACTCTTCTTCATGCAAATCCGCCGCTTACACGCGGACCAGATTTATGCTGGTCTTTTAAACCAGGATATATACGAACGATAGACCCAGCTATCTAAAGTCCAGATAGCTGCACCCTTAAGATTCATGCCAACCAATGACGACATACCTTGTTCACAGTTTTCCCCGTCCAGCGGGCAACCATAGCCAGCCCGCCGCACCACCGCATGCATAAGGCCCCTAAAAAGCAGTGCATATTTATCAATATAATAATTGCGTGCAGAGTGCCTGCCAAGAAATGCTTTCAAAATCTGACATGCGCGCTGTACCATGTAGCTTGCGGCGCTGCCTCGGCAATGCATCGGAAATGCGTAAATACCACGCACGACCAACATACATTCAGCGGCGCGAACCCCAATACCACACCTCATGCGCCACCACTAAAAACCTGCTGCACGCATATGTACTCGATCAGAAACTATGTAACAGCAAGGCAAATACATCCGGACCAGACACAAATGAACAATCACCGTAGACCCACGGGGCCGCTGTGCCGAGGAAATCGCACATCGACAACCTTTCCACTTGATACTGCTATGTACTCAAATTTTCACTGAGGTTCTGTAATCTCAGGCTACGCCACGTGAAAATTAAAAAATAATTGACACATGCCTCATGCCTCACATCTGGAATGGCTGCCTGAACTGGGTGATACAAAAATTAGAACAAATGAAGGAACACATGACGCTGATTACGAACAATGCACGGTACATTAATATGCGTGTTGCATAATAATACATCCCGATCCATTCGCGATCCGGATTCCGATACCGGAGCGGCGTTATTTCCCTGTGCCGCCATAGCGGCCCGCAACACACAGCCGCCAACGACCATGTCACATCATGCCAGCAAACACACACACATACATACATACATCGGCAGGTGGCTGGCAGAAGTTAAGGCCCTCTCGGTGTGTGAGGGGTGTTGAATTAGGAGGTGCCCCCCCATCTTATGGACGGTGTAGGACGTGATTATATCAGCTTGCGAGCCGAGCAGGAACTAAACTGTGGCGCCGTTGATCCGCTAGAATTGGTTGGATGCTGGTAGTGAGTTGCTCAACCCAACGAATACATTCTGAAGTCGGATGGGGTGAATGGACTAGGGTGCCCCTCTCGCAGGGGAGAGCAGGGAACTGCCTCGGGAAAGGGGGCCGCTGGCGAAGCTATACCACCCTGTAACAACATCATACATACATACACACACAAGCTCTCACGCGTCATCAGGTTCGGGATCAGCGGATAGCAACGGGGCCCTGAGCTCGGAGTCCCCAACCCGTGGGCCGGTCACCACGACCGCCACAGCATCCGCTTCGACACGCCGCCCGTCACCCTGCCCGCCAGCTCCAGCTTCCCTGTCACCACTCGGCGTCACTGGCTCGACAGTGGCGGCTTCACCACCACCTAGCTTGTGTCCATGCTTGTTGTCGCTGGCGCGCTTGCTGGGGCTGGACATGGCCACGAAGAGCACCCCCGCCGCCACCAGGGACGAGCCGCCCACACTGAGCAGGGAGGGCTTGTTGCCCAGTACAGCCACATCCAGAATGAAGCTGAAGAGCACCTGCGTGCCGCACCGGAGCAGCAAAGGAGGTAATAGCCACGAAGCGTAAGAGCGCCTAAGAGCCCGTAAAAGCCCGGGCTCCGTGTGCTCGTCGATTTAACGGGATGCATATTCCTGGGCCTGTCTTTGTCCATGTACGGAGGCTAGGTCTGCATTGTGTGGTCCCATCTGGATCCAGGCCGCCAGGGTCCAGAAGGCGCGAGAACCGTCAGTCCCTGAGGCATGACGGCACGGCTGCTGCCATGGATGGATGGATGGATGATACCAGGGTAGCTCTGAGTTGCATTCCTATCTCCACCAGTCGGCGCGCAGACAACCCCCACGCAGACATCCCTCCCCTCCACAGCCCACTCCATCCCGGGTTTTTCCCCCCAGTGAAAACACACGAGATACCGCCCCCCCGTACCGCACCACAACATACCGCAGCACACACGCCGCACAGCGCTGTGACACTTCGCGGGGGAGTTGCTATCAGAGGCGCTTGCACCTGCTAACCCCTTTCTCTTCCCCCTTTTCCAACAGGCCCCCCGCGCCTACATGTACCTGAAGCACATTGATGGCTGCACCCCGCCCCGGTGGCTCCAACTGAAACCCCCGGTTCAGACACAGCTGCGCCGCCAGCTGGGTGGTGCCCACCGCCACCAGCAGCAGCGCCTCCCGGCGGCCTGGAGGCGGGACCGGCGCCCGAGGCCACCGCAGCGCCAGGGGAGCTGCGGTCACCTGGGCAGCAAAGCGGGGGCAAACAAGAATGGGGCAAATGCATTACACACGCATGAACGTTGGACTTAGCGGGGGCAGGGCTAAGTTGCGCGTTGGTGCTAAGGACGGGAGAGGTGGAGGCGGCGGCAGCAACTAGAGCCTCTGGGGGATCCCTTTCCCGGTCGGGTGTTTTCGGGGCCTGTTGGTTGCCCACACGCAAGAGGCGCTTTGGATGATTCACACCCAGTTCATGAGAGAACCACCGGAACCACCCAGCCGGACACCACCCTCTACACACAGTACCGGATCCTCTACTACCTGACAAGTATTTATTTCCTGACAACTACTCCCGCATTTGTTGCACGTGTTTAATGATCCCAAAGCACCAGACCACCAACCCAACGGTCACCCGCCAGCGCACTCACGTAACTAGATCCACTCTCATCCGCCCAGTCCAGTCCAGCCCCACCCCAAGCCATGTCCAACCCAACCTGGTCCCCGACCAGCCAGCCAAACCCACCACCGCGAGCACCAGGTTGTACCACCAGGTCAGCACCAGCGGGTGCTGCTGCCCGCGGAGCAAGTTGATGGTCAGGAAGCCAGATGCGTTGGCCGCGGCAGCCAACAGCGCCAGAGCCACACCTACAGAGCTCAGACCGCCATCGGTGCCGTCACTGCCGCCACCCACGTTGCCATCGCCGGAGGCTGCAACTGCTGCTGCTGCGCCGTGGTGAGGTTGAGGTTTCGTGTGGTCGCCGAAGAGGAACGGTGGCTGCGCGGCAGAAGAAACAGGGGAAACATGCGAGGCGTGCAAAGGGCCTCGAGCCGGGGGATGAGACGAAGCACAGGCGAGGGAAGCAGATGCCAGAGATAGGGAGGCTGGGTGGATCCTGATTTCGCTGGCACAAAGGCCTTTTATATTAGCCATACCGTATCGTTCCGTACTGTACGACACAAAATGCGTGGAGGGTCTGTATGACATTCAGCGGAGCTGTATCAACACGCAATACCAGCTCAAGGTCGTTCTAGTCGCATATAACGCCATAAACAAGGCTGCCAGCCCTACATGCCCGCGGGGACAACACCAACAACTTCATTGCTCCCTTTTCTTCAGAACGTTTGCCACCATGGCTAAATCCTTGCACCCTCCTCCTCCACTGTCCGCCGCGTTTCTCCCTCCCGGGGCCCCCCCCGCCCACCTGGGTCACCAGCAGTGCCCCCGCCAAAGTGAGGGTCGTGGCAGCGGCTCCACCCCGACCTGGAGAGCGGCCCATCAGCAGCCAGTCCAGCAACAGGGCGATGACCTGCCGCCCAAAGCAATGGCTGGTGGTTAAGGGGAGGGGATCAGAAAGGGAGGTCCCGGAACCAGGACGGGAGAGGCACTAGGAGAGGTACTAGGAATGTGGCATGGCGGGAGGGATTGGGAGCTTGTGACTTTGAGGTGAAATGAATGGACAGGGGTTGAAGCAGGGCAAAGGCAGTTTGGGGGGAAAGAGCTGAGAAACGGTTGGGATAAGGGGCGGTAGTGCCGGATGCATCTTTAGGGTTCATACGCATTGCTCCTCCCCCTTGGTTGCGAAGGAGCTCTACGCTCATGGCAGCAAGGGGAAAAGGTAGAGTTAACCACGGCCAACAGGCCAGTAGGCGGATGATGAGCAAATGGAGCGGTGAACCCTACCGGCGAGGTGAAGAAAAGCGTGACGGCATCTTTGAGAGAGAGAAGCTCTAGGGATAAGATGAAGGCTGTGGTGGCCGTCGAGCCCAGGATTGCGCGCAGCAGCGTCAGGAGCGTGACACGTGCCCTGGAAACCGGTGCAGGCCGGTCGCTTGGCGAGGAGTCACAGTCAATAAAATTAGATGAAGTTAACGATAATGAAGATGTATTTGTGAAGTTTTGCTTAGGGAGGGGCGGCAGTCCGTGCTGCCAAATGACTCCGGTCAGAACAATAAAGCATAACAAGCCAGAAGTAGATACCGTTTCAAATGGCGGCACAGAGCTGCCTAAGAATTTAATTGCAAGAGCAGTAAAGGAAAAGGATAGCGCAGCGGTGCCAATAACCAAGGGACCGCAGCGCCAATACGCACGAAGCAAAGCCATTGTCCCAAGGCATAACTTAATGCTTATGGAAGGACGCGTGTGGAAGATGCATGACGCATACGAGGAAATCTAAGGGACCTGCGCCGGTAACGGTTTAGACGCAAGACGCTTACAAATCATGTACTGCCTTTGTCGTACATTAAAACAAATCTCCTGAAAGAAGAGGCATCAGTCCTGTCCAGGTTGCTGCTGATTAGAAACGATGATGGCCGACGGGCAGGCTGGCCCATCTGGGGCGGATGAGCTTGTGTTCACACAGGGTCAGGCTAGCAGACCGCTTTTGCGGAAGCCTAGATCTCCTGCTCCTGTTAATCTTTGCAATATCGACACGGATTCTAGTGCAACCGGTGGCGCTGGATCTAGGCGTCGAAAGGCCAGGGCGGCACCATTTGCGAGCGTCACCATGAACGCTGGCCCTGCATCCGTTCCGCCAGGCACGTGCAATATGTCGAAACTCTCGCATAATTCAGTCAATCTGAATTTCCCGATCTTGCTTATCAGCCAGGGTGGATTTGGGTTAAGCGACTGCGGTCAAGCATCCTCACAGCGCTCCACAGTTTTTGCGCGCAGGGCCTGCCAAGGTGCCGCTTTTCATGCTCGCCTCTGCCTCGGAGGCATCCAGTGCCGTCCCGGCCGTCAACGCACCTGTATGGCGAGTCGCGGCTGGGAACCTGGCTGCTGGCGCCACAGCGGGCTGCGCAGTCGAGCTCGGTGAGCGCAGCCTGGACAGCCGCAATACGCCATATACCCGGCGCGCCACGCATACATCAACAAACAATCACGCATGCACACTCTCGGACAGGGCAGCGGGCCTGGCTGGGGTTACAGCGCCTCAAGGATCGAGCTCCCAACTGCATGGCCTCTTCCTCATGCCGAATCGTTCGTGGCCTAGAGTGATGCGAGCAATGCTGCTGGAGCGGAATTCTCAGGGGGAGCGGAATTCTCAGTAGGATCCTTATTCCTAGCCAGCCGCTGGTTTGCCGTTGTCCGTGGCCTCAACTCGCTTCTTGAGGCTCCGTTAAGCATCAAAGATCTATCCAGCCCAGCTCCACAACGGAATGTTTGCTCCCAGTCCCAGTAGTCCCACCGCGCCCTTCACATCCTGTCCCCACTTCTCTCCTACACAACCCAACCTCCTGACTCCGGGCTGGCCCCTACGTGGTTGCGTCAAGACATCCAGCCGACCTTTAATAACGCCACTTTCACCTTTCTTCCACGCGTTTCCGCTCCCCCTCCCCACCGCAACCCTGCCCCTCTCCTCGCGGCGCAACTCCCGCAGCGCTCTACCCGATCGACACGATCAAGACCCGGCTGCAGGCCATGATCGGCGGCGGTGGTCTGAAGTCCTTGCTGCAATCCGGGGGCGGCAAGGGGCTGTACGCGGGTGAGCCATGAGGGGGTTGGAGGCAGGGTTTCAAAAGAGACGTATGATAAGGCTGAAGGAGGATGGGTCTGGGCTCCGGGGCCGTGCAGGGGGGGGAAATGGGGGGTTACGATTCCGTACGGCGGATTGTCGTAGCAGATGTGGAAGGCAAAGGGGCTGTTATGTCGGAAGTTATGTCGAGCTAAGGAGAGGGAGCTTTATTGGCGATGGTGTGGAGTTGGAGTCGGAGTTGTGGCGTTTGGGGATTTTAGGGCTGTTTTTGTTTTTGGAGGGCGTGTAAGGGAGGGGGTGTTGGGAGTTGGAGACTAGGAGCCGCATGGCTCCGGAGCCGCGAACATGTAGAGCACAGGATGCAACGTTTAGGCAGTTTGATAGGATCGGGGGTGACACGAGAAGTGGAGAAGGTCAGGAAGCGCAAGAAGGGGGGGGGGGCATCAGGGTTTTGAAGCCCCACGTGCGCCAAACAGCGGAGTCCCCCTCCCCATTCCACAACGCCCGAACCCTTCCCTCCCCGTGCTATGGTCCCTTGCTTACGTCACCAACCCTCCACTCGTTTGTGGTTCCTCTTTCCCCAACCCCAACCCCCGACCCCGACCCCGACCCCCCTCGGGAACCGTAACCCCCGCTACCCCTTACCCCTCAGGCGTGTGGGGCAACCTCGCGGGTGTTGCTCCAGCCTCAGCCATCTTCATGGCGTTCTACGAGCCCACCAAGAAGGCGGTGCAGGTGGGCAACCTTGGCTAGACCCCTGAGACTACGGCCCTTGCATCGGCCTGCCCGCACGCCATCCTTCATTCCCCACTTCACAGTATGACGAGTCCGCTTGGGGCCCCTGGGGCCCACACTCTCCATGTATTGGCCTACACCTCTTAACACCTTTTCGTCGGGTCGTAACGCAACTATAAAAGGTGTAACACCTCCCGAGTCCCGACATACATACGCAGATCCGCTATCTTCGACCTGCAGTTGCCGTTTTGTGGCAGTTGCTTCCTTTCGGCTTCTGCATAGCTATTGCCCTCTTCCCTTCCTGCCTGTCGGCCTGCCGGCCGGCCCCTGCCCATCCCATCGCCCAGTTCCTAACCCCTGTGAACCCACTTCCCTGTACGGCGCCCTGAAATATCCCCTCCCCCCTTTGGAGGGTTCTTCCTTGATCTCTCTCTCTCTCCCTTTCCCCCCTTAAGTCGTCCTGCGTTTACTCCCCCGTCCCCGCACTGCGCCGTACCGTACTGCCGTACAGTCGGAGGTTCCCGCTGACAAGCAGTACCTTGGGCCGGTGGTGGCGGGTATGGTGGCGGGCACTGCCTCCTCCCTCATCCGGGTGCCCACTGAGGTGGTGAAGCAGCGGCTGCAGACCGGGGAGTTCACCGGGGCCGTGAAGGCGGTGAGTGGCTGGGCGGGGCTGGGCTGGGCTGGTCAGCATGACGTGATGGTGTGTGTATCTATGGAGGGGAGAGTGTGCGTATGTATGTACGTGTGTTTTTTTGTGCACGCGTGGGTTTACATCTGACGGGATCATTGCACGACGTTATTACACGCATGCAAGATTTCAAGGGAGGTACTGGTGGAGAGATGGTGTGGGGGGGGGAGGTCACCGTTGGAGGGGGGGAGATGTTGGCTGGCCTACGAGAGGGGGACTTAACTTCGCCACCTTGCGGGGTGGAGTCGGGTGGAATTAGGTGGGGGGGTGAAATCCGGGCTGTTTTGCGCCCGGGGAGATCTGGTGGACCGGGCAAAGCCCCCCACACGACCACCACGGCTCCAACAACAAGCAGCTATACACACCACAGCGCCACGCACGCAGCGGCCGTTAATCCAACACGGTCTCAGGACTGGAGAGTTTGGGTGAACGGCGGTTGCATCCACCGGAGGGCGAATGGGATTCACGGCAACGTTACCCATGTGCTCATCTTGCCTATTGCTCCGTTGGTTGTGTGTCTGTGTGTATATATTTGTACACGAACGCGCGCGCGTGTGCATTCTATTGACGCGACGCACCGTGTGTGCTGTGTGCAATCGGCAGGTTCGGACCATTCTGGGTCGCGAGGGACTTCGCGGACTGTATGCCGGATACGGCGCCTTCATGCTGCGAGACCTGCCGTTCGATGCCATCGAATTCGTGGCGTACGAACAAATCAAGAAGGCGTACGGCATGACTGTACGGCGGGAGCTCCATCCCGGGGAGACCTCTATTGTGGGCGCGATTGCCGGCGGCTTCACGGGTGAGTTCGATGGCCGTTAGTGGGGTACGGGTGCGGCTGAAATCCGTGAGTTAGGTTAGCAAGTGTGTGTGTGCAAGTATGTATGTATGTATGTATGTATGTGTGCGTGCGTGTAAGAGATGTTATGAGTCTGGAACGTTTCTGTACGGCAAGCCGGCAAGAAGGTGCAGGAGGCCGTCGTTTTAGTAGTAAGCAGGCTGGCCACATCTGCCAGGGGGTAAGGAGTGGGGGGGGGGTGGCGATGAGCAGGAGCGAGGAGGAGGAAGAGGAGCAGCAGGAGGAGGAGGGAACCTCAATCTTGTCCTCCATCCTTGCTTGTCGTGGTACTTCGGGTACTTTGGTGCTTCCCCTCCTTTCACCCCAGAGCCATCACGCTGAAGTCATGTTCTCCTTAAACCTGTATGTGTGTATGTGCACAGGTGTGATCACCACGCCTTTGGACGTGCTCAAGACTCGGCTGATGACTCAGGGCGCCTCGGGGCGCTACAAGAACCTTCTGGACGCCACCGTGACCATTGCTCGTACGGAGGGTCTGGGCGCCTTCATGTCGGGCTGGCAGCCGCGACTGATCTGGATTTCGTTGGGCGGCTTCGTGTTCTTCCCCGTGTTGGAGGCGGCCAAGAAGTACTATGCACCGAAGTAGATGAAGAGGGGGTGAAGGGATATTGGAAATTGGGGAGGTGGGAGGCGAGGGTTCGCGGGGTGGGATTGGGTGGGGAGGGGAAAGGCGGAACGGGTTTGGGATGTCGGTGGAGGAGTACTTGTACGTGTAGGTGTCGGAGGAGACGTGGTGTGTGTTTTTGTGTATGTATGTATGTATGTATGTCATGTGTAGGTTTGGAAATTTGGTTCAGGGTTTGCTTCGTGGTGTTTTAGGGTTTTGTTTGTTGCGTGTGGGTAGATGAGGTTGGGGAGCTGTGTTCCTGCCTGGCTATTTTCCTGTACAGTCTTTTGGTGACCATGTCCGCAGCTAAAGGCCTAGCGTATATAAGGAGTGCGTTTTTGTGGGAAAAACTGTCGGCGGGCGGGAGAAAGAAAATGTTGACGGCAGGTTCGGTGCGTCATGTCCGTGGAGATATTAAAAGGAACATTGCTGATAGTCGTGTACTGGGGGATGGCTGCTGGGTTTCGCGGGGGGGCCAGAAAAAGGTGAAGGGTCCAGGGGGGAATTGACGTACCCGCTGCTCTAGGCTCTGGGTTCAATCTCCCTCCCTCGAGCCTCGAGAGCTTGTCCGTATCTGAACCCCGTCTGGTGTTTGGCTGCACCGAGCGGCTCGACAGGGCGACTTGATCACGTCAGGATGAAAACGTATCTTCACACAGCCACAAACGTAATATACCGTTACATTTCCTTTCTTGGCGGTGCAAGTGAGAACAGAACTCCTATCCGTCTACCACGGCTTTCTTTCCGCCCCCCCCCCGAGGGCATACATACATACATACATACATACGAAGCTTTCTGTCGGTCTTTAACTGAACGTCTTCACATCAACAGAGGAGTGCTTACCTGTGCTTGTCTGTGTCCTGACACGTGCGGGCGCATAGTGCGAGCGGGATTTCCGAATCATGTTTAAAAGCTTGTTGCTGTACGAGCAGTGCAGTGTCGGAGGAAGGAACTGCGTGTCGGAGGAAAGAAACTTTACTGCCGTGCATATCCTCCGGACAAAGTCGGCTGGTGCTGTGTTCCTTTTTGTGATGATGAAGCTTCCGCGTCGGGAAGGGGATTTAACGTGCGTTTCGTGCCGTAAAACAGCTGTACGACGATGCGAAAAAACAGGGCATCTTGATCAATGGTTTGACTTGGGCCGAGATTCTGGGAGCCGGAGGAGTTCAGGGGAGCGGGATTCTGGTCTGGGACTGGAAATGTGTTGTTTTCAGCAGAGCGCTTTGTATACTTATGCCATGCGAGTTTTTGCATTGTATGATTTTTGCAACTGTACGACGATTCGTAGCTTTAGCATGCACATGTTACTCGCGATATAGAGCGCATGTTATGTAGAGTGAGCATGTGGGGCATATCGAGTACTAGTACTAGTACTAGTACTACACACGTCGGATTCGTTCCTTAGGGGATCAGCTCAGATCAGCTAGTGATTTCTAGACATGAAATCTCCGGGCAGCTAACCGCAACTATCCCCCTGTGACCACGTTTACCTGATTTAATATTAATATTAATTAATTGGAGACACACACACACATACATACACACACATACACCCCGAGCCGCCATCTATTATGTACAGCTGGAGCCGCAGGTTGCGGACCGCAGCAGCTTAGGATGCCGACCCAACAAACACCCGACAAAACATGTCGCAATACTTTTTTGAGTAATACCCTAACAGCAGTAAGCAGCAGCACTGGCAAAGCTTCGTTGTTGTGCACAGATACACATCCAGGGACGCGCAGGGAGACCCCCAACGTCCCCAGCACACTCCCTAGAGACATGTGTCGTTTGGCGGGAGACGCATATCGCGAGGTATAGCCGACAGGTAAATATCAACAAGCTATAGCCGACATACACGCTGCCGTTATCACCACAATACCCACAAGCTTCCCCATCTTGCCCCACAGCAACACACAGCAACACAGCAACAAGCCATTATTACTACACACGGACCGTGCGCCTCTGAGCATCCTCCGAACACCCTCACGTTCATGACCAAATTAAAACCTCCTCCTGCCCCACCACTTGTCCTCTCTCGCTGGTCAGCGTGCCAGTCATCATCGGCCAGTTGCCGGCAGCTCTAACCCTAAGACTTGTCAAGCGGTTTTCGGAAGCTGAGCGTCTTGGTAACACTGGAAATGTACTTGGTATCGCACACGAAGCCAGCCGCCTCGAACATCGCCCCCAGGTTAAAAGAGAGGTAGTTCCTGTGGGAGGGCGGTGGGAGGACGCCGCACGAGGGGAGGGCAGTGATAGCATGAAGAGAGCAATAGTAGCAGGGCCAGCGTAGCCGGCATAGCGGCATCGGGCAGCAAGCGAATGAGCGAGTCAAGTAAGACTGCAGACGCTTAGAGCCATTTAAAACCTTCCATTTTTCCAGAGGATTCATCAGCACGACCAACACTCCGACAGCCGAACCAGTCCGGATGTGGGTCGCGCGGGATGTGGGTTTGTTGCTGACCCATGGACCCAGCTTGGGAACCTCCGTACGTCAGAAAAGCGGAGGGCTCTGATGGCAAAATACCTGAATTCACATCCAGGATTCAGAGCCCTGTCAGGAACTACACCACACCACACCGCACTACACTTCACTTCCTCAACATCAGATCAAGCCGTCCACATAACACCGCTGTGCCGGGGCCCATCTCCTGGGGACCTAGAGTTACTTAATTCTCAATTCTCGTCCCTGGCGCTTCACAGTCATCAGCTCCTTACCTGTAGTAGGGCTCATTGAAGTCCCCGAACACGTCAATGCCGCCCTCCAGTCCAGGTCTGTCCCCCAGCTGCACGCTGTCCGTGACCACCAGCAAGCCCCCCGGTTTGAGCACTCGGAAGAATTCGGACGCGGCCCGGCGGCGGATGGCCTCGGGCAGCTCGTGGAACAAATACACACACACGAGCTGGAGGGGGGGGGCAGGGGAGAGAGGGTGGGGGTGGGGGCGGGGGGAGAGGGATGAAGGAGAGGTGTTAGCGGGAAGAGGAATGGAAGCGGCGTGGGTGAGTACGGTAAAGCTTCTAACGTAAAGAAAATGAATAACACAAATAATTCTTCATACTCATCTTGTCTTGGAATACATGGCTGGAGTGGGAGAACAGGAGTTCGTCTGCGTGCGAGAAGCCTTAAATGCCTCACTGCGGGTGTATTTACGTTTGAAACCACCATCTAACCGGTTGCCGTGCTGCAGCTGTGATCGTCCGGCAGGCAGGCAACGGACGAGGCAGGCAGGAAGGAAAGAATCGACCTCGGGAACTCCAACCCCCAATTTCCAGCGCAGTGCCGCTGAATTAAGGTGACCCTTCCGAAGCTTACCCTCTTCCTAAAAACTCAGTAACCCCAGAGGAACTTCCCAACCCCCGACCCCCAACCCCCAACTCCCAACTCCCAACTCCCAGCAGTCCAAAACCGCCCAAGCCCCTAAGCTAAACTCAACGACCCAGGAACCTTCCCCCAATGTCCCCGCGGGGGGTGGGGGAGAACCCACAATGTCAAACTGGTTGTCGGCCGCATCGATATTCTCGGCTGCAGTCTGCAAGAACTGTGTGACCCCCGTGTCGTCGACCCCTCCCAGCCCCCGGCCGGGCTGCCGCAGGTCCCTCCAGTAGCGCATGTTCTCCCGGGCTCGGGCCAGGTAGAAGGGGCTCAGGTCGGAGATCACGGAGGGCAGGGAGGGGTAGGCGTCCTTGATGAAGGTGTGGAACCTGCCAGTGCCCGCCGCCACCTCCAGCAGCCGCAGCTCCGAAACCCCCCGGCCACCCAGCTCAGCCTCCCGCACGTACTCAGAAATGGGGATCAGGGAGGTGCGCTGCATGGCGTCTTGCATGCCTGAGAACAGGGACTCTGTAGTGAACTCGTACAACGCCCCAGATCTGCGCGGTCATATCATCACCGCCGTCGTCCCACAATGCTATAGATTACTTTGTCGCCACCTCGTATCGTAGGCAGAGCACTCGTTACGGAGTAGCAGCAGATTAGTTATGGCGGAATGGCGATGTGAAATTGTGCGTGAGGGGAGGTGATGAAAGGACGGGCAAACGGTAGGATTAGCCCGCGGTGCAGCAGGGCACGCATAGCTTGCCCTCCTCCTCTTCCGCTTCCAAATTCAACAAAAAGTTTTCACCCGCCGTCGCCACCGTTGTTCTATTCTGCTACCATCCCACATTCCCTCCGCGGTCTCCTCCCGTCGCCTCCCGTGCACAACCCTCCGTCCTTCTCGCCGGTCCTTCTAGCCGCTGATGCTCCCTATCCATTTCCCATATTGTCTGTCTGTCTGTCTCTCTGTCTGTCGCTCTGTTTGTCTCTCTGTCTGTCTGTCTATCTGTAAGAGGCAGGGGTCGGGACATCTTAAAACCCTACCCTACCCCACCTTTCTGACAGCCATCCGTCAGTTTGGTAGTGGAAGGTGTTGGTGAAGTACCGGGGGTAGAGGGAGCTGGACAGCCACACGGGCTCCGGTTGCTTCCGCAGCCGCCGCTGGGTGATAGCGGTCCACTCCCCTAGGTAGGCCAGGGAGCTGCGGGAGGGGGAGGACGCGAGCAAGGGTGGGAGATATGCGGGAAGGCGTTACAAGGCAGGCGGGGACGGGCCGGTAGAGCAGAACACGGTATTCGAACAAATGGCGGAGAACTGCCCTGAGCCGAGCTGAGCTGAGCTGAGCCGAGCTGGGAAATGAATGGCCTGATGGATACGTGAAGGCGGTTACACGTCACGAACAGGTACAGAGGGGTGACCCTGCCCTGCCCCTCGGGAGGTGGCTATTTCCTAAAACCGCGTTGAATGAGTTTCAGGGGGGAGCGCCAAACGAGTGCATCTCGACCAATCGGTGTCCTCACAACGTCACCAAGCCAAGCCAGCCCAAACCCAGGTCCGTTCCCTTCAGGGGCCCCTTACGGGGTGTACCACACAGCCCTACCCCCCGAACGCAAACAGCGGGTTGTACTGCCGGTGGTTGGGTACGGTCATGTCCCAGGGCAGCGGGTAGCAGCCTGCCAGGATGTTGTCGTAGTCCTGACAGGTGTACGACATGAGAGCAGCGGAAGCAACGGGATACGGTTGAGTACAGTTGTACGGAATACTAAAGAGACGAGGGACTCGGTTTGGGGAAACAGAGTGGCGGGACATGTCTTGCTGTGTGTTGCACCTGGTGGAGTCGAGCTAACCTGCACAGTTGTGTCGAGCCCATTCGAGCCGGAGGCTCAGGGGGCAGGCAAGGGCTGACCGAAATCACATGTGCTCCAGAGCAGCGGGAGGAACAAATACACGCATGCACACGCACAAGTGACTCAGCCGAGAAGCGCAGGGGGGGTAGACGGTGTCTCAAAGAATTTACAGCAACAAGCAATAAATAGCATCTATAACGTTTGGAAGGGAAACGGACAAATGGAGACACAGACTCAGACACAGACTAAAATTCCGTACAGATGTACGGTGGTAACGGCCGTACCTGCTGTACGGCCACCAGCCCATCCAACAATCGGCTCGCTACTTCAGGCTCTGCGTCCTCCAATAATCGTTCGAAGGGAGTTGAGACGGAAGATGCGGAAGAGGAGGACGAAGCAGCCGCCACAACCTCCGAGACATGGTGTGCGGCGAAGCCTGCGAAACTCTGTGCATTCATCCATGAACAACACCCTCAACATCAACCCAAAACGATAAGGACATGCCAACAGCCTACATAGGTACCATCCTGTACTTATGGGCATGTATGGTTCAAAGCACCTGCAGCATAAAATTTGCGCAGCAACTAGCGGCGGTGGCGGTGGTGGTGGCGGCGGTGGTGGTGATGGTAAAGCCGCAAGAAAGGTCGAGGGGAAAGAATCGCCATGCATTACAAATGGTGAGGGATGGAGAGAGGGACCTGTAGACCTGCCGGCTCCGCCAATCGACCGATGAGCCCACTGACTGACTGACGGACTGACGAACAAGCTGAGGGTTACGAAAGAACCGAGGCCCGATTTGAGGCCGGCAAGGAAACACAATCTCGGTTCCGGGGGCAAGTACGGATTACCGTACACAATTTCGATTTAACTTGCCGTACCTGCGTCAGGAAGAACATCTGACGACCCAGGTGGTACCACCAGTGTGCGGCGCGGCGGACATCCGTCAGCGGGTTAGGCGGTACAATCTGCCGTACAGCCTCTGCCAGGGAGGGTCCCGGCCTGTGTTGAAAAAGGGAAAAAGGGGATTTGGTTCCAGACCGGCAGGTATCCAGAGGCTAAACTAAGATAAGCGGATGTATGCGGAGGGGGCGGGGGGCAGGGAGCGGGGTAAAGTGGATTTTGGTCAAGAGGAACGCTTCGGGCTCAGGAGGTAATGGGATGCTGAGGGGGCTGACGCTGTCCCAACCGAGGACATCGCTGCTACGAGCCTGTGTGGAGTACATTGCGGCGAAACACCGGATCCCAGAGGATTCCCAGGAAGGGAAGTGGATCCAAAAAGTTTCCAGCAGGGTCATTGTTCGAGCCGCCACCTGGTGCACTCTGGCCATAGGGCCCCCGGCCTCTGCTAGGCACTCACGGGCGCGGGCCTTCTCGGTGGTTTAGGATAGCAGTGGTAACACGAGTAGAACGCTGACTCCAGGTGACGGCGGTAGGGTGCAGCTTGAAGCGTCCAGCGTCCAGGTCGCGGAGTGGGATGGCGGAAGGGGCAGTGGGAGAGGGAATGGTCGCAGCCGCTGCACTGGACGGGCTGTTGCCAGGCGCGAGGAAGGGACTGCTAGGCTCGCTCCTGTTCCATGGCGCTGGTGAGATCCGCGTACTTGTGGTGGTCCCGGAGGTGTCTGAGGCTACGGCAAAAAACCGGTCCGGGATGAGAATGGAATGCGCAGCTGACTGGTTGCTGGCGGGTCCACGACCCCAGCTGCGGACTCGAGTTAGGTAGGAAAAAAGCAGCTGCGTTACTAGGTTGCATTACATGACACCTATCCAAATAAGTTAAAATAAATGCTTGTAGTAGCATTGTGACTTTCGGCTTTTCGCAAAGGGAAGCTTCGGGTTAGGATAGCGCGACCGAGTTAACTACGTGAAATATCATACATTTAATACGCATTAGGTTAGTTATTATTAGTCTTCAGAAAACATTTAATCATATATCTAGGACACGACTACCGGCAGTTGATTTTGATGTCTGGTCGCCTAGATAGTTACCCAGGATAGAGGTGAGTGGATGATATCTTACTTTGAGATTTAGGGACGATGAAGCGATAGTGCCGTCCGCTGCTTGGTTGACCAAGCTCTTTGCGGGTTGTCTTACCACTTGGTACTATGCGCATCGTATTGCCAAATGTGAGTTGGAAAGCACTGGAAGGGAAGTAAAATGAAGTAACGCAGGCTCAATTTATAGTTAGACTGCATGGCTTTTTTAGTCGCTGTTCAACTCCGTGGCCGTTCGTGTTGCCGTACAGTACTTCCAGTGAACACTGGCCTGCGAAAGATTACTGTTCCTTGGCCCGTAAATATGTGGCATCTCATTGTTCAGTGTGTGATTGAGGCGTCCTAATACACCAGCTCAGGATTATGAAAGTTGTAACGAATGTTGATATTCGGCCAGAACACTGGAAGTCAGGCAGTTGAGACGACTTTACGGCGTATAAGATGCGATGTGTGGGATAAAGGAGATATGACGTTTTCGCCGAGATTTTGTTCTGTGAAACCTGTAACGGTTGGGGTTGGCCATATCTACACAGCTCCACTTCCCTGTTTACCATCGGTTATGAGCCCCGCGCCGCAGCTGCAAGCGCGTGCCTAGTTTAGGTATTGCGTCCAAACCTTTCGGCTTAGTACTTACCTGGCTTTGGGATAGGAGCAGTAAGGGGAAGGAACACGATGCCGAGCGGCTCGAGAACTACTTCCGCTGGCGAACGGCCATGAAGTAGTATCTGGCCGGCAAGGACCTCTGGGACGAAGCGGAAGATTTGTCGACAGCAGTACCTAATAACTCAATGAACGCAAAATCACAAATAGTCAAATACACGGCGATAAGATTTCACAGGCTGTTCGAGACGCTGTCGCGGCAGTCCGCGCCGAGCGTGTTACCGAAATCGCTGCGAACATTCAATTCATCAAACAGCGACTTAGCAGCCTAAAACAGCGGACAGGCCAGTCCGTTGTGGACTACTATTTCGAGGAAGCGGAGGACCTGCATGAGCAGATGGCTGCGGTGAACTCGGAGATTGACAACAGCCAATTCGCCTTGACCATTTTGGGCAGTCTGCACAAGCGGTTTCAAATACAGCAGGTGCTCTTTGCTGCAAAGTCGCCGAGCTGAACCTGTCGGACATGAAAGCTGCTCTGCGCTTAGCGGAAAAGATGCCAACACCGAATGGGTCCGGGTCGGGGCCCTGGCGTTGCGCAACCGCAGCAGTACAGGAGGCGATGGTGGTGCCAGTGGAGGCTATCGTTTGGATCAGACAAAACACAAAACACATGAGTTCCCGCATGTTGTTGTATCCTAGGTATTCAAACCGACAAAGGCAAAGCTCTGCAAATTACAACATATCAAGGAGTCGAGAGCTAAGGCAGAGCCAACAAAGGATCATGAAGAATTCATACTCATATCGTATGTGCGTGAACGTGCACGTGCATCCTTTCTTCTTCATGTCTACCCCCCCCCCCCCTTTTTTCAGGACTAAACTAAACGGAGCACAACCGGCATAAACATATGCATGAACAAGTGTGCAAACGAAGGAAAAGGCAGTATATCATTTTTATCAAAGGTTAGCATGTCGTCCAGCCAACCAGGCCACGAGCGTGTTTAGTCCTACGTTTCGTATGATATGTTTTACAACGCGCCAGTACACACTGTCCGGTGGGACGTGGCTTGGCATGCAGGTGTCGTACATTGCAAGACAGGTCAGCATGTGTAGACGCAAATGTACAATCAATACAGATTACAGTACAACACTGTACAAGATACAATCTTAAATAAATGCATATCATACACTACAAGCTTGGCATGTTAAACTGTATAAACGGAAATTCAACCGCAATAACAACGTTTTGTCGTACGGAACATTGCTTTAGGAATATGGAGTCTCATATTGTCCTGTTGGAAGTGACAAGTGAAGAAGATGCAGATAGTGATGCACAACTCCAAGCAGCACTCGCGCTGAGGCACACACAACGTCCCGACATCCCTGATGACGGACGGACCGTAGCGCAGCAGCACTCCCAACTGCCGCCAGGAAACTTGGACCGACATGGCCATGAGTCTTCTTGACACCTACATGCCTATACCTATATACCTATATACCTAGATCCCTCCCCTCCCCTCCCCTCCCCTCCCCTCCTTGTTTTCCAGTCTTTGCAACATCCTGCTTGTCTCACTTGCTCTCAAACTCGTCATTCAACTAAAAGATTGACAATCAAAACAGGAATGACCCCAAGCCTCTCATCAATCCCGCCATGATGGCGGCACCGCACGAACCCCCCCCCCCAACATTAAGTCCACATCATCAACTGCTCAGGGGAACCCCATCACCGACCTGCACACGACCTTGGGGCTCTGGGGTTCCCCGACATGAACACCAACTCCCAACAGCCTCCAACAACCCCTACATTGCAGCCGATTACATAACAACAATCAACGCGACCAGCTCGCCAACACCGACTCCTGACGCCGTTGTCACCATTTGCCATCTACTCCCGGGCCTTGCGGAAGCTGAGCGTCTTGGTGGCCGAGCAGAGGTACTTTGTATCGCATTCGAAGCCCGCTGCCTCGAACATCGCCCCGAGATCGCACGAGGTGTAGCTCCTGAGGAAGGCAGCGAGATGGAAGGGGGCGTAAAAACGTGTCCAGGACAGGACGAACCAGCAGCAGGTGCAGCGGTACCCGCAGCAGTAACATAAGTAACAACAACAGGACGATCTTACCTCATTCGTACATATGTAATCGCTGCCGTACACCAGTACAAGGCAACGGTCACCGCGGTGTCAAGGAAGCCAAGGCAAACAACGCGCACGGTGTTGATATTTTGTGTGCGCTCATTATGTAATGGCACGAATAATGTCCGGGGCCGATGCACACTTCCGCACATAGGAATTTCCCTCGCCATCCTCAACTGAAGCCGTCATACAGCCAGCTGTAGTCTCTCCCACATTCACTGAACCACGAGCAGCCAACCCATTAAGACCGCTCCCATTCGCACCCACAAACCCGCCTCGCGCAGCGCACCTGTAATAGGGCTCATTGAAGTCCCCGAACAGATTGAGGTTCTTGTCCCACTCGGGTCTGTCCCCCAGCTGCACGCTGTCCGTGACCACCAGTAAGCCCCCCGGTTTGAGCACTCGGAAGAATTCGGACGCGGCCCGGCGGCGGATGGCCTCGGGCAGCTCGTGGAACAAATACACACACACGAGCTGTGGGGGGGGGGAAGAGGGGAGAGAGGGTGAGGCGGGGGAGAGGGATGAAGGAGAGGTGTTAAACCAGGGGAAGCCGGTGTGGAAGTGTGTGTTTGGCTGTTGGCAAGTGGAAACTACCTGGACACGGTCAGATTCGAGGACATACACCGTACCCGCCAGCTGAGGGAGTTGTGGCAGGCAATTCATCGCCAACGCGCACGCTGTCGCGCCCGCAACCTCACATTCCAGCAAAACACAGCAAAAACGCCACTTCCTTTTCCCTTCACTGCACTGACCTGCTGGCCCTGCATGCGAACAAACTCCGCACATCAGAACACCAACCACCTGACGACTAAGACCAACACTGACAGACAAAGCTCGCATCATCTCCGCCTCATTCATAAACAAGCACACAAATCCACGCAAATCACTCGCAAAATGTATCACCCCACATTTCCCCCCTCATATCGAACGCCATCCATCCGACCGGCCCAACCACCTGCCATCAACCTGTAACCTCCAACCTCCCCCAAAAATCTCCCCCCAATGGGCCCCGCGGGGGGTGGGGGAGAACCCACAATGTCAAACTGGTTGTCGGCCGCATCGATATCCTCGGCTGCAGTCTGCAAGAACTGTGTGACCCCCGTGTCGTCGACCCCTCCCAGCCCCCGGCCGGGCTGGCGCAGGTCCCTCCAGTAGCGCATGTTCTCCCGGGCTCGGGCCAGGTAGAAGGGGCTCAGGTCGGAGATCACGGAGGGCAGGGAGGGGTAGGCGTCCTTGATGAAGGTGTGGAACCTGCCAGTGCCCGCCGCCACCTCCAGCAGCCGCAGCTCCGAAACCCCCCGGCCACCCAGCTCAGCCTCCCGCACGTACTCAGAAATGGGGATCAGGGAGGTGCGCTGCATGGCGTCTTGGCGACCGAAGAACAGCAGCTCTGTGTTGTGCTCGTAGATACGCGCCGACCTGCATGGAGAGGAGGCCATAGGAAGAGGGGTTGACCCATGGGTCAATTGGCCCAGATGGTGGAATACGCAAGACACGAGAGATGGAATCATTCCTCCGGATTTCACAGATCTGGCGTTTGACGCGGTCAACGGAGGAGGACCGCCTGAGATTGTGAACGCGGGGGGTGCGGTGGGGGGAATGGGGAGGACACCGCCCGAAGGAGGCTAGACTAGGGATCTCTGGTTACGACAGCACGCGGAAGGTACCGCCATGGCTGCGGTGGGATACGGCAGCTTGTGTGTGTGTGTGTGTGTGTGTGTTGTCCCGGCGGAGTTCAAGGTGCAGCACTAATTTCTCTGGGGAACCTGATGACTGTTGTCTAAAAAGGTCCAGTGCTTGTTTCGGGTGGAGCACGGCGTTTATAAGTCCCAACACGTTATCAACATCAGCGCACGTGATCTGTACGGCATCCGTACATACCCTCCGGTGGCGGTGGCCGGTGGGCAGCAGGGAAGTACATTGTGTGAGCCCCCATTCCATTTATCTTTATGTACTATGGCTCAGGTTCATTTAGATATCTGCCGAAGATAAAAAATTAACTATGCCATATCTGACGTGACAAGACTTACTACGTCTATTAGGGGATATCCTCCTTCAAACACATCCCCCCCACACGCACACCTCCACCCTACCCCACCTGTCTGACAGCCATCCGTCAGTTTGGTAGTGGAACGTGTTGGTGTAGTACTGGGGGTAGAGGGAGCTGGAAAGCCACACGGGCTCTGCTTGGCTGCGGACTCGGCGTCTCAGGGTTGCCGTACTCTCCCGTACGGATTGGGCAGTCCTGCGTGGCGTGTTGGGAGGGCGAGGTGAGAGTTGTGGGATGTGGACGCGCTCCCCTACACCTCCCTCGCCTCACCACCCCAAAACGGCGCCCCAGACCCCCCAATCCCCCCCCCCAACGCCCCAAGACCACCCACCTGACCAACATGAACAGGGGGTTGTTCTGGCGGTGCCTGGGAGACATGTCCCAGGGCAGCGGATAGTAGCCCCCTCGGATGTTGTCGTAGTCCTGCACGTACAAAATTACAGCATTATCAGTACGGCGAAGGAGGTTTAAAACTTGGATCTAGTAGGGGCCACGTGTATACCAGCCCTGACGCCCCTAGTACTCCATCCCCCATCAGCCCCTGGGGCCCATTACAGCGACGGCTATTTCTACTCACTACCCACTCTTGACGCCTTCTTCCGCATGCATATCAACATCTTCAAGCAATACACAGCTACTTTTACCACTACTTCATTAGAAGTAATGAAATAACGACTACGAATACGGCTGCTAGTCTTCGGGGAAGTGCTGCACTTGGCTTCCTCCTTTAGAGCTGGACGATGTGCTCCTCGCGGCTCAATGCAATAAACATACATACATGCATACACGGGGTCACATCATTACACAACACACGCATACACACACACGCACCTGCTGGAAGGCGGCCAGTGCCTCCGCGACCCGTGTCATCATCTCCTGCCCGGCGTTGGACAATATTCGCTCCAGGGGGGTTTTGAAACCTGCACCTGTGGTGATATTGGCGCTAGTCTGGGCACTAGTCGAACGCAGTCCGGATGTTGTTGATGACGTCAGCCAGGATGAAAACCCCGGCAGGTTGGAGGGTAGAGTCTCCGCCAGGTGGTGAGCTAAGAGACCCGTGACCGCCTGTAACAAGGACGGGGCGCGGAGCGTGGTTTCTTTCGAAAAGAGTACGACGGCCGCGTGTGTGCACGGCACGTGTACCCGTACTTGATCGTGTTGCGGCAATTAAGCGGTGGAGGAAACCGCGAGGGAGGGAGCCCTGGGGCCAAGGCCGACTCAACAGCGCACCAAACAAGGGAGGAGGGCTATTGCATTTTGCATCCTGAATTCCCTTTCCCAAGCTTCCTGGAGGGACTGGGCCGAGAGGTGTGGGACGAACGTCTATGTACAATGCATTACGAAGTGCTGTGGAATTGAGCCCTGCAGCATCAGCCGTGGAAAAGCGTCTTGCATCCCAAAATTGAGCCTCGTCGTGATCGGCAAAGCAGAAGCCCACGGCGCCGTGTGGAGGGAAAGGTCACCGGAAGAAGCTCATTGGCAGTGGACTGCGACTCCAGCAAAGCATATGATGCGCGAGCGTGTGAACGAGCGTGTAAACGTAAAGCTCTAGTGCCAGAAGTCCCAGGCACCTCAGCGCAGCTAACGCACACGGCACAATGGCTTGCATCACACCGTGTACAAACGCGCATTACCTGGCCAACGAAGAACGTCAGACGAGCGGAGTGGTAGGTCCAGTAGGTAGCGGCATGAGGGTCCCGGAGCACAGCGGAATCAGCGGCCTGTCGTACAAGCTGCTGTACGGAGTCCGTCAGGCTGCACGTGACGGGCGGGGTGGGGTTGAGGGATGAGGTTGGCGGGGGAAGATGCGATGGTGGTAAAAGGTGTATGACTAATGCGGCCATGCGTACAGCTTATGATGAGCTGATGAGGCCCAGTGGTGTTCCATAGAACACTACTGGGCGTCATATTTCACAAACCCTTAGCACACAGTCATCACCTCACCGTGCTTCCCATCCCGCCTCCCCCCCCCGGCATGGTGCTTTCCACCACCTCCCCTCCTTCCTCCCCACCTTCCCCCCTCTAAGAAACGGATCTCCGTTCCGTTTGCATGTAAGCCCCCGCACCCTCTACCTCCCGTACCTCATGTCCGTGTCGGCAAACAGGGTGTTGGCGTACGATTTGAAGTTCTGCAGGCGGAGACCGGCAACAGCACGCAACCAAAGTCCCTACTTGTTCATCATTTTCTTTATTCTGATGATGACAACATATCATGTCATGATACCCATGGCAAAATATACCCGCCAGCAGCTGTACAGCTTTTGTCATGCACCGCTGCCATACACACAGGATATATCCCCCTGCTCACCTTCGCCGTCCTCTCCCCTCCAGATGTCCTCATCTCCCCACCACTCCACATCTGTCCTCCATCTCTCCTTTCCTATTGCTCCCGACACACATACATGCTCCGTCCTCGTGGCCCTGATCCCTAAAAAACCTTACCCCTCACCATCGTCCTTCGCTGACCAAGCAACGTGGTAAAAGCAAGCAACATGCGGTTGCCTCGCGGCCCCGGATGTACCCCCCTTTCCCCCCATCCCACCCCACATACATACATACACAATCCAGACAGGGCAGAACAGAATCCAAGGAACCTGAGAACCTCTGCCTGGGGAGGGCACCTGAATGGGGCGGGATGGGACCCACCTGCCAGTACGCCACGCTGGGATGAAGCCGGAAGCGCTGCGCGTCCAGGTCCGCGACCTTGAGCCCACTGTCCACAGCCGCCGCGGCCGGTGGGGGTGAAGGGGGTGTGGGGTCGGTGACCGCCGAGGGCGGCGCTTGGGACGGGGACGCGGCATTAGTGGTGTACGAGGAGGAGGTCGCTTCTGCAGGTTGTAGGCAAGATGGTTGGCAACATCGTAAGGGATTCATGTAGTTGAAAAAATCACGGAGAAGGATTTGCTCCTGGTTCGTTCGGCATGTGGGATGGGGAGCGTTGGGTGGTTAGTCGCGTAGCGCAGTGGCACAAGTTATGATGCAGGCGGTCGAGGTGAAAGGCTCGGTATCAAATGGCTGTAGCAGCCACAGGAAAGAACGTATATCAATAGTAGCTTAAATAATGTGCAAAAATGTTCGGTCTCCTTCTTTGCAAGGCTGTGAAACGACGTGGACGCTGCGAACGCCAAACGTTTAACGGGTTCAATTACCACGCAGACGCGGCACTTGCAGGTCTGATACTTAGTAACATTCGGTAATTTGATTAAATACTGTGACTTGAAGCTAAGCAAGCAGCGCCGCGACAGGTTCGCGACGGTAAAACCCTTACCAAGCACATCCACCTCTACTTGGACAGCACGAGTTGCAATGAGCCTACTGCGACTATGTAGCAATCCTTGGCATTTGCTAGGGGTCCGGCTTAAGCTACGTGCGGCTAGCATACTGACCAAGGGCCCGACTTGTAATACGACAGAAAAACGCACACAAGCGTATGTTGTGTATATAGAGTATAGAAACCCTAAAGATTATATATATGCATCAGTAGCAATCTATTTGGCATATACTTGTGGTCGCTTGTGTTAAGTTTATGCGTTGCTCCGCATAAGGCTCAAGACGAGGCAATGCAGGTTCTCAACGTTTCTTGCTTCTTATCAGTGAGTGGTTTTCATACATGATTTGTACACCTTATATACGTGGAAGACTTATAACCTTACGCTTTACTACGCCTTACATTACAGTGGTAGATGAACGTATGGCCCTGCAGCATTCCGAGGAGCAGTAACGGACACCAGTGTCGTGACACGCAGCGGAACGCATCATTTTGGCAAGGCAAAGCCTCTGTTAATGAAAGTTAATATTTTCTCCCAAAGTCGAGCACGATGAAGCAAGAGGTCGCGAAGCTGTAAGTCGACAGCTAACTACCACAACCGTGACGCCGACATAAGTCCTCGCCAAGTCGCCATACATGCAGAGCCTGTGGCGCAGCACGTAGCATGGCACCCACAGGCTTCTCGTCGACTTTTAAAGAGGATTTCGACGTTGTGGCACCTTGCAAAGTGGAAGAGTCGGACGTGGCGTTTCTGAATCTTCATGCTGCTCCTTTCTTGCTTCCGAACGGAACAACAGCTGGCAGACGCAGGGCGGGCGGAAGCAGAAATCAAAAGGCAGAAGTTTCTAGGGCCAAGTGAGGGTGACTAAGTTCGTTCACAGCGACAGGGAATCGTCGTGATGTATGGCAACCCTAGGGCTTCAAGTCGCTTGAAGCATCCAGTTGTTACGACTTTACCCCTGCTGGAAATACAAATCTTCTCACATACGCCATGCCCAAATTTGGAAAGCTTTGACAGTTATCGGAAAGGGCCGGGGATCGCTGCCCGGTGAAATGCTTCTTTGTAGTCGCAATCACAACGGTTTTCTCGGTTTTCTCGGTTTTTTTTAACCTGGCAAAGGCATATACCATACGGGAGGGATTCCCGATGGGGCATATCTATCTTGCACACTACACAGCCGATCCCATCCCATCTATATATTAGCTGTTCTTGGATCCATGCTTCACCGCTGAGTTAGGGTCCTAAACAGGCGTACGCGGATATTCCCACGCAGGACATTCAGCCACACTTACATACATACGTACAAAATTGTCTGAACTTTCAGTTTCCTAGAGACTGCGGCGTAGCGCCCCTGCTAAAGCGATTCGGAGCACTAAGACCGCAAAATTCGTACAAGCGATGCCGTACTCCGCAGTGCCAGAGAGACCGCGGCCCTATGCCGCGTGAAATTATGCGTGAGGGCCCCCAACCGCGCATTGCGACGCAGGGTCCGCATTCCCGATTTACCTAAAAAAACAATGAACAACCGAAACAGAGTCAACAACACAGCGAGTGACGCAGTGAAAAAATTGGTTGACCCAAGGTTTCCAGACAACGCCTGCCAACACTCTACTTTGCGTGAAGTCCACATCGCTCAGCGTTAAGGCTGCGTTATTCAACTTCAAAATAGGGGCATTGTAGGACAGGCATACATGCAGCCATGTTTCGCCACCAAATCCCCCAACTCACCGTATGCTTAATACCCGGTCCCCATTAACTGCAAATAGCTTCACCAACATTATTACCAACATAAATCAGGGCATCTTGTGACGCTTTTGCGCCATGAGCGACCGAAAAATGCCCTAAAAAACGCCGCACACGCGAGAGCAAAACTTCATTAGCCCAAACAGAACATGAACATGGGCCGACCAGGCCATCCAGGTTCAACTGCACGGAACGACTCCTACACTCTGCATCGCTTCGAATCTAATGGTTTCCCGCGTTCGTGCAGCAGCCACGCAGGGCGGCAGCGCCCATCACAGACCCGCACAGCACCACACCGTACTGGACCTTATCCGCTACCTCTAAACGCCCCCCGTTCATCGGTGTCTCTTTGGATGTTTGGTACAGGCTTCAGAACCCACAGTCAGTTTGTCCCCATCGATGTAAAATGCCACCCACCCATCCGCGGGAGCCCTATTATGAGCCCAACCTAGCTGCCAACCATTGCACATGCGTGTGCGCAATCCATGACACAGATGCGCGCCATTCTTCATGCCCCTCTAGCCTGATGCTAGAGGATGATGATCCCCGCAACAACAAGACGCGTGACCCACTACATTGCCGCCGCGTTTTGGCCTAGGCGAGCGACATTCCCTTTCCATCCCTACACGGGAAACGTGAGCTAGAAATCTTTCTTATCCTCCTCCTCCTCCTCCTCCTCCGTACACTCGACACTGCAGCTCCATGCTTTATCAAAACAACGCACATGTACATATACTTACCTACATACACACCTACATACACCTGTGAACACCCACGAACGATTATTGGCAACGATACATTCGGTACGCACAGAATCATTAACACATAAGGACTCGCAAAAGCACACATATATAAATACATACATGCGCACACACAAAGAATTTGCACACAGATCTCCTACATGACCCTCCCACTGACGACATCTTCCACATGCGGTCTTGGTGTAATCGGGTCCCTCTCCTCCCTAGGTGCTTCCTCCGCGTGGTCCGGCATTCTTTTCCTCCTTCCCGCGCCCCGTCCTGTTCCCTCCTCCCGACCTATGGGAGATAATCCTCCCCCCTAGGACATTTCACGTGACCCACGGGTCTTTTGCCATAACACATCCTTCCTAGAATGACGGCAGCTTCTGCACCAGCACGGGCACCAGCTCCGTGTTCTGCGGCCTGTACGGCTCTCGTCCAACCGCCAACAGTACGGACCGTGTGAAACCCGAGTGCGTCACAACAAACACGACCTTCTCCGGGGCGAAGGTCCACAGGTCACGCAGGAACGCCAGTGCGCGCTTCGTCTGCACGGGCATGGCGCAAAAGGAAAACAGGCAAGCAAGCAGCACGGGGCAGCTCGGTGAGTGGGTTGACATACCTAAACCTCCGTGACTAGTGGACGAGCAACTAGACATTCGCATTCCCCCATGAACCCAAGGGTCACATTGAAATACCCCCTCACCAAATGCAACTGCCACATCAACGCGAAGCGCACAGACACACACACACACACGCGCGCGCGCGCACACGCAACGCACGACATACAACTGCACACAACTCCCCCATAGCTTCCCCCCCGGTAACATCCCAACCCATACCCGAGACCCGCACCCACCTGATGCCCCTGAGTCTCCCGGTCCTCCGTCCACAGCGGATCCGCATCCGCCAACAGACCGAACCCATCACGACGACTGGGGCCCGTGGGATCATCATCCCCGTGGCCATTGACGGCGGCGGCCTCATCCCCCCCCCCCTCGTCATCGCCGTCGCCGCCGTCGTCCCTGCTGCGATGCGGGGGCGTGACGGGGAAGTCGAAGTGCGGGAACTTGGAACGCAGACCCAGCTCGAACTTGCACACGCCCTGCAGGTGCTCCTTATCGTCCTCGGCGGGGTCCGATGCAGCCCTGCCCCGGTACAGTGTACGGGAAGGACGTACCGTGCCAGGTAGTACGGCATCGAAGCGGGTGAGCACATGAGGGAGGGAGAAAGGAGCCCAGTCATCCTCCCACATCACAGCAGCACGTGCAAGACCCTCAACGCCACAAGTAACACGGCCACCACCACCACCACCACCACACACTGCAATACCACAGACCAGCGCCTCGCCTCCTAAGCCCGTTCTGCACACGTGCTTTAGCAGGGTATTTGCATTCATTCACATTTCACAAAGACGGCCTCCTGGGGGAAGCCCACTCAATTTCCCATCCCAGGGTCCAGAGCCCCTTGCCTTCTTTCCGCGTCCTCGATCACCTCACTCACCCCCTTACCCCACACAGAGCCACACACAAACACACGCACCTGCGCGCGTCGCACGTGTCCTCCCCCAGCGTCTCCCGCACGTTCTCCTCCACGTTGTACTCCGTAAAGCTCAGTCCCTTGAGTGCGCGGGTGGCGGTCTCCAGGCACCTGGCGGGTCGGGTGTGGGATGGTGTGGCAGGGCGTTGGTGTTAAATGAGAGGGCGTTGACTGTGTACATGCCTACATACGTTAACAGTTGTTCCTAAGTTTCTTGCATTATGGTCATCCTCATCCTATCATTCCTATCATTCCTCCCCACCCCGCCCCCCGACGACACGCCCCCGCCCCGCTGACCTGCTCAAAGGGCTCACTACGGTGCGTGCAGGCCTGCCCGCCGTGAGCGTGTCGAACCAGCTGCCATCCTTGAGCATGGAGTTGAGCGCGTCAGCCTCCGCCTTGCCCAGATCAGTGAGGTCTGCAGGGATGGCAGGGAGGAGGAGGGGAAGGAGGGGAAGGAGGGGAAAATCGTGTGATGCAAAATGCAATCAACTATTGCTGATGCCTAGAGAAAAAGAAAACGGGGGAAAAGTGGAAGGGGAGGGGGCGGGGATGAGGACGAGGACCACCGGATTCATCGCTCTCATGTTTAGTCAGTACGTGGGGACGGTAGTCTCCACCCCGCCGACCCTCTTCCGGCCCAAAGAGACCTCCACCCTCTCACCCAGCAATGGCTGCCACCGCAATAGACTAGCTCCTCAACACAAAGTTGCTTTCCTGCCAACCCCGCCACTTCCTTTTTTTTGCAACCCTATCCTCAAAAACACATACATACACATACACATGCACACACATACATACATACATACATGCATACACACATACATACACCCCCAGGCACCTCTCTACATTCCCAGCTCCCCGCCTCCCACCTGCATCGAATATTCCCCAGAAGGTCCCGTTGGCGTCATGGTAGCTGCACTTGGTCTCCCACTTGAACCACTCATCCGGACCTAGGAAGTCCGACAGGTAGTTGCTCACCTGTAGCGTGTAGCACGCAGTAGCACGAGGGCATTACGTGTCACTGGGTAACTGGACGGGTGCCGCAATAGTGACTGGGGGCGGGTGTGGATAGGTCGGACCGCCGGGTGCCGGGTACGAGCGCGGACACAAAAAGAATGCCGCAAATTGGTATATATACATATAGGAGCACGGCGGGGTAGAGCAAACCACTGTATGATAAGGAGCGGAGGCCTCTTCGCAAGTAAGGGCATCTCCAAGTGCACGTTGTGCACGTGGAGGACACGTTGTGCGCGTTGGAGAGGAGGGGAGGGGAACGGAGGGGAGGCTGAGCAGAAATCCACGCGGGCGACAACCCCGAACCCCAATTACCCTCCAGCCTCACTGTGCGGCGTCCCCCCTTGCTCTCGCCATGGGAACGCAAGTCGGTTGTGCACGTGCTGCCCTGGAAAAGCCGTCGCTGCGACGTCTTTAATGTTGTGGTGCATAATGCACAGAATGCCAACACAGCGCTGCTGCTGCGGCGGCTGCTGTGCTGCTCCACCGACATCCTTTGGCTTCTCCCTTTGTTCACATGCGGTCGGTCAACTCCTTGCTTTCACGGGAAGGGTTCGTTGAGCCTCCCCCCCCCCGCGGGGGGGGACCACCTAGCCTGTGTGCTTGTCGTCGCATCGCACGCGCTGTGGTATGACCAGCAGCATGACCCGCTGCCTTGTCCGTTGTCTCAGGAGATAGGAAAATGGGCTTTCAGGTCCTATCTAGTTGGGGCTTGTGTGCGCTCATTATTTGTAGCCAGTCCTAGCCACCCGCCGCTTAGTCGCCCTTCTCCACTACAGCGCCGTTATTTCTACGGGCTCTTGGCACCAACTCTCTAACCAACAAGATCTACAGATTCATTGGATAATCCTAACACACACGTCGCTGGTGGCTACGGAGCTTGCTCCGTTGTGAAATTACTCAGAGGAGTATTCCCTCAGCACACACCGATCTCTCACCGCTTGGCCGTGGCGGATCAGGAACACCAGTTTGGCATCTGTAGGGGGGGAAAGGGGGAAAAGGTGGGGTTTGGTAGGGATTACAGTTTGGAAGGGATTACATGCAAGACACAAAAAAAGGTCAATTGACGACGTGCCGGGGGTGGGGGGAAGGTGGGGGGTATAACGGGGGGCTCCAGAGACGGGAAGGAGGTTCGCATCGGCTCAAGTTGAGGATCGGGCGTGTTGGGACTTAAGCAGCCGTTCCGTGTGATATACCAATCGGGTCGGCCACATCCCGCCCTCTCACCCTTCACGGCCCACATGCCCTCCGCCGTCCTGACAGCCAGCCAGCCGACTACATCGCCTACCTTCCCTGCACACGGCCCACCCCATTTCCCGGCCTGAGCTACACAGAATTACTTATAGCTCCACACACAGACACACACACACAGCCCTACTCTGCTCCCCGCCCAGCCCGTACCCGGTAGGTCGTCCAGCATCTCGTGGATCCGGTCCCAGGTCACCAGCGCCCCAAAGGAGAAATGCTGGCCGGGGCCAGGAAGCTGCTTAGAGGCACGCTCCTGGGGAGGTGTGGGTGAAGTGGAGGAGGAGAGTCGGGTGGGAAGAGGGCAGCCGGGGGGGGGTAGAAATAAGCGGACAGGGGCAGTGGGGGTGTATGTGGGGTTTGTGTGAAAGGTTGTGTTTCGCCGACATCATCCTGGCATTTGGGTCAGCGGGTCAATAATTAAATAAAACACATAAAATGCTTCCTTGGTGAATAATAATGTGGCGTCCTGGGTCCTGCGGCACAGTGGCAGATGCGCAAAAGGGGCAAGGGGGCAAAAAGGATGGGCGCAGGGTGGCGGGTCAGGCAGCAGATGGACAGCTGCAGGGCCATGGGCGCGAGAGCTTTATGGATGCCCGTGAGGTCAAGGGCCTACACGACGCGACTGGGTAGGTGGATAAGGGCTTGTAGGGGCGGCTCTGCGAAGTGATGGACACAGGTAACATCGGAGCCTGTGCTGCTGGGCCCGCTTAGGCTTACAGGGTCACAAGAGCCGGCGCAATTTGGGTCAACTGCTTTTGTTCAGACGTAATGGGTGGGCGGGTGCGTGCAGGAAAGATCGGCGCTTCGCCTGCTGCGGCGGCTCGACTGTCTGACCTGAATGAACAGGCCCGTTGGCGTGTGGTAGGGATGCTTTTCCCTGTCCCGTTTGCTTGACGAGAGGGTACTATGCGAGGCCGCCTGATCCATAGCGCTCTGCTCCAGCGGGCGCGCTGCGTGCGCGACCGTGGCTAGCAGAATTGCGACCTGGAGCAGCGTCAGGGCTAACATGTCGCAGTTACGCCGCAGGCGCAACATATAAGCAGAACTGAGAGAGCTATGATAAGGATGAAAGTTTTTGCAACACGTATATTTGCTTGGATAAAGCCGCAGCTCGGTGCTCCGATGCGTAGGAAGTGCTCTGGATAATAATAAAAAATAATCCTTCCTAGCTATCTGAACGGAAAAATACCCGCATTAGGCTTGTATTACACATAATTTGAGGATGCTTTTGTGCCGCCACATGTCGAGATGCCGTTCTCGTGTCGAGAATCCACACGGCATCATATTTGAATTTTGGGCCTTCTTGCGCCAATACCAGCCCCAAGCTTATGCATGTATCAGTCTTCATAATTCACGGCAGAGTTTAATCACTCCATAATAAAGTGCCAGACGGCAACCTGACTTGCGTAATCCGTTGCCTTTGGATATTGGACCTACGTTGCTGCTCAACTTTTGCATTAATTATTGCAAAATATCTGTGAACTTACAGGCACGGGACGGTTCATATGCGAGATGATATCTCCGTCCCTTTAGTTCCGCATGCTGCTGACCGTTACGCTTCCATATGCCAGACCTTCACCCATGCTTACAGTGTTGCAGTGGGCAGCCGCAATTGGAAAGAGTACCCAATGCAAGCGTGTTGTAGCTGTGTGCTGTTGTATGATTCTCTAGTAGCAATTCTCTAGTCGCCGTACTGCACATATCCGAGGCAATTTCCCCAGCAAGCATTATCCCGCCCCACTGTCATCCCAGTTTCAAAGGGTGGCGCGATACAGTCATACGCTACCAGTTACAGCACTTCACAGGATTCAATAGACGCATACAGACCCCGCATATTGAGGCGGTGTGAAACCCGCATACGGGCCTGTGACAACCCCCGATGTAAAACTCCCCTGCAAAAGAGAACCCAGAACAAAGAACGCAATCAACGCAATAACATGCTTGCCAACAACTCCAAACGCCATACCCGCTACCTACTTATTGGCAAAGCTATTTATATAGCATATCGCTCTTGTTGTGAGAGGCAGAGCATGCACGACGCTGCTTTCATCCCAGGGGCGAGTGCATGCTGTAATGAGCACAGCCAAGCTCAAAAGGACATGTCAAGCATGAAAAGGCGAAGAAACAAAATGAACGACGCAGCCGCGCTGCTGCCGATAACGCATATTGGCGTCACCGCAAATGCATTATCAACTTCGCAAGGACAAGAAACCAACCTGACCAACCTGGACACGTAAGGGAAATACACCCATCGTCACCAACAAAAGCAATGCTGCATGCGACTCTCCACGTAAAGGGACAAGGAATCCGCAAGCTCAAGCTTGCCGGACCCCGAAGCCACAGCCATACGGCACGTAGGAACTGATGCAAACGCAATAAATATCTGAAAACCCGGCTCCGCAAATCACCACGTTTGAGAAGCTGGACCGAAAGTACCATGACTACCCTCCCCGCAACTTACGAGCTGAAAACATGAAATGCATCCGAGCTGTGCATACCCCCCCCCGCCCAAACACAAGCCACACCTCCCGCGGGGCCTCTTACCTACATAGCCTTCGGTCTCCCTATACACACACGCGCGCTTTGCTTCCTGGAGGTGTTGTTCCCGTCTGTAACACAAACGAAACGGACACCTAGCGTCATGATGTCATATATGCCAAACTCTGCGCAACTCGGCGAGTTGCGTCGCCGTCGCGCGGCGAAACCCGTCTGGGCCGCAGCATGCTCCGGCCGGCCCTTGCATTGAGGCCTGGTCGGCAGCACCCCTCCAACCAACAACCTCCTTCGACCCGCCGCCTCCATTTCACCTCACGACCGCCAGGCCCCCCGTCTCCCCGCAACCTCCGCAGATGGCAGCAGCTCTGTGTGCGGAACACGCAACTCCCTCCGTCTACGTGCAGTAATGCAGCAGAGTAGCAACAACGCAATGACCTTCCAGAAAGCCATTAGCAGTCACCTTTTAATCAGCCGTGCGAAACGCCACACCGACATACATTTGGGTTGGCAGCGGCCACTCAGCACCGCGAACCGGGCACCACGGCTTTCCAATCCCACCCTGCATCGGGCGTCGCCTAATGCGCTGCGCTGCATTACCTCAAAGCCCTCGTCCATTAACAGGTGCGGGCCGTCCTCCTCTGCGTCACGCCCATGATGCCGTTGCCGCTGCCACTGCGGCATGCAGACCACCGGGGGCATGCAGAGCGGGAGGAAGAGGCGAGCCGCTCTAGCGTCGCGTGCATTCAGGCCAGCATGTGACGGTACAGCACAACACCCTGCAGAACGGTCCTTGTGTATTAAATTACGGAAAGCTGGAACCTCACACAAATATGGTTTTAACATCGCCCTCCGCTCGACCTGCTCTGGGGCTCACTACCTGCAAGACTTGCAATAATGAGACTTCTTCCTTGTTCCTCAAAACTAAACTGTACAAAACCAAACCAGGAAAACGTGCAGCTGGGTGGCACACACCGGAGCACATAGTGTACATGCATACAAACTCACACCACACACGCACACTCCATGCGCCAACAGGGTTAATTTGAACAAAATCCGGACGTCCAAAAAGTAAAGCAGGGCATTGACAAAACAGGGATGCTCAGGATGTAATGCCTGCTGTACATAGTCAGCCAGACCGGCGGCCAAACATACATACATCAAAACTGGACCTCTAGCTCCAATACGGGGGTTGGGACTGATATCCTCAGATCCAAACCTTGCAAGGGAACTCACTACCAAGATCGTGACATCCCTTTCAACTCCTAACGCATTGTACGGAGCTCCAACCTAAATACTTTTCTTCGCACTTTCTGTACTTCTCCGATTTATACGACTCCGCGATACTGAGATACAGCTCGCCCACGAGGACCAGAAGCCCTTTCTTTGCTATCCAGGTGCACAACGGAGTTATCTTCTCTTTAAACATGGCCATGGGCCCCTCCCTCTTGGCAGAGACGGCTCCTCGAGCTACCTCGGGTAAGGTCGCACACAGGAGAGCCCATTCTCGTTTTTCTCCTCGACGCACGAGCTTGCACCCATGCACTGCTCTCTGGCTCTTTCACGCGGTCCAACGCACCCCAGTGTGCTGCAGCAGCCACCAGGCCACTGCCGCAGCGCCGACCTCGGTTCGCACCCAAAGGTACACAACACAACAGGCCCAGGAAGGTCTTGTGGCGCACCCTGATGCACAGCTCCGCTCCTCCTCCAACACTATGCTCTCTGGCAGCTCGGTCGAGCTGCCAATGCATTTCTGGTGACAGACAGATAGGTAACAAATGAAAGGTAACAAGGCACACAGAGCAGAAACATGATATACAACCGCCGTCCTACTGCCAGGGCTAGAGAGGTAAAGCAAGCAACGTTCTCTCATCAGACTGCTCGCGATGGGTACCAGCAAAACCAAGCACTCCTCAATGTCACCAATGTCCACCTTTACCGCTTCTTCTCCTTTTTTCCCTCACGCGATGACCACATCCAGGTGCAGCACCTGCGTGCGGCTGTCTCGGCAGGACCTGGCAAACGTGTGCGGCAGCACCACAAGGCCCCCTAGATCCAACCCGCGCAGCTGGCGGTCCAATTTGAAAATGGCGCGCAGCACGCAGGGCACGCGAACCAGGCCTCCAGCAGTAGCTGCAGCCGCCGCGGCGGCCGCGGCCGCCAATCGAGCAGCTTGGGCGTCTGCCACGACGGGCCCGGCGCCAACGCCCGCCGACCCAGATGGCCCCGCATTGGCACTGTTGCCAATGCTCGTGCTCCAGAGGCTGGCGGCGTCGCAACCTTCGTGGTCCTCACAGTCCTCCTGACCGCTGGTGGCGCCGCCATTGGCGCCGCCGCCGGCGGCAACCCCCTTCATCTGGTCTGGCCACAGGGAATAAGTGCCAAGTTCTTCATCAAACCAACAGCAGCGCAATGTCACCAGGCCATCACGTAGGACGGCCCGCAGCAGCGCCGGCAGCAGCGTATGGACGCCGACACTGGGGCCGACGGGCAGCACCTCCTGACCCATAGAGCTGCCCACCGTGTACGTGGCGGCTGCGGCGGCGAGTGTGCCGTCAGCTGAGTTGGCAGCTGCTGGCGGCATGGGAACTGCGCGCGCGCAAAACACGTAGACGCTTCCGCCGCTGTCGTGGGAGCGGCGTGTAGCGCCGCCGCCGCTGCTGGGGGAGTCGTAGGATGAAGACGGCGACCCGCCACCCCCACCACCGAAGTTGCCGTGGTGGTGATGGTTTGGGTAACCAGGGGTAGGTTGTGTGTGGGCTGAGGAACCGTTGCCGTAGCACGTACTGCCGCAGCCATGCGCGATGGCAGCTGGGTCGTATATCGGATCGAGCGCGGTTGCTAGGCCTGTAGCAGAGCATCGCGTGGGGGAGAGCACGTTGGAGGGACTCAGCCGCGGAGGTTCGCAGCACACACACACACACACAGGCTGTCAGCCTAAAATGCTGACACAAGCCAAGCTCCGTTGAGTCAAAGCCTTCTTCATCAGTACGGCAAGAATAAAACATGCCTAACCGGATAAGACATACACGACACCCCCTGTCCTGTCCCAGTTGTTCCCCTGTACTCACCGACGTCCCGAAGCTTTGACGCGGCTTGGCCAAGTGCGGTCATCAGGCTTGAAACTGCAGCTGGCTCGTCCGGTAACTCAAGAAGAAGCTTTCCCCCGCTGAGCAAAGACAACATCAAATCCCGCGCCAGCATAGCAGGATGGTTATAATCGAGTACACGTGCGCGATGAACAACCGCCTTCGCCAAGGAAGCTGCCTCTGTATGATAGTTCACAATGTTACTGGAGTATTGGTAAGACAGTTCAACGTCGCTGGCCAAGTCGCTGGTGCAATTCTCGACCCCGTCGGAAGTAACTTGGCCATCATGATGTACATGACGTTGAGGCTGGCGTTGGTAAGGATGTAGGTCGGTATCGTGAAACACATGGTGCTTCGCGTGACCGTTTGCCCGCCGATGCGTTTCCGATGTATGCGAGGTTTGCGGCGCTTGCACCAGCAGCTGCGACTGCATGCGTATCAGCTCATCATCTAAATGACTGTGCTGATTGTTGACAGCACGCAGCTGTCGTGCAAGCCTACAAAAAGGGGGTCGGCAAGCACGAGAAGCCGGGACAGAAGGATAAGCGCTAAGCAGCACAGTACATCTGGACGACAAGACGTGTCTAGGAGAAAGGGTTGGGCCCTTGGACGCCTTCCAGGCAAGGGGGACGTGGGACGTGAGGGTTCTCGTCGATCATGCGTTTCGGAAGCTCAGTCCACGTCGGCAAAAAGGCACCGCTTACCAAATTGTGCGATGGCTGCATGGCTCTCCAAGTTGTGAAGGCACAGGGACTAAAGGAACACGGGCATAACACCGGCTCGTATGAGACGCAACGCTGTTAGACACTGGCATAGGATGGTTGACCTTTAGACCGCTGGTATTATTAAACTGAAACATTCGCCTTTCAGCGAACAGAGTAGACATGCAAGCATTACATGGTAAAAACGATACATACAGCTTTCTTTGGACAAGACGAAACATCGCCTGTACGGAGGGTTATTGTGGTACAATTGCGCAGCGCGCGACAGACGCCGTTTGGACAGCCTGTGGGTCCTAATATTCATCCAAATACGTACCGTTGTGCTTGTAATTTGGGCTTGAATTCTGCTTGAAGACCCAAGCGATCAACGATTCTTGTCGCCTGTTGTCCCGTTACAGCTATTGCCTGCATCATTCAAATTATCAGATGGATCCCAATGACTACGTGTTCCGAAAGCGAACAAATGAGATACTCATTAAGCTACCGGGAAGCATAAACGGGTGAGCGTGAGAGGAGATTAGCGGGCTTAACCTATGTAAGATGAAAGGGTTAAAAATCATGTCATCATTACTTAACGCCAACCCTCCTCATAGATGGTTATGTGGACGCTGGAAGGGGTTAAGCGATCACATTCACATGGCCATGTGTCTCGAAGTGCTGCTTGGACATGATAAATGGCACCTCAAAAGCCCCTTAATCTCTCCCTTATCAATAAAAATGTTCATCCCTGCAGCAACGGATTCGTTCTCGACACGTTACACGATTGTGAAGTCTACCTGCTGGACCACACCTCGCAAGTGCAGATTGATGACTGCATCAACTGCAAAATTTTTATCGGTAAGCAACAATACTTCAACGACACAGTCGCCCACCGCACAGCGCATCATCCTTTCTACCCGCCCCTGCCAGCCCAGCTGTCCGCGCGCCAAAATCTGGATCACTCAGCCGAATAATACACTGCCATATCCCCTCTTTTCCATCTCTTATTCCGCCCCGCCCTCCATCCCGCTCTCGTTGCAGGCCCAATCGATGGCTCCGTCTTCCTCCGTGACTGCCGCGATTGCACTCTTTGCGTGGCTGCACGGCAGCTGCGTACCCGGGACTGCAAGGACCTAGATATCGGTGAGGGAGGGAGCGGGAATGGCGGCTGATGGCTTCCCCCAATTATCTGTAGACATAATCATCATAATTTCAGTGGCATAAATTATGGGCTTTGCGGGAAGATGAAAAGATAATATGCCGAGTAAAAAGTAGAATACCTACGCTAAACATTGCTCCCTTTCTTGGAATGGACGGCCCGAGAACCCTTGCTAGTAGAATTGCCATGTGGCACGTCAAAGATTCGCATGTCTGGGGGTAAGGAGAGCCGAAGGCGGACGGGACGAGGGAGAGGGAATGCGGCGAGGGAATACAAAAAAACAAGAAATGAACAAGTACGTAACAGCCGCATTGCATTGAGCATTCCCTCCCTTTCCCCCCCTCCCTTGCATACCAATATCCGCAAATCAGCCAGCTCTCCGCTAAACCTCGTCAATGCCGCCGCCAGGCCGGCGGCAAACTTTATTCCAGCTTCACGTCAGCAGTTCTTTTCTACTTTTCCGCCGCCTCTACACCTACCTTTTTTACGGCTTGGCATTACTGCTTTTCTTCCGCGCTTGTTTAGTCCTGGCGGCTAGGTAGGTAGGTTTCCGACATCTTCTTCACTACATCATCCCGAGGTCGCCACCTTCAAGAAGCCTCTTGGTCAGTTCTACTCCTGGTACACTCTTGCCCTGGCAGCAGCTTCACTCGTTCACGTGGTTCGTCTTTTCCCCCCGCCCCTCACGAAAACGCCGCAGCCCGGACCCCATCCCCTCGCCGCTTTCACCCCCTCCCCCTCCCTCCTCCCTGCCTACCTCCAATCCACAACCCAGCTTACCTCCTGGCCCCCGCTCCCCTCCCTTCCCCACCCCTTCCACATAGCTCTGTACTGCGCCACCCAGCCCAGTATCGAGACAAGCACCGGTATCGTGTTCAGTTGCTGGCGGGGCGCTTACCCGGGCCTTACGAGGCACTTCGGCTGCGCCCGACTGGACCCCGCAAAGAACACTTGGAGACAGGTGGGGAGCCAGGACAGCGGGGGGGGCCCCGGGATAGCGGGGATTGTATGGGCCTTACGTGCAAGAAGGGGAGAAAGGGGGTTCGGAAGGGGCTTGGGGGACCAGCAGGAGGAGGAGGAGGAGGAGGTGGCTTGGCGGGTGGCGAGGATGGGTGGTTACGACGCACTGGGGTAGGATTCGGTCATGTGCACTGTGTCGTACAATCGGGTTACCGTAGTAAATGTGGTGGCAGTGCGCACGACTATTATAGTGTTGCTCGCTCTCGCTCCACCGCCCCGCGCTGCTCCGCCCAGGTGTACGATTTTAATCGTACGGAAGATCTAGGCGCGCCGCATTTCCAGTTGGACGAGAGTGTACGGCCTTGGTGGACGGTGCCGCCGACGGGGGAAGGTAGTGGTGCCGGCGGCGCCGGCGCCGGCGCCGGCGGCGGGCCTTGGGAGGGGCTGGGGGCTGCCGAGCCTGACTGCCCTGTGCCCCGGCCTGACGGGTCGTTGTACGATGGCGGTTACCTTCCCGTGGTGCAGTCGCCTCCGAAACCACCAGCAGGTGCGGTGCATGACGTGTGTTGTGGGGCTGGCTGGAAGACCAGGAAAACCATCCAAAAGCATTTCATAACTGTCCTCATCATCAGAAGCAGGGGTTCGCAAGGTAAGGCAAGGCAAGCTCCGACGCCAGCGGCCTTTCCCCCCAGCTCGGGTAATATAGAGGAGAAGCTTCAGAAGCTAGCACAGCAGCGACCCGAGCTGCTAGGGCCACGATCGCATCGGACGTACGGTGCGAACCCAGGCGCATCAAGCAGACCCACATCCTTTCCGGAATAACGCCATCCCAAGCCTTCCCGCAACTTGTCCCTCCCCTCCGTCTCCCCAACCTCAACGACACCACATATATGCATTCGCACAGACATACACACACATACATACACATACACACACATACACATACACATACATGCTTTAAGGCATACATACATACTTTAAGGCAGGCGGCTGGCAGAGGTTAAGGCCTGACTTCTGCTCCCGGCCGACCCGGATTCAAATCCGCCTGCCGGCTCCTCGGGTGTTTGAGGAGTGTTGAAATGGGAGGTGGCCCCCCATCATATGGACGATGTAGGACGTGATAATATCAACTTGCGAGCTGACCAGGAACTAAGTTGATGCGCCGTTGATCCGCTAGATTTGGTTGGATGCTGGTGGTGAGTTGCCGAACCCAACGAATACATTCTAAAGTCGGATGGGGTGACGGATTAGGGTGTCCCTCTAGCAGGGGAGAGCAGGGACTGCCCCGGGAAAGGGGGCCGCTGGCGAAGTTAACCACCCTGTAACAACATACATACATACGTACTGCCGTACGTCCTACCCAGGCTCAGTGAAGCTGCCGGAGAGTCTGCCCCCCAGTCCGGGGCGGGCTGCTGCGTACGACGAGGAGGTGGAGTTGGAGGACGAGGACGAGGAGGAGGAGGAGGAGGAGGGAGTGGAGGATAACCGTCAGGAGGGTGAGGAGCGTGGGGTGTCGCCATGCATTGCACCCCCGACCCCCGGAGGTCTTGTCTGAGGGCCCCAGGCTCGCGCGCGAGCAAATCAGTCCGCCGTTAGTCGAAGGAGGTCTGAAGTTGCTACGAGTGCCACTTAATAATGCGATGCAATGCGATGTCCTGAGAGACGCAGTGTACGGCTAGTGTCGTACCGTTGCCGTACCTGTGGGTGACACACCTGCTTGCGTGCTTCGGATTGGCAGCGCTTCGGGGGCATTGGTCAATAAAGCAGAGGCAGTGAGCGTTGTTTTATGAGATGCACATATCTACAAGGTAGGTAGGACAGCTGGATTGGAGTTTTTTCGTGGTGCTAACTGTATGCATGTATGTATGTACGTACGTATGTTTCTCTCCCCCAGGTTCGGATGACGGGGGACTCACCTTTATACCACCGGCACAGCCATCCCAACAATTACAACCGCAACAAGCTGCACAGACTGGACAAGGTTCGCCGCCGCTGCCGCCACAGCTGATAGCCCTTGCTGATACGGCGGCTGCGGCCGCCGCCGCCGTTGAAGCCCCCTTCGCATTTGGCCTGCCGTACAATCCCACAGCTGCGAACGCGGCGAGTAGCGGCGGCGGCGCCGTCCTCCTTCCGGCCAACATCAGCGGCAGCAGCAGCATCGGTTTCGGAGGGCAGTTATCTAGTTCAGGCGAGCCGCAGCTGGCGCTGCCGCCGCATGCGCACGGTCTGATTGCCGTACACGCGGGCGCAGGACCAGCGGCAACGGCTGGCGACGTGGATGCGCGTGTTGCTTGGCGGGCGGCCAACTCCCGGAGGCTGTCGGATCAGGCGGCTGCGGAGAGCCGGGCTCGCGGTGCCCTGAGAGACGCGGCGAGGAGTAAACTGGAATCCCTACAACAGGTATGTGAGTGTGTGCGTGAGTGTGTGGGGGGTGGGGTGGGGTGGGGTGGTGGAGAGGTGGATGAGGTGAGGTGGCGAATAAAACGTGCAAGAAGCACAAATGCGACAAATAAGTGCAATAGGGGAGGGGTGGAGGAGGAGGAGGTGGAGGGCAAAGAGGAGGAGGACTTAAGGCACCGTAAGGAAAAGGCTTGGAATGTGTGTTTGTGCGTATGTATGTGTGTATTTGCGCCAGGATCGTATGGTTTTATACGCATTTGACTGGAGGTGTTCTGGTGTTGTGTTGTGGCGTGTTGTGGCGTGGCGTGTGTAGTTCTCGTGGTGGGTCTCTAAACTTGGTCGTGTATTCTTGATTCTCCTTCTCCTCCTCTTCCTTGTCACACCGTACACACACCCGCCGCTCCCGCCAGACATTGCAGCACCAGTCCTAACGCCCACCGCTATCATTATCACATATTTCACCTACACTCAATACTGCCTTCACCACCAACCGTCAACCACCAACTGTCAGGCCCGCGTCGCGCTCTTGAAGCAGCGCTTCGCGACGAACCGAGCAGCCCACGAAAAGGATCAAGGCGGCGGCGCCGCCGCCGCCGCCGATGCCGGTCGTACTGGCGGTGCCGCCGGCACCGCCGCCAACGTGTGGGAGCGTGTTGCGGAGCTTGTGGATCTGAAGGGCGGCGGCGGCGTCAAGGGCGGCAAGGTGGGCGCTAATGTCGCTACTGCTACTGGGGCGGGCCCCAGTCGCGATGTCACGCGGCTACGGCAGCTCATGATTGCGCTCAGGAACTCCCGCGGGCGCAAATGATGAGGAGGAGGAGGAGGCGGAAGAAGGAGGAGGGGGGGTGCGTGTTGTCGGCCATTGTCTGTCGGGCCGAAGGGATGCTGGTGGTGGCATTGGGGGGATGGTGTGCGTGGGGCGTACATCACTTTATCTCGTGAACACACAGCCCTACGGCAGTGGGTTGAGGAGGGTTGTGCACATCGGTTGTAAGGTGTTAAGGACGGCTTCAATTGGTTTTTCGGCATGGCCTTTCTGCCGGTCCTCGTCTTGCCTCTGATTTACAACTCAGTAGTAGGAGACATTTTGTCTCTTGATAGGAGGTTAGGCACATGCCGAACTCACTGGTGGACAGCACGATGGACACACACACACTCTTTCCTTTCCTTCCTCTTTTTGGGCGAGGCCCCGGACGCGAAGCGCCTTTTGGGGGCTCGAGGCCCCTGGGGCTCACTGCTGTCAGTCATTAAGTCAGCGCCATGTCTCAAGATGGACTTGCATGCCACGCTGAACTGAGAATTGCTTATAAAAGCTACTACATCGATTCACTGAAGGAATTCATTTCAAATATGCCTATGAGCATAGATAGCTTCTCGCGGGCCATGGCTTTGGCTCACCATCGCGAATCACATACTAACCACAACCATCAGCATCAATGAATATACGCCGCTCAGCTCCGCAACACTCCGCAACTTCCAGCCCATCCATGCCAACTGCTCCAGTAGAACCGCCCAACTCCTAGCAAGACTGCCCGTGTATACATCCTTAGATTTAATTTAACATACCCTGCACAGAGGTGGATATTAACACTTGGACTAAGTTCACATGCATTGTTCGGATTGTTCGGATCCAATGCTCGTCATTTCATCATAAAATGACGAGCATCCCTACCTTACCCATTCATACGCGTATCAGCCTACCTACGAGTAGTCTTAATGAAGAGCTACATAGCATTTAAAAAGCTATACAATTTTGTGGTTGCAACTTGCTGCATATGGAAATTACGCTAGAGAACCTTGTTCACGATGTTTGCACGGAAATTCACATCCTGGAAAAATCAACTCGGAATATAATGTATGTATACCCCTACAAGGTATCCGGCGGTTCAGGAGAGAGGACAATGGCCCCTCACGCCCCTCCCCTTTCCCCTAGGGGGGAAGTGCTTCGGCGGTCTTGTTTGTTGGGGTGGGCAGCAACCCTTGTCCGGTGTCAGGCCCGGCAAGATGTGTAATATACATACACACACAGACAGACAGCATTACAATGTGCTTAGCAATGCACACGATTGCGTGCAAGACAGGGGTGCAGAAGGGGATCACTGGGCAGTTACACTCACGCGGTAATCTGCCGGATCAACCATCAGCTTCGCAGGTAGGAATGCAAAACCTGCGTCCCATGAGAGAAGATGAACGTATGTATGTAGGTATGTGTGTGTGTGGCTCTGTGTGTGTGTGGCTCTGTGTATGTGTGGCTCTGTGTATGTGTGTGTCTGCATTAAATAGTGGACATTTCTTCACAGAAACGTCCTCCACAGAAACTCCCACAGCTGCAAAACAGTTCGTTTAAAGTCCAAAAATACCACCCTCCGCCGCGTCATCATACTTCCTCTGCGAGAACGTATTCCAAACACAATTTATTATTAGTATTGCCTGCTCAACTAACCCAAACATACCTCACTCCACCAACTGAAGCTAACGAAACCAAAAAAACAAACTTCACTAGCACTTCAGCACATTGTGAGCATCGTAGTCAAAGATATGGATGAATGGCGACTTAGCCGTCAATGCCGTCGCACCACGCGTCCGAGTTCTAAATTACCCCGTTCTCACCCTCCTCCTCCCTCTTCCCCCAACACACACACACACACAAACACACACACACACACACACGCGCGCGCAACTCATGCAAGCCGTCTCTCCTAACAACCCGTCGTGCGTGTTTTGACCTTGGTGCCGAACTCCCACACACGACTATCAATCGCGAGGCAATCAGCACCATCGCCGAAGCGGCGCCACTCACCTCCCCGTCCCCGCGTCCCCGCTCACACGCTTACAGCACCACACCGCGCCGCAACCGGCTCCGAAACTCGACCGGCGTGATGGCCTTCTCCATTTCCCGGAGTACCCGCGCATTAGCCTGAACATCCGTCACCAGCCTGTACACCTTCTCGCCCTTAGGAAAGGCGGCCTTCAAATCCAGCGGGTTGCCGCGCCACAGCCGCGGCTCCGGAATGGGAGGCGGCTGCGGTGGAGCCGCCGCCGCTGCCAGCGCCCCCGGCGCCGTCACGGCGCGCCCCTCCGCAGAGCTGGTAGCGTTGGTGGCGGCGTTAGCGGCTGCTACCGCCGCCGCCGCTAGCGCAGCGGTGCCGGCGGCTGTTGGCCGTGGGCCGCTGGGGCCCAGAGCGGCGGCGGCGGCGGCAGCCCAGGTGGCGGCGGACAAGTGGTAGTTCAGGGGCCGCAGGATGTCGTGCTCGTCCAACTCAGCTCGGCCCCACACAGACTGAGAGGGCCTTACGGTCCGCGAGGAAACGCGCTCTTCAGGGGGGTCTGCCGCCGCCGCCGCCGCTGCCGCCATCGAAACACGGCTGGCGGCGGCGTCGCCGCCAGCACCGGCACCGGCGCTGGTAAAAGTTCCCCCCCAGCCGCCGCCGCGTTGGCGGGAGCTCGCCTCCGGACTCTTACGTGGTGAGCTTGGGGGTAGAGCAGTCAAATGCTGTGCCAGAGCCGTCCCCGCCGCAATAGCCGCCGCCGGTAGCTGTACGGTGATACGGCCGATGCCATCGCCGCTGCCGCCGGCTGTGGCCGAGGAGGTGCCGCCGTCGGTCCCACGTGCGCGCGCTAACATTTGCATCGGTGGCGGAAGGTCCGATCCGTTCGCCGCCGCCAGCGCTGCCGTATTTGTAATCGCCCTCGTCACGGGGTTCAACACGTCTGCGATAGCGAGCGCCGCCTTCGCATTGGCGGCCGCAGCGCGCCCTGCCGGCGACAGTAGCGACAAGTCCAGCTTAATGCGCACAGACGTCGGCGGTAAAGCTTGCGTGCCCCCAGCCGCCAGCGCCGCCGGCGCTCCCTGCCGCGGCGGCGACCCCGCCTGTGTCGACTGTCGCAGCGGCGATGCCGCCAATAGTGACTGCCGCGACGCTGCCGGCGATGGCGCCGGCGGCGACGCTGCCGCCGCGGCGGGCGGCAGGACGCTGCGGGGCCCAGCGGCTTGCACAGGCGATTTGTAATCCACGGCCACCTCTTCACCCGTCAAGGCTGCCGTGTCGCGTGCCATCGCCACGCGCTCCATCAAATCGGGGTTATACGTCCCCGCCACGTAATCGCACTCCATGCCGTACCCGGGACGCAGCGCACCCGGTGCCGTCGGGTTCCATCGCGCTCCCGCCAGCTTGTAGTGACGGCTCAGGCTTGGCGGGTTCAAGCTAGGGATGTGACGGCTGGCGGCGATGCACCCCGACGGCGTACAAGATGCGCCGGGAGATAGCACGGCGTCCGCCGCCGGCGCTGCCGTCACTGCCGCCGCAGCAGTAAGCGGCGTGGCGGCGGATGGCGATAAACATGAGCCGGTTTGGCCTGCCAGCGGCGGCGGCGGCGGCAGCGGCGGCGGCGGCGGCGTCCCTATGCGTGCCATACGCGACAGCGGGGGGCCAGCAGCAGCGGCGCCGATTCCCAGCGCTGTACTTCCCGGCATGGCTGCACCGCCACCGCCGCCTGGCAGCATGTCCCAAGAGAGCTGCAGCCCACCGCCGCCGCCACCGCCGAAGCCGCTGCCGGCGTTCACGGAGGCGCTGGTGCTGGGCCGGCTATTCGGCCTGACGCCGCCCCACAGGTCAGTGACGTGGCCTCCGTCGTACTCCTCCTGCCCGTCCTCCCGCTCCACACCGCCGACGGAGATGTCGTCCTCAGAGCTGTCCAACAGACCTGCCGTACCCGTCGCCCCGACGCTCCCGGACGACCGTGGGGACGATGTCCGACGGGACCTGCTCCCAACGTTCAGCCCCACGGAAACCGCCAAGTCGGACAGCCGCCGTAGGCCGCACCGCGCCACGGCGGCACCGCCGCCGCCTCCGTCGCCGGCATGTGAGGTGGCGGCCGAGCGCCACGGGCTCTGCCTAGCGGAGGCGCCGGCAGTCGCAAAGATGACCTCCTCGCCGCTGCTGCCAGGGCCTCCTGATGTGGCAGCCATTCCGACGCCCACAAAGTGAGAATGCGCAGAGGACGGGGAGCCCTGACCCCGCCGCCGGGTGCTACTGCCGCCGCCGCCGCCGCTGCGGGCGCTGTGCACCCGGCTGCTGGCGTTGCGAACCCGGCCGCTGCGGCGTCGCATCCCAACGTCGTTGCTACCGCCTCGGCCGCTCTCCCCTTTGTCATCCGCACCGCTGCCGCCGCCGCCGCCACCGCTGTCCCAGCCGCTGTCATCTGGCCGCCCTGTGCTCATCCCACCGGCAGTA